CCCTGCGGCCTCCCCTCAGGCGCGGAGGTGTCGGGGCTACTGCGGGCCCTGCAGCGGCCGAGCGCCCTTCATCCGGCGGAAGGAAGCGGCGGGATGAACCCCCAGCCGGGCCGGGGTTACCGGGAGCTCCTGGCGGCGGGCGGCCTTCGGCCCCAGGGCTCCCCAGAGAGGGGCGCGAGCAGGAGAGTCGCTGTTTTGGGAAGCGTTGTTTTGGTCCCGCCGTACCCCGGCGCTGCCATCTCTCCCCCGCAGCTGGAGTTCTCGCCCTGGAGCAGCCCACTGCGACACAGGCCCGTAACCGGGGGCTGCCCAGGACAGGGAGCTGCTGTGGCCGGGCGTTCGGGTGTGAGCCCCCGTTACTGTCAGGTCTTGTTAGCTGCTCCCACTCAGCAATCACAGCTTGAAAATCCCGGCAGGATTTTTTTCTTGCTGAGCCTAGAACGGCCTTTTATCAAACCATCCGGGGTTTGTTTTCTTTGTATTTTATGAGCCCGGATGATCTTAGCTTAAAAAAGGACTGCTGGGACTTGGAGGTTTTCTGGTAGTACCGGGAACTGGTGTATAGGAAAAATGGTAGAGACTGTGAGATTCCTGGCAGGTTTTGCTATTCTGCCATCAGTCCCTCACTGTTTCAACGTTTATATCATGAGTGGTGGAGAATAGGAGAATTAACATGTTAAAGCATCATGTTAATGAGAAAATGAGTTATGAGAAAAACTTTGCTAAGCCTCCCACCGTTTTGCAGTTAAAAGTACTTTGTTGCTCTATCCTTTAAATGCTATTTCTTTGTTTTTTAGGGTGCTATAAAAGGAAAGTTGCAGGAGCTGGGGGCTTATGTTGGTAAGTTTTATCATGTTTGGCAATTTTCTTTAGATGCGTTGATGTTAGATAGGAAACAACCAGCTACTTAATGCAACTGCATATTTACTTATTCTTACTTGTATTACTGCATACAGAAGCCTTAAGCATGAGGTGAATTATCTGAAGTGTTGGACTAGTATGAAAGAAGAAGACTTGCTTCACGAAATATGTGTAGTCCAAGCCTAAGAGAAGGCAGTAACATGGACGTTGATGTATGAAGAACTAAGAGGAAATAACTGAGAAGGCTAACAGTCTCCACTTTCAAGGAGAAATGGTGGCAAGGGGTTTGAAAGAAAAACAAATAATATGTGTCTGTGAATATTTAAGGAAGTTTCTTTGTAGCACAAGGAGAAACTTTATATAAAGCAAGATCCTCACAAATACAGCAGTGGTTACCTGTGACCACTCTGAGGTGGAGTCAGTCTGTCTTAGGCATCTTTTCAACAGCCTTTTGAATTTAAGGTGAGACATTTGTCACAACTAGGGGAAAGGATATTACTGTACGACAGAGATAGGCTGACTGTTTCAGGAGATGGAAAGGTCATGTTAGAAACATTATGTAGGACAAATCTGCAAAGTGTAAGAGCTTGACTGTTAAGAGGAAAACGAAGAGCTACATTAATGTAGTCTTCATGAAACATATGTATGAAATGAAACATATGAAACAATCTTAGAGGCAGGATGAGGTTTTATTTTGGATTGTGAGGAGAGATGAGCATTGTGAATGTTGTGGGGGTTTTGCTTTTTTTTTTTTTCCCCCAGATCCAGTATTGAATAGATATTGCACTTAAGAGTAGCTGGTTTTTACAGTAGTAGAAGTTGGTAACTTAACACGGTATTCTGTTGGAAGCAGAATACCTCAGTCCTGCAACTGCCTTGTCTGTGATGATGCTTGGATTCCAGGTAAAGGAAAGGAATTGAGAGCATAGTTTAGAGATACCATGAATTGCAGGACCAAGTTCAAAGTTCGGAGTTTGATCTTGAATTAATCTTATTTCCTATTTAAAGGAGACCATTGTATTTATGAAATCAAAATGTATTGACTCTGTTGAAGGGAGCTACCTGTGAGGTGACATTCTGAACTCAGCAGGTGCCAAGGAATTGTGTTTAGAATTTTTTCATTGTAAGGTTGTCTTTTTTCACGATCTCAAAAGTTGTCTTTTTCAGTAACTTGTTTTTGATTATTTTTTTTTTAGCCCTCATTCTACGTTTCAGCTTCTCAGTCCTTGATTCTTTGTCTGCTTTTTCCTGCATTTCTGAAAAAAATCTTTCTTATCTCTAATACCAAGGTGATGGTAGAATACTGGTAATCTTTGATTATAACTATGGGTGATTACTCTGTGTTTTTCTTTTCTTTCTGTTTCCTGTATTGAGAATGCAGTTCCCAAGTTCAGCATACAATGTCTGCTCTTTCTTCTTGGTCAACTTCTGAACTTCTTTAAATAACTCTGTACTCTTTATTGCCAAGTCCCTTGGCCTCTTTTGTTTTTAAACCAGTTTCCAAATTTCTGTCATTTTTCATGTTTCTTTTCTTGTCTAGAGTATGTTGGACAACTTTTCAAGTAATGTTGTTCAAAAACACACCATTTATTCTTTTAGGTAACTGGTAAAAACATGTTCTCCCTCATTCTAGGCTCTGTGAGCAAGAACCTTGCTTTTTTCTTTCTTTAACTACTAGTTCTTTTCTTTTAAAAGGTCTTTTACAACAACACATTTTGAAACTTATTTGTTGTTTAGCACTTACAAAGGAAAAAATCATATCTGTAAAGCAAAATATAGTAAAATATTTATCAACTATCAAAATTTTCAAAAGATTGTAGTCTTGGACAGTTTAAGTTGACATAAGCCAACACAGCCACCAAGAGATGCAGTTGCTTTCTTTCCTTTTTCTACAGTACTGTTACAGGTAATTGTGGTAACTTATGTTTTGATCTGTGTTTAAAGTATCTTCGTTACTTTATCATACGTTGAAACACCCGAAGAGCCGATCAGGTTTAAAAGTAGGTTGGCCAAAAAAGGAAAGTTTATTCTAAGTTCCTAGGTCTGGGTATCCACCTATCTTGTGCAACTTGTAGTTTACATAGTAAAATAAAAAAAAACCCTACCAAAAGAAGTTAGGGTTTAGTCTAGAAACATGTTGTGTTGGAACACTTGAGTAGTGATAGCGAAATGCAGGTACAATATATGAATGTTATTTCTGTAGTCTGGGGTACAGAATTATTATTTCAGGGTACATAGACATAGAAGAAAGGCAATTCCTTTGATTTGTGTTTTTGATTTCTACCTAAGATTTTTCATTTTTTAGGTCTTTTTAATGGTGTGTACAGACTTGATGGAATGAGAACAGCTGTGTAATGCCTTGGTTCAGATGCAAAATTTGAAGTGGATTTCCCATTTGTCTTCACTTACTATTGTTATGTTTGTGTCATGGAGTGGTACTGGAGAACATGAGGTGTTTGATTAAACTAAATGGAAATATGTGCTCAAGAAGCATACCTAATGCCCTTGAGCAACAAATGCACCATGCAGTCCTTCAGAGTAGATCAGAGCTAGGCCAAAGTAAAAAGCCAAATACCACATTCCCCAAACCCTTAATGTATTAAATTCGGAGCGCCTTCCTGTCTAGTCTGATGACTAGGCATACCCTGTATGAGCAGTCCAGCAAGGGGATGGATTTTTTTTATAGATGGAAAATCTGGAACTTAATACAGTTTTGATTTGTTTAATGCGCAGATCAGAAAGGGATCATTATTTCTTTGATCTCTGTACCTAAAGGAAATTTGGCAAGGATAAGGTACTATATTTGGCAACATTTGGAGTGATGAAAATTGTAGATGGTTGTTAGAGTTCAAGTAAAAGGATATAGGTAACAGAGTGTCTTTCTTTTATCTTGTCCTTTATGTGTTTTATTTACTCACTTTTAAAATACTTTGATCTTATCTTCAGTTTATGCTTATGTGAAGCTGACGATCTTTTATTCCTCACTCATAGCTGAAACTTGTATTGGACTTCAGAGAAAACGGAAGTCTTGTTAATTTGCTTACCTATTCCTCTGCTTGCGGAGTCTTTACAGTAAAACTGTAAAAAATAATCTGGTTACATTTTAAAGAAGTTCACTATGTCTTTTATGATTTATTGTACTTTAAAACAATATTTCTCTTTCTATTAGATGAAGAGCTCCCTGATTATATTATGGTTATGGTAGCCAATAAGAAGAGTCAAGAGCAGATGACAGAAGATCTTTCCCTTTTCCTTGGAAACAATACTGTCAGGTTTACTGTCTGGTATGTTTGTAAGCTCCTTGTCACACTAATTATCAGTAATCAGGACTGCTTTCTGTAAGTGAAACCTGAGAATCTAAGAAGTGACTTATTTTCCCCATTGTGTAATTTACATTAATCAAAACTTTGCAGGTCTAATAAATTAGTCTATCAACTGTTAGGCTATTGCAGTGATAATTAAGTGGGAAAGCACTGGAGGGTTTATTTTTTTGTCTTGCTGTAAGTCCGGTCAAATTTTTGAACGAAGTGTGAAATACTCAGCTAAGTGAGGGCCGTATGTCGACTTAAAAAAAAATATTCCTGCAAAGCCCACTGTGAGCATGAGAGTACTTAGATGTAAAATAGTTATTCAAAGACAGATTTCTTAGATTTTATGTTAATGTTATGCTTCAGATTGCTGTTGTGCATGGGAATTACTGTATCAGGACAGATGAGTAGTGAATCTAATTTTGCATGCTGTCTTTGAAAAGGCTTAGCACCAAATGCTTAGGTATTCCCACCTCTCAGGCTGTTTATTTATTACCACCACCGAGCTCTACAAAATAAAAGTAGAACCCCAGAATTATTGTAAGCAGGACAAATTAGCAACATATGAACTCTTTTCTGAACTTCTGCCAGTGTGCGTTACCCTATGCTGCATGACAGCCTTAGCCATGGTATTTCTCATGCATTTTCTAGTACTGAATTTGGCTTAACAGTATAAACCTTTAACTCTGTGTTTCACAGTATCCAAGCAGATACTTCACTCTGGAGATTTTTCTTGCTTTCTGAATTGTGTATTTTTTCAAGTTAATCTTATTTCTGAGTCTCTAACTGAATATAGTTTTAAGGAATGTTATTTTGGCTTATATAGATAAGAGGAATACTACATTTTTTTTTCTGCTTTTTCAGTTTGTTTCATTTGAAATTTTCATATTGAATGGTTACATTAACTTCAGTATTTCTTCTATGTGACTAGTCAAGTTCCCCTTTACTTGATTAGCAGCTTTTATGCTATTAAATAGCAGAGAGAAACAGTTTAGAAGTTGGGTACATTATGAAATCGTAAACATTGACCAAAAGTGTAAATTAGTTCCAGCTGTTACAATTCACTGTAACTATTTAAACTTTCCATGTGACAGTGTTACTTGTATGGATATAATTTGAGTTTGCTTTCAAAGTTTAAATTTTTTTCCCGGGATTTGTCCCCCTTTTTTTTTTTTTTTTTTTTTTTTTTTTTTTTTTAAGTACACCCACATTTCTGTTCTTTATTCCCTCTTGTGACCTGCCTAGGCAAAACTTTTGGGTTTCGCTGTATCAGTAAGTCATGCAGTTGCCTTTCTCAGTGTGGTTTTAGGAATCAGACAAATTGGTGAGGTTTACAAGTTGATGAGGGGTAACTCCAGTACTAGGGTTTTGGCTGAATCCTGATATACAATAAGAAATGACACAATAATATGTAGCAGAAACACTTTTATGGCTTTGTGAAGGAAACTATATTGAAAAAATAATAAAGATGTAGAGAAAGCAAATTTCAGCAGGGAAGAGAAATTAAGATTTTTTTTATCTATCTATCTATCTATCTAGAACTGGGTGTCAGCTATATGTAGATATTGTACTTCCTATTGGTTTTGACAGCTGCTTAAATTCCAAATGTAATGAGTCTTCTAATCTCAATTCAGTATCCACACTTGCTTATAAATACAAATTCAATGTCAGAGTGCTGTTTCGGGTAACAAACAAGGTATTGGTTAAAAGAATGATGGAAAAGAAACCAAGATGAAACCTATGCAATAAACTGTAAGCGGACTGGTGGAAAAAAGTAAAATATAACTGTAGTTGGGAGTTTTATATGCTTTTATTGCTTCTAAAGGCAACCCAGAGTGTTTACATTCTTAAACATTGAGTCTCTGGCAAATTACAATACTCAACGAGGTTTGCCTTCCTTGGTTTGTCCTGTAGCTGGTAATTTGAAGTCATCTGGCAAAAGTTTCACAGCAATTCTGTGGCAGCCCTGACAGTCCTGTTGCTTGGCCAACACTTCTTACTCTGAACCAAGTGTCAGGTCACGGTTATCTGGAGGTCAGTGTGAAAACTAATATGCATCAGCAGAGCTCAATTGACAAAACTTAAAAGAGTGTTCTAACGAAAAATCACAAGCAGGTGAATATAAACCTTTTTTTAGGCACGTGCATTCTTTCTTTTCCCAGTTTTCAATGTTCTTGTTCCTTAACTTTTTTCTAATACTCATTCAAAGTTATGGCCATGCCCATGAACAGGTTTGAATTCTGAATAGGATATGCATTTAAGTGTTGGGATTTCTTTTTTTTTTTTTCTTCTCACTGTAATGTGTATTTATTTTTAAACAGCTTTATTATTTCATAGCCTTTTGATCTTCTGTATTGCTTCAACTTGGTGCCTTTTTCACAGGCAAATGTCAAATTTGGTGCCTCACTGAAATGTTTTCGCTCACTGATGTGTCTCAATATTGTTAGTACATACAAAGCATGCTGGAAGAATCCTGATTGTGTTATGTACTGTGAACTCTATTGTTTAGGTTTCTATTTAGAATTATGTTTAACTGCTGTGTAATTAAAGTTTCATATATGAAGTAAAATTATCAGCTATGCTTTTGGCTTCTAACAGGTTTTTTGAATCAGTCCTTTTGAAGATATTTAACTCATACTGTTGATTGCAATGAAAGAGTGGAGAGTACTGTCTTTAATTAATGTAAACCAAGTAAATGCCAAAAGCAGATAATGTGATGAATACCCTACATGCATGTATGAAGACTCACTGGAGGCAAGATACTTAAAACCTCCCGTTTGAGGTTAAACATGTTAGTTAATGGAAAGTGAAGTATTAGATGAATGATGTGCTTGTTAGGGGAGGGGGGGGAGAATACAGCTGGTTTCTGAAAGCTGATTGTTGTGAGTGTAAGCTAAAATTGTTTTATTTCTCCTTTTTCTTTCTTGCTTCCTTCCATGTCCCCCATGTATTTCAGGCTCCATGGTGTTCTGGATAAACTGCGATCTGTGACTACTGGTAAGTAAGAATATTAATTTTGAGTGAAAGTAGGTTTATTTCTGCATAGTGTTGCATGTCTAATGAATTTCAAAACATCTTGGCTGACTGTTTTGTTAATTTTCAATTTATGTGGCCTTTTGGGTCCTGACTTTAGAAAATTGCCTTATGTTTTGAGATAAATAATTTATTTCTGGGTGTTTTTTGCTGATGTTTTCAGCTGAAAGAGCTTTCAGCTTGCTGTATTTTCATATCTGTGCAATGTTTTGTTTGCAGTTTCTTAGCTACCTTTACTTCAAAATTTGTATTGCTGTGCTTTGATGTAAAAATGAAAGGTACCTGTCTCCACAGAACCAACTAGTGTAAAATCTTCAGAATCTAGTATCTTTGAGAGCAACCTTCCTTCCAGCAAAAGCAGTTCATGTGTGAGCGATGAGAGGAGACACGAGGATATCTTGCCACCTCTTGCGGTTTCCAGCACTCGGACTGAAAGAAATGACTCAAGAGTTTCAACTAGCTCACAGGAACAAAGGAACACTGCTCCACGGTAAAGCTTTTGGTTACTTACTAACACATCTTTAGACAGTAGTTGTGTGAAGAGTATTCTGAAGAGCACGACTACTTGGAAAGATTAAAGCAGTTTTGAAGAGTAAAGCATTGCTACAATTTGTTGCATAAAAACCATTAAATCTGGAATTTAGTTCAATTTGTCTAAGAAGCATATGGGCTTAAATTAACCAAACTAAAGATAGTGATCAGTGTGTTAGATTTGTATAAACAGTAATACCTTAATGATTCTTCCCTTCTGGCTTTATTTAAAAGACAGTTCTCATTTACCAGAGCTTTATTTGCAGATGAGTTAATAGTTGGCAATTTCTCATTTTATCAGGCAGTCTTCTGAAGATGGTTCTGCATCCCACTTAACATCTACAGTCAAGCCTTTGAGGGAATTGTCACCTTCGGAAGCTGTAATTGACATTAAACCTGAACCAGATGATCTAATTGATGAAGACCTCAACTTCGTGCAGGAGAATCCTTTGTCACGGAAGAAACCAATTGTAACTGTAACTTATGGTTCTTCTCGTCCTTCTGCCGAAATCTACAGACCACCAGCTAGCAGGAGTGCAGATGGCAATACACATGTGCACAGATTGTCACAACAGGGCAGCTTACAGGGGAGCTGGCAGTTAGATGCACAAAGCTGCAGGTCTTTGGAAGCAGGCCAGCCATGCAATCCGGAAGCATTTGGCAGCTTAGCAGAAAGTTACAGACCCACCTCCAAACTTAGTGCTGATAAAGTAGGCAGCGAGGTTAGTATGATCTAAACTATTGCGACATTTTTCACTTGCTGAAAACCTAAATTACTGTGTATGCTTCCAGTAAAATCTTGACCTCAGAGAAATCAAAGGACTTCTGTCACTGCTACCAGTAGGTTTGGGATTTCATTCTTTGGGTCTGCTGATAAACTATGCAGTTTCTTTTTAACATTAGACAGGTTACTGCAGCTCAGAGTTAATTAGCTCGTACATCTTCATGCCATACTGAGTTGGACTAATGGGTTAGAACATCATGATGCACGTGATGAATCAGAAATAATTTTCATCTCTAGATCATTGGAACAGCATGATCTCCTGCAAGTGCTATGTAAATCTCCAGCTTTACACAGTTCTGTAAATCAGTATTTTTGGGATGCTGTTTATTCACACATATGCTAGTTATACATTAGTCTAGAAAGCCTGGATGTGTTGCTTATGAGGTTTATTATTATTATACAATTTGGATTTAAGAACTGCTTGGGTGAGTATCATGCAAGGATGTAAAAGGTGATTGCTGCCCTACGTACTTTGGAGGCCAGACTAAGCCAGGCAGGGTTATAGTCATAGCTGATAGAGCCCTTTGTGAGAGGAATGAAGGTTGTTACACCTGCTAATGTCGTAATGAAGCAGGAATTTTACATACCTTGTATTCCAAGTGCATCTGTGTTTGTTACTGCTTATACAGTTCTTTGCTACTATTTAGTTCTGTACAAACAGTCATGAATTTAATTTGGAAATCTGGAATGCTTTACAAATACATGTGCTGGTATCTTTGTTTTTTAGGATGGGGAAGTGAGGATAAGTATATAGTGATTTTTTTTTTTTTTTTAGGGCTGTATGTAAAGCATTGGTGAGTGACAGTCACCCCTTTCCTTGGAAATGTTAGGAAAAGGTCTTGTGATTTTATTCTATTATTCTTTCATTAATAACATCTGGAATAGGGCTGTTAGAGGAGCATTTCTTACAACTGTGGACCTTTGCTGTATTCTAACTTTTTAGACAAGTTCTTGAACTTTGGGAGGTTTTACCTTTAAAAAGGTAACTTCTTTAGGTATTGTGGTTTTTTACTGTATGAATTTGCTGTATTGGTGTAGTCCAGGTCCATCCCTTAGGATGTTTCTTTCTCCTTGGAGGATATAGGATCATTTAAAGGGTACTGCGTACAAACCTGGCATCCAGATGCCTCATGGTGCTCCTTTTTAGTTCCATGGTGAGTGATGATTCCTATAGGAAGTATTGATGTCTGCTTTCTCCTATGCTTTCATGCAGCCTAGCATTTAAATTTGTTACTACCCCATGCACTGTGGTGGTGGTAAGTGGCTGTGTCAAAACAGGGACCTTGCTCTGCCTAAACTGGACCATCCTAGCTCTGCTTAGCTATTAGCATCCTTTGGAATATGTTATCTTGCTAGAAATTAATCCTTACGCTAATCTAAAATTAAGAGTTGATACAGAGGAGAAAGTCATTCACACTGATTTCACTATCAGACTTTCAACAGATGTGTCTTGAAGGTTTGTATGGATTTATTAGGAAAATCCTGCTTTTTCTGTAGATGTTGAGAAATTGTGCTTTAGACTTTTTTTCTTCTCCTTTTCTAAATGTTATTTACAGTTACATTTTTTACTGAGATGTTTCAGTGTAAACGTGTGTTTTTTTTTTTTTTTTTTTTTTTTCCTCGCTCTCTATAGTGCTGTCACTTGTTTCTGCGGACAGTACAGTACTAGACTTATGCAACTTGCATGGAAGTTCTCCATCTTCTGGCTATAGGTAGAATTACAATATTTTCTTTGCTGGCTTATTAATACATGGTTTATGCTTAATTAATTGTCTTGGCTGCTCTGTTGTAGGAAGAAAGCTCCAGGAAGAGACGGTTGCCTGTTGTAAGCTCAGTAGTCAAAGTAAAAAAGTTCTTTAATGATGGGGAAGATGAGGAGGAGGAAGACGATTATGGATCGCGAACAGGAAGCATCTCCAGCAGCGTGTCTGTACCTGCGAAGCCAGAGAGAAGGTACTTAAGATCTCAGTGATTCTGTGTGGTTTCAAGAATGAATTTAATGAACAAAAACTTTCAAAGTGGAAGTTGGGGAGAACTGTTCTCAGGTTTGAAAATTGACAGAGAAAATGCAGTAAGCTGTTTTTATATTTCTTGGTACTATCTCAGAACTCTGGGTGAGATGTCTGTTTATAACACCCTTTTTCCTCTGATTTTTTTTCAACCTGTTATTGTGTATAAGCTGCAATGGAATGTGAAATTTTACACTACTGGGGAGAAGTTTAGTGGCAAAAGAACATTAATGTTGGCATGCCTCAGACCAGGTATTTAATGTGCTAAAATAATTTTCCAGGAGTTTTAATGGCTTTGTTTTTATTTCACGAATAGTTTTCAAACCAATTATCACTTTTTTAAGGTGATTTTAACTTTTGAAAGGACTTGAGAGGTTTTTCCTTTTTTTCTGCTCCCTAATTATTTCTGAATGTCAGGTGTCAGTCAAAGAACATCAGTGGTTTGTATCTAATTTTCAACAGTAAGAGGAAGAACATTTTAACTAGGGAAGAGATGGTTCTAATGATCTACAGTAGCTTGTGTAAGATTTGTTTTAAGCTAATACACTTTATTGAATTTATCTTCAGCACTGCAGCACATTCAACTAATTTAAACTTCCTTATTGTTGATGTTCAAAGACAAACAGAAAGCTTTTTTACAGCTAATAAGTTTTTGATAGAGTCAGTTTTCAGCTGGGTCTTACTCCCTGGGGCAGCTGCATAATTCTAGTGACAACACAAACGTAGTAACAGGCACGTGAGGGGCAGAGGTGCGAGGAAATGAATGGCAGAGTTTGTGCCTTTCAGATGCAGCGTGGTTTTAGAGGAGTGTAAGCTGAGAGGCAAAATCACGCCTCTGGACTTCTGTTTTTGAGAGCGTTTGTGGATCCCCATCCACTCAGAGAATAGATTAACAAGCTGAAAACAAATATGGATAAAGTGTTTTTTAGGTGATGATTTGTATCAGTATTACACATAACTGTGTTAAGGTGCTGAAATATCTGTGTTTACCATGGATACAGTTGCTGTTGTAATTCATGTACAATTAATTAATTTTTTTATCTCCCTTAGACCTTCATTGCCACCTTCAAAACAAGCCAATAAGAATTTAATACTGAAAGCAATCTCTGAAGCACAAGAATCGGTTACAAAAACAACTAATTATTCCACTGGTAATTAGCTTTTTTTTTTTTGTGCTAAGCTGTATATTTCCAAGCCCTGTTTTACAAATCCAAGCTAAAGATAGTGCTTGGGGGTAAACCAGAATGTTAAATAGTGCATGTCAGTGATACATGTAAGGGATTTTCCATGTCCCTAGAACATTCCATTAATCTTCAGTGATGAACTGTGAAAGCATAAAGAAGGGAGGAAAGAGTTATTTAAAATATATTAATCAAGATACTAAGTCTGTAAAGTGTATAGATACAAAATGGAAGTGCCAGAAGTATTCTGAAGTTGATAATTGCCAAGGGGAAAGTGTTTAGAATTAGGCAGGTTGTTTGATCTTTTTTCCCTTTGTATTCTCGTCCTCCCTTCTGAGAGGGGAGGAGAAAAAAGCCAAACAGCAAAATATCAAAATGCACTGGATATAGGTAATAGAAATGCAAAATAACAAGCAACATACTGACTGATATGTCACCGTATATTGTCTTTAAACAGTGAGGCTGCAATTTTAATTCAGTGGTTTTAGGTATTGAGTAGAAGTTGATACAGCAGCCGAGCAGTTGCTTGTGTGTAGGCATTTAGTTCTCATAGCTAGGAGAGACTTCTGCTGAAGAAGGGCAAATCCAGCTGTTATCTTGTATGCTTTTGTTTCATTGGCTATTAATAAACCTAGTGTTGTCAGCAGGAAGCATTGCACATTGCCAGGGAAGGAGCATTCACTAAACTACCTAAACCATGACTTTTATGCCATCTGGAGCAAGACTGAAAGCTGTCAAAATCTCTTGCCTGTTCTCTCTCTCAAAACCTGCAAACTGTAAGAAACATGTATCTTCCTTCTGCACTAGCATATTTACAAAATGGTTATTGAGAACTTCCCTGTTTTCATGTCGACACTTGTATTTTCAACGTTGCACGGATGCTGATGAGTAGATCTAAAGTCATGAGATGTGTATGGAGTTTTCTGTGTTCAAAGGCTCTTGAGTTGGAGGAGGTGTCTGTGCATGTTAGAAGTGGGATATAGACTGAGCTGGTTTAAAACAAAATTGTATGGATGACTAATAAAGATTGTGGCCAAGCTTAGAACTGATAGCTAAGAACAGTGCTAGTAAACTATTGAATTGGTTGACTACTTACAAAATACATTTCATACAGTAAAAGAACTTCTGAAAGAAAATTATGCTGCTTCATGAATAGCAAATAACGTAACTGCCTCCCAAGCATTAAGAGCTTGTTGTCATTCTAGATGGTAAGCAGAATGAGCAGTTTGTTAAGAAAAGAGGTGCGAGCACTGATGCCTCCAAGTTCTGATGCCAGTTATCCAGCAAGGAGTGTTTATGGTGGAAAAAGCATCAACACAAGAAACAGTACTGTGATGCAGGAAGCTCTTTCCTGTGTACGCAGCAATGTGACAGGAAATAGAACGTAGTCAGAAAATGTTAAAATTGATTATAACTATTGATTTTTAATAGTGGTGAACTTGTAGTTTGGCTTACCAACATGAGAATATTTCAGTGGACAGACCAAAAAGAACCACTTTGTGATTTAATACAGAGGCAATTCATGAATTTTATCTGGTGTCATGCAGATTCTTCCACTTCAGAGGTAATATTTCATGTAATTTTTTAAGTATTTTGAATGGAATATGGAAATAAGCTAATTTGAAATACAAAAGTAGAATAAAATGGTAGGATCATAAATGATAAATCCAGTACTGAGTGGTACCTTTTAGTTGTACGTGTCAGAAGTTGAATGCTGATGTGATACTCAGCCAAGGGAAGAATATGCTTATCTTTTCACAACCAGTTCTGATGGTCTTAGCAGAAGTCAAGTGAAGAAGCCAACCTGTCATCCTGCTACTCCCAAATTATGTGCTACAATTAGCTAAAGATGGTTGTAGCAGGTGAGTGTAGGTCTCTTTCCCCAAGTAACAAGTGATAGGATGAGAGGAAAGTTGCACCAGGGGAGGTTTATATTGGATATTAGGAAAAAATTTTTCACTGAGAGAGGACTGTAAAGCATTGGAACAGGCTGCCCAGGGAGGTGGTTGAGTCACCCTGGAGGTATTTAGAAGAGGTGCAGATGTGGCACTTAGGGACGTGGTTTAGTAGTGGACTTGACAATGTTGGGTTAATGGTTGGACTTGATGATCTATTAGCAAGCATCTGAGCATAGGGTAGCTGGCACTGTATGAAAAGTATGCACTGATAATCATTGATTGTTTATATGAAAGCTGGAAGGAAAAGTGATTTCAATACCATAAGAAAGTACCAACTTTATTACCTGTAGAAGTGGATGAATGAATACTTTGCTGATGTCACTCTAATCCTTTTCATTCAGTTTTGTCTTGCAGGTAGATGTTCTGAGGTGCCACTCATACACTGCTCTATGCACATGCACAAATGTGCTTTCACACTAACAATTTTACAATTAGCTTGGGATTTTTTTTGTGTGTGCGAAGGAATTAGTTTTTAGCACCATATATGAAATAATACTGTTATGTGATTGGATTGTATGTAAATGATTTACCATTGTCTCTTTAAAGTTCCACAGAAACAGACTGTTCCAGTTGCACCAAGAACTCGAATTAGCCCAGAAGAATCTCAGTTAGAAGTAATCCATGTGCAAAACAGACTACCTGCTCTGAGTTCTCAGCTTCAAGTAGAAGAGCCAAAGGAGCAGACAGTTGAAGGAATTCAAGGTCATCTGATCATGTTCTTTAAAAATTTATACCAGTGAATGTCATTTTACAGCAGGCTGAGCAGAGAAAAGAAATGCTTTTAATTTTTTAGTCAGCATCAGAAGTTGCATGTGGAAATGCCTGAAAACCAAGAAGCTTTCTAAAGCATGGCTGTAAGATAGGTACGTGTGTGTGTGTATATATATATATACAGACACACAAAGAGATCACCTCAGAGGAATTAGTCAGTAAGCAAAGGGTGGTATAGCATTCTGGCGTATCACTGAAGAGTAATTTTCCATAAGCAATGGATCCATTTATATGGGGATGACTTCTTTTTGCCCCATCCTTTGCATTCTTTTCCTTGATATCATGTAGCAGTAATTTTGTTATGAAACCTATGTGAGAGTTAAGATACTCTACATTTGGAATAATTTTGCAGCCTATGAAGTATTAAAAGATTCTTTCCAACATATTGTTACCACCCAAATAGTTCTAAAGTTTTTTGTTTAAATATTGAAATATTATATTTGCTGTTATGGGGACAACTGATACCAGGATAACTGTGTAAACATTAGGCTTTTTTTTACTTCTGTTTTTTTTTTTTTTAAAAAACCCACAACCTCCTGAAGGAAAATAGCATTTAAAGGCAATCAGTGTATCTTTTCAGCATGATTTTCTTACAAATAAAGAAGTGTGTGTGTCTGTGTTAGCTACAAGGAATCAGAAATAAGACTGTGAAAAACGACTTCTCTAAAACAAAGTTTTTCACTATTGCTGAGTTTAGATATTTAGATTGTTGAGTGAAATCTTGAGTAAGGCCTTTGTTACATCAGCTCACAGTCATTGTTAAAGAATGCTAAACATTCACTGTTAGGAAAAAAAATTATTTTTTTCAGTCTCTTATTTCTCATATAGATATATTTGGAATCTGCTGACATAAAATAGGTGAAATTGTAAAGTATGTAAGAAGCAGCTTATATCTGTGAATTAATATACAGAAAATATTTATGCTAAATATTTTTGCTTGCTATTGAAATGGAAATGACAGCTTGCTTAGGAAACCTACAGGAAGCAAAATATTTTTTTTCAAACTATAAGTCAAATGTAAACAGTGCTACTCTGATTTGTTCCACTTCTTTTAACATGACCATAAAGTAGTTCCTTGTTAGCTGCTTTCCTGTGTGTATGTTCTCTGAGTAGTCAACACCTCTACAAATGAGGAAGAACTTAGCCTTTAGAAGTTGCCATACCTGCAGACCTAGTTTGCCCAGAGCAATGATTATGGGGAACACTAGTCTTTCAGTATTTAGATTTTGAAATGCTGGAGAAAACTTGTTAACTGTTTCTGAGACAATGAGAAAGGAGTTCATAACAATGAAAATGGCTTCTTTTTGTTAGAAGTGTGGAGGTTTTTGTTGTGTGGGGTTGGTTTTTTTAATCAAAGGCATTAGAAGAGTATGCTTCATGTCTTTAATCTATAGTTTAATTTTGACATACAGTAAAATATGCTTCTAATTACTGGGGGCTTTTTTAGGAGCTGAACAAAGGGAGCTCTCTTCTCGGCTCCAGATTGATCCTGTGATTGAAGATGCTTTGCAAGTGACTCAAGGTTAAGTCTTGTGATCTTTTATTCCTAAATAAAAATTGCTGGTTTTCAAATTGAACACTACTGGTCAGTGAATGTTAAAATGTAACTTCCTTTTCAATTAATTATACTGATTTCTAGAATTTATTAGTTTCTACATCTCTTAAGTAATGAAAGTGTTATATCAGTAGGTGTTCAAAGCTTGAGAGATTTTGGGGAGGTGTGTGGGCCCCCTTCAGTGCTGTTTCAGCACAGCTGTTCCAGTAACAAAGTTTCCTAGTCTGACCTAATATGGCCTATGGCTCCTGTTGACTGATTTCTGTGGAATAAGCATGGAAGTAAAAATGTTTTCTGGAAGCTACTAGTAAGAAATTAAAACAAAATTAGCTTATCAACAATGTAAATTGATATTAAAAATATTCTGTAAGTTAAGAGTGTAACTACAACCTTATTTTCCTCTTTTCTATGTAATTTTTCTCTCAATTCAGATTATTATGATGCGGAATCTATGGTTCACACAGATACCAGGTCATTTATCCTGAAGAAGCCCAAGTTATCTGAGGAAATAGTGCCGCAGAATCAGCAATTGGGAAGGAGGGCTACAGAGGCAATACGAGTACTCTCAGGACGTCTAATACAGACACGGTAAAAAAACTACGACTTTGAGGATTGTTGTTAGTCAGATTGCTGTTTATGGCTTAGATAAAATCGCTGTTTGTCAACCATGAGAACTCCATAGTGTTTCCAAATATTTAGAATCACATGCTATTCAGGAAATCCCTCAGGTGAAATGGGTGGGACAGTGGAACAGTGGAGAAAACATATACATCCCCTGTTTTTATACTCCCTCTTCTATCCACATTGACTATTCTCAGATACAGGATATTAGTCGGGACTGATCTTTGGATCAGGCTGAGCATCAATTTCTTAATGGCAGTATTTCAGTTCTCTCTTCCTAGTGCTGAAAGCTTTTACACTCAGTGTTTCATAATGAGATGCTCAGTATTTTTGAGGAGATGCCTGGTTCTGTGTGTTAAAAGGTTCATGATTCCAAGAATGGCATTTACCCTCACTTTTTTGTCTCAAAACTAAAATCCTCAAAAGACTAATCACTTTCTTTTTTTTTTAACTATGTCTGTAAATGAGCTTTTGGATCTATCTGAGCAGAATGCAACAAACCGAAATGTACCTGCCAGATTCTTTGCTATATGCCATTGAAGGCTATATTTCTTACTTACATCCCCTGTGCTTCAGGGAGACTAGAAGACAAACTGTTAATTAGAGTGTGTTGTTAGTAGTATTAAAAGTAGGTTGGTTACTGTGTGACTCTCCATGGATTAGCTTGTACTACTTTTAGTTACTAGTGCAGCTCATGTTTACTCAAACCTCTGGAGTCAGAAAATCTATTTTTACTACATTTCTTTGTTTGATAGAGACCAGCTTGCACAGCCAGAGAAACCTGCTAGTCCCAAGTTCATTGTGACACTGGATGGTGTGCCCAGTCCACCAGGATACCTTTCTGATCAAGAAGAGGAAGATATGTTTATAACTGAAGGATTAAAGCCAGTTACCCAAAATATGTGTGCTGGAAAAGGATTAAAAGGCCTTCGAGCACAGCAGATGCAAATTGTAACCCGGCAACTGGAAAACTGTGATGGTAATTATGCTTACCAACAGGATCTAACATTAATGTCATTCTTAAGAAATCAAAGTGATGGTGTTTATTATTCAAATTAGAACATTTTTTAGGCAAATGAAATGTGGCAATTCAGTGGGGTCATATCTTTGGAAGCCTTTATCTTGGTGAACTAGAGCAATATGGCACATAGGTAATTCTCCACACCTCTCAATATTGGTAAAATTTGGGGTTTTTCTCTTGAAAATGTAGTTTGTCTTTCTCTGCCAGAAATCTGCACTTCTGGTTGACCCATTATCATTTGTCGCCATGGTGATGTAAGGAGATTTTATGATGAATGTTTTGCTATGCATTAAACTTTAAAAAATAGGTCAGGTGATATTAATGTTTCTGCCTAGATTTGTGATATCAAAAGCAGCCTGTTTAGTATAAGGTGTTGATAGGGTCAAGTTGCTAGAATCTCTGAAAGTAGAACTTAACAGTGTGTTGTTTTACTTGAAGATTTGTGTATTCAGGATACCTTTTGAAAAACATGGGAAGTTTCTTGCTGAAGCATGTGTTTGAATTGTTTAGAGTGCTGATGCAGTGATGAAAAATTTAGAGGATACTGTTTTGTCATACACCAAGCATAGGTCATGCTTGAATTCTTTTGTTTTGGTTCTCTTATGAAAATAAAGACCTTTATTTTCCATAGTAGCAATGCATCCAGATTATCTGAACTAAATGAAGAATATTATTTGGTGCTGTACAGAGAACTCTTTAAATTTCATGGATCCAGCTGTAATGCATTTATGAGAGAATCATGGGGGAAAAACAAAAGATCTTTTAAGTCCACATTCTTTCAGTTCCACTGGCTGTAGAAGTACTGCACATATCAGGCAGTCTTAAAGAAGAAAGGAATGTTATATATGCATTGACAGAGTTTTAGCTGTACAGTGAAATATGTATTAGAGTACTACCCTTGCAAATCTGTGCTTTTACTAGTATAGTCTCTTTCATACTCCCGACTAAAGCTATTTGGTACAGGAGAGTGTTGCTGATAAAGTTATATCTCTGTTAAAGTTTCTTACTTGATTACCTACGTTAGCCAGAAGTATCACAGGTACGACTGAAGTTCACACAGAATCTGCTCAGTGTGGAAGTGATTTGTATAAGCAGTGTGGTTTTGCACTAGCGTAGCATTATTTGTCTTCGGTGCATTGCAAGGAGAAGGCATAGATAAGGCTGAGGATGGAATAAAGCTGGAGCAAGTATGTCACTAGTCAGATCAGAGAGGTAAGTCTAGCAGTCCTGGAAAGCTTTGAAAAGCCAAAGGTTTAGGCAGATTTGGGAAGATAGGACAACAGTGAAGGTATATGCATAATTGCCTGAATTTGCAGAATGGGGTTTTACAAATAATGTTAAAAAGAAAGTCAAAGTCCCAGATTCTCATAAGAGTAGTGAAGGTATTGAATGTTTCAGCTTGGAATTTCTTAAAATACATTTTGGATTGGAGTCTGGGTTCAGGTGGTATCTGTCCAAGCAAATTACATGAAAGTGGTTCTTTTTCGGTGTGTGTCCCCATACTAATAAATCATATCTGGTTAGTGTAAAAGTTGATTTTTTTTTTTTTACTCTCTCTCTTGAAATAATTTTCTAAAGCCAGAAATAATCTCTGAGAAAGGAAGCATAGGTATTATGAACACATGGCTCAGCAGAACAATCATAACAGGTTCAGCTGAAGAATCTTTGTCTTTGTCTGATCAAGATCTGGTCCGTATGACTTTCACAACCGAATTTGGATTTGTGAAGAAAATTATTTTATTTTGCTTGTAAACAGTGCAAGTTGTGGGTTTTTTTGTTGTTTTGGTTTGTTTGTTTTTTTTTTTTTTAAATCACCAGAAGGCTGCTGTAGGTCCAATATTACAATTTCTTTCACTTCATAGTTTTGGAAATTTTCTTCAGATATGATTATACATAAATTTTTATTGTTGTGATTTTTTTGATTAATAGAGGCTTATCAAGAATTGGGTTAAAAGGAGAGAGACGATAGGAAATATTGTGAATTTCGGTTATGCTACATTGTGTACACCAAATTGCATACAGAATCATAAAGGTCCCAGCTTGGGTTTTTTCCTTTTTTTTCTTTCCTTCCTAGTGGATATGGAAGAGTTAAATGTGTTACAAAACCAAGAGAAGGTGCTTGAACGATGCAAGTACTGGCCTGCCTGTAAAAATGGAGATGAATGTGTGTACCATCATCCCACACTACCTTGCAAGTGAGTAGTGCAAAGCTCATGCACTTGACATGTTATTTTTATTTTGGTAGTACAGATTTCCCTTCTGTGTTAGTAAATATGTCAAGGCAGCATAAGTCTGTTAGGGTAGAGATCACAGCTAGATTCTCACACTGTCATTTCTTGTGTTTTCCACTCATCTACCATGTGTCAGAATACAGTGATGTTTTTAATAAGTAGAGTCACAGCTGTGCTTATGCTGAAGAAAGCTTAGTTTAGCATGCAGGCTGGTGCTTTTGTGTTGCTTAGAGATGTGAGAATTCATGTCATCTTAAAACAAGAGGCACTATTCTGCTAGCTGTCAGAATACTTTTGAACATGTTAGGGTATCATTACACGGTAATGTTTTTTTTTTTTTTTTTTTTTTTTTTTTTTTTTTTTAATTTGAAACCAAAGGCTAACTCTTGAACGTGTGTTGTCCTTTGCCTTCTCTTCCACAAGCAGCAACAGTCTAGAAAAATAATTTCTGGTTTGAGATAAATGTTAACAGATTGGGTAGCTTCATTTACTCAGACATTTGAATTTTCTTTTAAAATCTGACATAACTACCTTCAAAATAATGCTTTCTCTTCAGTAAACAAACCATATTACTTAGTCAATTCTGTGTCCCTCTGCACAAAGGTCCGAATTCACAGTCCCTTTGCTGCTCTGCACTGCACACTAAGAATAAATAATGCACCTTAGCTTGCAACAAGTAGATTGCTACCAAACACCACTGTGTGTGAAGTGGTTCAGTTATTTCCTGCATGTAAAGAGTGTCTGCAGGGAAGATGAACACGGATCTGTGTGCATGCAGCTAGCACACTACCCCTGCATGCTCTGCTTTGGAAGTAACCAACACATGTGCGCAAGCCCTGTTGTAGTTCTGGCTTTCTGTGGTATTCTAGCTTTTGTGCACAAGAGCTGCTTGGGGATTTTGCTCCAGGTATAGGTTTATGACTCAATTTCTTTTCCCTCAGAGTTTTCCCTAACTGCAAATTTGCTGATAAATGCTTGTTCATCCATCCAAACTGTAAATACGATGCAAAGTGCACTAAGCCAGACTGTCCTTACACTCATGCCAGCCGACGAACCCCCCATCCACCTCCTAAACCAGGTGAGCACCTCTTGTTTTTCTGAGCTTTAAATGAAAGTGCTGAAGGGAAAACAGTGTATTTGGAAGAAGAAACTGACAATGGTGAAAATATAATTTTTGCTTGATATGACTTAATTTTCTTTCAACTCTTAATACTAGATGAATAAAATTCAGTGTGACTGCAAAAAACAAAAAATCCAGTGTTGTCAGACAAATCCCTGAATGTTTCTCTGCACGAGTCCATGTGAAATCTAGGCAAGACCACAGTGGTGACTTGCACAAGCAGTCCTTTTTTCTGGAGGGATTAGCCAGCACTGCAATTTTACTCAAATTTATTTTATAATTGGATACCTGTTATACCAAGAGCTTCTGATACAAATTGAAAACAGAGGTTTCTGTCTTTGTATGATTTTTTTTTTTTCCTCTCTAATGACACCGTAGGAGCTATCTTTATGTAATGATGAGATGACTTTTGGGGTGAGGTTACCCAGCAAAGGCAGTAGCTCTTTGGATTACAGGTTGGTATTCCTGAGCCTTTCACCAGTGCCAGGGTGGAGTGCCTTTTCCGCTGAGGTCATGATCTTTAGGAAGCAGTTTAGCGCTTAGTCATAGTACGGTGCAGTTTTGTTACTTTGCCAGCAGGCCGACTACAATGTGCTTATCCATCTCCTGTACCATTTCCAGCAGCTCCTCTGTATTCCTGGAAAGTGCACTGCCTGTGCCTTTTGGTCCAGTTAGCTTCAATGCTAACAGGCTTGTTGCTGAATTTAGCATTTGAATGCCTCTGCGTATCAGAATCTCGGCTTAATTTGTTGGAGTTGTTGCAATGACCATGGTACTTGCCTGAAATGGTGAAGAACCGAGACTAGTGATTACATGATAGTCTTGTTCTACCCCAGGATGACATCCACATAGTGCCTGGTGATATGCATCCCATAGTTTTTGCAGAACTTTGGTGTATTATAAAATGTAATTTCTTGCAGAAGGGTTGATATATTTGTGTGAAACTATGTTAAAGCGGTTTGTTCTGATCCAGACTCACTTCCTGTTTTTTTCTACTCTTAGCACCGCTACCCACACTGTCTGTAAATTCCAGTAGTCCGCTGTGCAAGTTTTTTCCAGCTTGTAAGAAAATGGAATGTCCATTTTACCACCCAAAAGTAAGAATTTTCTCCTATCTCTTCCCTTTCTTTTTAGAAAAATACTTGAAGTACCTTTCTTTGAGTCAGGAAATGTCACTAGCATTTCATACTTTTTGATTTTACTTTTCACATTTTAACTCGGAAGCAGACTATACAAAACCAGTGACTTAAAGAATTTGGAAAATTATATTTTTAAATAATTTTTCTACCAGATGCTTCTGTGGAGTTTCAAACAGGCAGCTGGCCATAGCACTTGTTAGGAATCTGCCCATCCAGGATGCTGGGGGCAAAGGAGGAAGACATCTTCTAGCCTCTATGGAAGAAATAAATTTCAGACTCTTGACTTTTCATTCAGATGTGCTGCAGTGTACAAGAACTTTAAAGATTGATCAGTTATCCTGAAGTATAGTCCTGTAATTTATGTAGTATAAGAGTTTATAACTTGGGTACTTCTATTCCATAGAATTGTGTCCCTGCCTATTTTACACAAGTTCAGGGCTTTTTCAAGCACAAACAACCCTGAAATGCCCCGGGGCCCCAGGACTCTGTTCCCAGCTGTTATTGGCCAGATACTCTGGCTTTTCCTCTGTCTTGCAGATAATGCTGTGTTATGCTCCCGACTTGTACACACAGATCAATGGAAACTAAACACTGTTAACGTTTAAAAGCCAAGGAACTTCCAGCTGTCCATGAAGTGGCAGTTTTGGACCATCTAACCCTTAATTAAAAACTTTTGAAAAAGGCTTTCCTTCTGTTATTGGGTTGCACTGATGGCACTAGTCCGTATAGCTGTTGTCTCAGTCATCAGTCAGGTATGTCGTATAGATACAGACTGACATGTAACACATGGGAGCCAGCGAGGTCAGGAGTCCAGGCAGCCAGTGCTGAGTAGCCTCTTCTGAAATCTTTCATTTTTAGCATTGTAGATTTAACACCCAGTGTACAAGACCAGACTGCACTTTTTACCACCCAACTATTGCTGTACCTCCACGCCATGCCTTGAAATGGACTCGGACTCAAACCAGGTGAGATGCTGGTTATCAAGTTTTATTTTTCTTGGTTAGGTTTAGAGTGTATGTTGTGACTTATGTCACAAATGTAATTTTACTCACAGAAGTAATCACGAAGTAATATGTGTGTGATGAATAATGACGATTATATGAAGAAAGATACCTGTTATAGGCATCTTCATTTTGAAGAGAACTCTACTGTTTAGTTAATGTTTACACTACTAAAACCAATGTGATGCAACACTGAAAAACAACTGCCCTGCAGCTAGGGTATGGCAGAGTCACTGGAATCCTGACAGGGACATGTTGTGTTTACTGAGTTTTATTTGAAAAAAGCTGAATATCCAACATCAGCTCTTTACTCTTGTTTTATTTTGTGTCCAAGCTGTCTTTTTTGCAAACATTCAGATGCTTCTCAGTGTTTCTGGCAGAAAAGTTCCATCGTGTTGTCTAACCATGATTTCATAAACTGAAGCAAACTTCTCAAAGCTGCGCTTGTTGGTCTGTATTAATGATACATGAGCCTTGCACTCCAGCTAATCTTGTCTGCAAAGGTCATAATTGTTACAGGGTGGGACACAGATCAGTTCTCAAATCATCTTTACAGAGTGGTAGAATTGTTACATGAATTGTTTGGGTTTTTTTTCCCCCTCAGTGAATGATGCCACTTGGGACTGAACTTCACCTCCTTGGGTCAGTAGTGGAAAGGAAGATGAACCACCAGTGGCACAGGATGTTAGAAAAATCCATGCATTTTGAACTTTTAATATACATTGTTTTCATAAAATGAAGTTGATTGCATACTTGAAATGTCTCTAATTTTCCAAGTTTGTAAGTTTGAGCAATTTTACATTTTTTTTACGCTGTAAGAAGAAAATGTCTGTGTAAGGAAAGTTTTACTTTAAATTCCATTAAAAACTTTCAAAGCACATTTTGTGTTCTGTTTGGGTCACGTTTCTTGCTTAAGATTAGGAATGTAGCACCAGAAGGTCTGAGAAAGCTTAGTCCTGTATTCCAATCATATTAGAAGTATTTTTTGTTCAGCATGTGTTTTTAAAGTGCATACAGCTGAACCCCTGTCATGGCAAAGGGTGACTGAACTCTTTACCTGCTCCTAGGGAAAAAGAGTGTAAATGGTTTGTCTTTGGGACATTTTTTTGCTGTGTAATAAGCATCATACCCCTGATAATTTCTTAAACAGGGAAAAAACAAAGATAAGGGACCAAAAATGTTCCATAAGCAAGAACAATTAAACAATTTACTGTACTGTGCTCCATTTAAAAAGCCTATGAAAGTAAATACTCCTTCACTTGAAAATAAATGGTTTCAGATGTCTCCATTTATACCAGGAAGAGAGAAGCTCCTCTCTGAATCTCCTTCTAAAGAATCTATTTTTCCAGCACACCTGACTACTGGGCAGATGTTGAGAAAGTTCCTGTGACATAGTCACCTCCTGGGATTATTTTTTTGCATAAATACATTTAAGTGGTAGTATAATAATGAAAAGCACTGACCAGTAACATAAATGCACTTTTTTATTAAAACTTTTGTATCTTCTGGGGAACTACATTTTTCACAAAAATATACAAAAGAATTTCTTTTTACAAATATTTACATTTAATATCAGAAAACAATGTCAGCTACATCTTTTAAACTTAAATTTGACAAATATAATCTTGAATTCTGAAACTCAACACTCCAGGAAATTATTTTTCTTTTTTTTTGTGAAATAAAGTACTCAAAGTTCATATTCAAATTTAAAAAAATCTTAATTAATGCAAAATTCTGACATTTAATATTTATATATATATATATATACTTTCAATAAACATACAACATTGTTACAGGGATTAAATGTTCGTGATGGAAACCAAAATGGGACTACACTTAAAACCATGTCCTTATTACAGTAATACATGACCATACCTTTGGACTAGTTTAAAATACCTTTTTTCTTTTTTTATTTTTTGTTAAAGCAAGAGGCATAGATTATCTGACACACTCCATAATGAAACACAACAAATCTAAACAGACAACTGGCTTTTAAGCTTAAAGAACTACAGTAAAATATTTTCCTAAGGTGACCTGACAGGGGAGTGGAGGAGGAGAGGATAGGCTCTTGCGTTATATGGAGCAATGGTGAAATAGATTTCCAGATGAAATACTTCAAATTACACTATTTTTCTATAGAATTTTCCTATGCCTTCAGTAGCTGTCCCTTTCAGAAATAGCTGCCACCATGACGCCATTTTCCTTTTCAGTGTGGGATGAGGAAATAATTTGTAAGTGCAGCAGAAAACTAATACTACCTCCATTGCTCAATTTCAACATTTTCAATGTTTTACAACCTACTGTACAATGTTTAGCATAAGGCAAGCTGCTGCTTTTTCTCTGCTAAAAATAAAGTGAACAGACCAAGTCACAAAGCTAAAGTGTATTTTTTAAAGGGAATGGGTCTAATGCATTTACTTTGTTACATTATTTTAAGTGATCCTTGTGGTCTGGAGTATATTCTTATTTGAAAGCTACATTAAAAATGCATTAACTTTCTTTACAAATTAGTAGTGCAGCTTTTCCATTACTTAATATAATATGCTCTATACCTGTAACTGAACTAAAAAGCATAAATAACCAGATACTGCTTTAAAAAGAAAAAGGAGCCATTTTGCACCTAAAACCACAACACAATGGTAAGTAATAGCACGTAAAGGAAAACAGACCAGAAATGTGGAAAGTACTACCCAACAGCACCAACGTTTCACAGAAGTACAGAAAACTATTTTTTTTTTCATGCAATTTGTGCCTGTGTTCATGCTTGGAGTTTCTTTAGAAAGTATATTTATTAAATTCCCAAAGAGTACAGTATAGAACATGTCCTGGGTGTGACTGGTGTTTGAAAAAATCATGGAGTTACAGAAGTACCATTTACAGCTCCATAGCTGGACATCACATACTCAGACTTGAAGTAAGGTGCTAGAAAAAGGTATTAAACTGCTTTGCTTCTTGGGAAGAATAAATACCCTATTTTTCATCTGAGCATGAAAGATCCCCCCCACTCCCAAATCTCAAGAATTTGCAACTAAGTTAACAGAAAATTCATTTTCAGCAATATAATGCTTTGTATTGCAAATCACCACAGTAACAGTGAAGCTGTGGTTAAAGCTGGCTGACCTCTCACAGCCACTCTATTTGAAAAAAAAATTTACTTGGGGGTTGGGAGGGGGGGGAGTCACTTTAAGGGCTCCTGGGGGCAGGGAGAGAGGTAAGAATAGTACTGGCAAGAGCTAACAGATGAATAATTGGAGGATATTACATGAAACACCCCTCCACCCCCAAAGGCTTATAATCCTGCAGAGGACAGAAACTAAAATACCCCTCCTACCTCCCCTTTTCAAACCCACCAATGCAATACTTATTTCAACAATCTACATTTTTTTCCTTAAGCACTCATCTCCTGCCTCAGCTCCCCCAAGAGCAGCTGAAGCTGGCACTAGCTTTATGAGAGCTGCAGTTACATACTGGATAGCAGCATTTGTCCCCTGTGAAAAAAGAATTAATCTTCTGAAAAACTGGTGAAGCACAAATGATGTTAATCCTCTAGTTTAAAACACCTGTTATGTTGGGTGCACTTAATAGTGAAATGGGTCCAACTAGGTGGTTCTTTTAAGAATGTAGAATGGTGTGAATCAGACATCTCTACATCACTGGAATGAACATGACAATAATTTTCGGGATACCACTAAAAAAAGGATTGAGGTTTGTTTTGGTTTGGGGTTGGGTTTTTTTGGTTTTAAACAAGCTCTTACATGACGTCTGTGCCCAAACTGAGCAAGATATGCACTACTAAGGGCAAAATCACTTTGTAGGGTCTTGACATTATCCCACAACAATCAACAGAAACTCAGGAAACTCATATTTTGGCTTTTGGAAGAGAAACCCAGACAGACTGAGAGACAGGAACATACAAGCTGAGTTCGGGACACGTGAGGCAGTCCTTTTAATGGATGGAAAAGCACCAGTCCAGCTATTTCTGCACAGATTTTATGCTTCTTCCAAAGAGTTGCTACAGGTAAAGAAGTCCAGTTCAGTTGTCTAAACAGCACCTGTAATGAGTTTGGATTATTTTTTTTTTTTTTTACATAAAGTTTACCTTAAGTCAATTATTTCCTTGTTTTGTGATTGTTTATTATGGGATAAAATCAAGAACTTTTAACCATTTTATTTCTACTCATATTCATAGGCCTACATTACACTCAGCATCCCTGACTTGCTATACCTCTGTCTGCAGGCCTAACCACCGAGGCAAGGAACCACCAAAGGAAAATTCAGCTCACATATGATTTGAAGAACATACACAGGCTGTAGCTTTAATGGCTGTCATCTTAAATGTTGTGCATGTCTGAGAACAGAACCAAGAACTGGTGAATAATGTATCAATAGAAAATAAATAGGCGGTAATTGATACAACTTGGTTATGAAGAGTTTTCTAAAGCATAGCATTTCTTTGGTTTCGTATTTTTTGTTTGAACACTGCACTTAAGCCCAGTTGCACAGGAAACTAAAATATGGATAAATCAGAAGAGGCCTAGTAAAACAATTCGTGTTTGGTTTATGTGGAAAAGACGAGTAGCGTCTTAAAATACATCCTTAAACTCTTTTACCTGAGCTCACAGTACTACATAGCATTTTTATATTTACAGTATTTTCTTTGTTACCAACATACATACACTGCAACAGTGGTTCATCGGTGTTAGCCGCTTTAACTCAGCACTAAACAGCTGTCCTGTAGGAACGGGAGTGGAAAGAGCAACAATAGGGAGCAGCTGCATCTTCCCCAAAACAGAGCAAACAAAGCTGCCTGCAGCCTTTCCTTGAGCACTCTGGTGCTCTCTGGTCCTTAAACTCCACAACCAGCCACTGAATACTTCCCATTTGAAAAAAGATGTTTGCTAGAAAGTGACATGACTCCCTACATCCCACCCTCCCCATCCTGTTTTGGTTCTTTGGTCCTGTCTTTGCCTATTTGAGCATTCCTTCCTCTATTTTCCTTTGTTTTCCTTCCTTTTCTCCAAGTTTATATTTATTGGTTTTATTCTATCCTATGTTCCATAATTGCAAAAAGAAGTGGAAATTACAAGAATTGCCTACTGCCACCATGCTCAGACCTTACACTTTTGTTTGGTTTTACACTAGCGGGAGAAAGAGAACATATATTCCATGCCTTTTTTTTTTTTTTTTTTTTTTTTTCCCCACAGAAAAAGTGAATTGGGTGGATTGCTGGTTTAACAGTTAACAAAAAAGTAGATCAAGGTTATGACTGGCATACTGTTGGTAATCTGAGAAGGGAACGGTGAGTGGTTACCTGTTCTAGCATGAAGCAGACTGGAGAAAACTACTCACCGAACCCACCTACTAGTTTTCAGTTACTTATGAATGATTTTGGCAAGAAAAACTGTTGTGGCTTTTATGCATATTATACACCTAAAACTATTTTTATTTTCTGAAATGAGATATGCAGAGTTTAAGTCTGAAGTCAAAGTTAACTGAAGAGCAAAGCTGGAGACAATCAAAGGCTTGGTCTAACCACACCACAGTGATTGGTACAGAGAACACACAGCAGGCTATGGCAAGCTCACATATCTGTCAACACGAGCGAAAACCAAATGGTGCTATGAACTGTAGGTAAGCAGAGCAGATTGTGTGGCAGCATGACAAAACCATGAGAACAAGTGAGTATGCAAATGCAATACAGCTAGTGATGTTCAAACAACCGATGTGGCCTTTTATTTTGTGACTTGCAATCTTACTACCCTTTCTGTAGAGTCTACAGGATGATTCACTTTGTCCAAAACACTGATGACATTTGTATATAGCTTTTGCTAATAGGATTTTTTTAAAAATCTTTAAAGATGAAGGCCCCTCACATCTGTGACACTGATAATGAAATAGGGAAATCTGTCACCTTGTCCATGTAAGAATTGCATTTGAAACCAAGATCCTTTGCTGCACCATGCAGAGCGAGCCCAATAAAGGGGTTCCAGTGTATCTGTCTAGAATGAAATCCATGTGCAAGTGGAGACTTGAACGCTGCTGGGTGCAAGTCAGGAAGCAGTTGAGGTGCTGCACAGGCAGCTGCTCAGGGCTTGTCTGGACAGAACACTGCTTGGCAAACTCACAAGTCAAATAGGTGCAGGCAGCAGCTGGGAGCAGTGGATCATGGCTTTAAAAGTAAGCCACCTGTGAACGCCATCAAACTCCTGCTCTTGGTATTGGTCCTTTATTTTGATTTAGTTTCCAGATCCAGGAAATAACTTGTTTGCAATGTGTCTGCTTTCTGGTGGTACAATTCCAGATTAGTATTAATCTAACTTGTATGAAGATCAGAGTTATTCTGAAATGAATCTTGCTAATACTGAAACCCTGATATTGAGCAAAGTCAGGAGTTACTCTGAATGCACGCTTTCCTTCAGCTGTCAACAAGTGACAAAGTAGCCCTGATTTTCTGCAATGATTTTATCTTTAGTTTTACACCATCTCTCACCTTCGTTATCAAAATCAGTCATATATGATGACTACCTCCTGAAGAATAAAACAATCAAGATTTCAAGTCTAAATGATTTAATGCATTTGGCTAATTTGTTCTCCCTGACCTAATCTCAACTGTATTCTTCAATTCCTGCACTATGGCAATTTGCAGTTCTGAATGTGTTTATTTTTAATTTTTGCTTGCTCCTAGGAGCTGGATTTTCCTTCTCTCATTCTCTTTTTTCTAAACAGACTTAAATAGCTTCCAAGGGCCCATTTAGTTTAAGCAAAACGGCATTTTGTCTTTACTGAATAGGTTCTGTAGTTTTCTAGTTTATTTCTGCTCTCTGGCGCTTCCAAACGAAAGGCTGCCACCAGTCTCCACATTCCAGCTTCTGCCCTGACGTATCCTACAGGGTTATGTCATTCTCTGACTTTTTGCTGAGCAACCAGCCGCGAGCTCCCACTGCCTACTGAAACAGGCAGTCTGCTCCTGGATACACATGCTTCAAGCACGGGTGGCAGCAATTAGCAAGTTACTACAGTAGCATTTGATGTAAACAGCAGATGAGGCACAGTAACAAGCACCATCACAGACAAAAAGACCAAAAAACCCACAAAGCTGCCATGTTTAACCATGCTTAGAGGCAGCTTTTCTCTTCAGCAGAGAATCACAGTTTGTCCTACAAAATAGGCTCCAAACTGTCCTCGGGAAGAAAGCTGCAACTCAGTCTCTACTCACTCTTCTTCTCAACGTTTATGAGCATTCCCACTGGCTGACCCCCTTTTACCTGGTGAACCACAGAGCAGTTTTCCAGGAAAATGCTAGCTACCAACACCGGCTGCAATAGGAGGAACAAGGCAGGTGGTTTTGTTTTTAAAGAGCTCCTCCTCAGCTTCCAGCTCTCATTCCATCCCTCTGCAGTAGCAGTGAGGTTTGGAAGAGAGTGAAGCAGGGAGATGTGGAGGCTCAGACTTTCCCCCTGCAGCTATCACCCCTGCACCGCCAAGGGCAGCCCCACTGCAACTTGGCCCTCAGCCTTCTCATCGGTCCTCCCCCGTGGCTGGTGTGGCATTTGAGACTCCCCAGGGCAAAAGCATCAATGGACAAATGATCAGTGGAGAGGCACGGCATTAATGAGTGGGGAGGGAAGGAGAGAAGAGGACATGACCAGTGACAAGGATCCAAGGAAGAAATCTCTTGATAGCCCACATACCCACATTGGATGAAGGCCTGCAGAAGATCATGAGGCTGGAAAAGGATTTTGAGGGGAAAAATTTGGACTTTGATCTGGCAGTCTGAGTAGGACAGACTATGAGGGAGTTCTTAACAGCCACCTAATTTCAGCTGATGAAAGGCAACTTTAAAATAAAGGCAGGACAAATCTTACTTCAAGTCAAGATGTCCAGCACAGATATGTTTAATAAGGGATAGAATTTCAGCTACAGAATAGCCTGCTGCAACTGACTTCTCTGGCAAAGGTAAGATTTAAATGACAGATACTCATTTTCATATAAAACAGACAGGCAGGCAGGCAACAAGGTTATGGAACAGATCAGGTCTAATCTCGATTCTGATATGCAATTCCCCTAAAGTCAAAAATGTTAGTGGCAAGGTCTCCCTGTACACTCATGACCAAATCTACAGAGCTTTTGCTCCCTTAGAATAACAGCTGCGTGACTGGCAAGAATTTGCTGAGAACCATTCATGCCAAGAAACATGATAAACAACTTTTTTGAAGTATTTGTTAGAGCTTGATATATATATTATCTAAGACTGTTGGGTAACTATAGCTTTGTATAGCACATAATAAGCATTTTTGGACCTTGGAGAGCATGAAAGTCTGTCTCATTAACTTTTCTCCCCGTTCTCTTCTATATATGTTTGCCCACCCATTCCTCCTATAACCACCATGCACACAAGATGCTTACAAGAAGAGATGACATTTATTTCTTTTTACTCTTACCTGATGTAAAAGAAAGAAAGAGGTGGATAACATCAAAGCCTACTGATCGAACAAAACAAACACCATTGTTAAAGCAATGCTGGCTTACACAGAGAAAGAGTTTTACGTTCACAGCAGAATGTCATTAAGAGAGCAGTGCTGATCATTAGCAACTTCTGTTCCCTTCTATGTTGCATGAAAATCAACTGCACAGATTAAGGAACAGGTTCAGTCTGTAATGTATCTCTATGACATGATTTAGACAAACAGCTGATGAAATCTTCCTCACTTATAGCAAAACACAGCTTTGTTCAGGTTTTCATTACCACTGAAATGTTCTTTCAACTTAAGAGTCTCAGTTATGTTGCAGGATAGAATAAATGCACTTATGCTAGAGGTGACAGCAGATCCATTTAAAGAAGCATATGATTGGACATTTTTTACAATTGTGAGAGAAATCAGAGTAGAGACCTCTCTCAGCTAGTCCTAACCCTGTTAAAAAGTTCAAATGTACAAAAGACAATGTCTGGACAGTTTATATTCTCTCCGACCCCCTCCCCTAGGATGCTGAGAAAATAAAATCAATTCATATTGCTATGAAATTCTATTTTTGCAACTGGTGACATCCCAAGCTTTATCGATTATGAAGACTATAAACCCCTCACCCTAGTCCACATTTCCAGCACAGAGGCTAACAGCTCAGTCAAGCAACACAGCAATAATCTCTCTTCCACTGAGAATACTTTTATTCACAAGGCAAAAATTGGAGTTAGACTTTTAGGTTGTGGGCAAGGCACTCGCAAAGTGAACAAATCTATTTTTGCTCACAGAACTAATTTAATGTTTAAGTGCAACAAAAACACTAAATTAGCCATGAAGATCATGCATATCCAATGGCTTTCACCAGACATGACTGTGACCCAGGCCTCTAAACACAGAAATATTTAAGTCCTAAAGGAATCAGCTCTATTATTTTCTGCTTCACCAGATGATGTTTCCTTTTTACCAGTCATAAAAATATCATTTCCATTATCATAATTAAACATTTATTAAAATACTATATATTTGAGTTAATATATGGTTTCTTTCAGTAATAAAATATGGAATACTCTTTTTTTTTTTTTATGATATTCAGATTCCAAAACTTAAAGAAGAAACATTCATGCTGAAAATAGATCAATGTACAGTACTAGGTCAGAAATAACATCTCTTGATTAAAGCCCCAGGATCTTACTGTGAAACTGTACATTGATTAACAATTCCCTTTTTACTTTTATCCACGTATTTCATTTTCAACATCTGGCAGTGAGTGAAATACAAACCCGGATTATCCGATACTGATGTAAATCTAACGGCCTCACCATATTTGTTACAATCCACATACTTCTGACAAACTCTAGATACTGGTCTTTCAGAGACAGATTGCTCTGTGTCTTGGATCAGCACCACTTCTTATGCATGCAGGGCAGAGTAGAATGTCACATTGCAATCCTGGGAATTTCATGCCTGGTACTTCATGCAGTGTCCTCTTTGAAAGTCTCCATTTCTCTCTCAATGAGGCATATGCACACATTTCCAAACAAATAAGCTGTGTTTACAAAATGATATTAAATATGAGGTATAAAAGATGTGTTTAACAATACTGTTAAAAAGAAATGGCTAATACAGTTAAAAGGATGATTCTCTGAATACAGACATAAACATTTTAATTTACTAGAGCTTAACTGCTCATATTAACATCTGGGCTATTGATTCTGTGGCAAATACCCATTTCTTTATATACAAACAGAAAATCAAGCACACAGATAAAAAGATGAAGACTGAACTTGAGCTTTACACTGTTATGGACTGTCTGTGCCCACTGCTGTGTACTTTTTGACTATAATGGAAAGGATACGTACCTGCAGTCATCCCCTCCAGCACTGACCACGTATCTATCTCCACTCGTAAATCGAATATTAGTTAAGTGGGCAGAGTGACCTAAAAATCGTTTGTGTTTTGCCTGGAAAAAAAAAAAACAAACAACAAACCAACAATAAAATGAGAGAGTCTAAATATTGTGTCCTCTTAAATCAAACAAGGCATGCATGTTTTCATCTACCTTTTTCTTGCTTCGCGTTATTTATATAACTCAGAATGTTATATACATTTTCAAATGTGGAAGATCTCCTGAAGGAGAATTACTATTGAGCTGCAATGCTGATTACATTGTCACCAGATGAGACAGCACCTCCAAACTGGAACAATGCTCAAGCTAACACAATAAAATGAAATTTATCTTGTCACATGATTAATCTCTGAATTTTGTGTAAAATATCTAACACTGAAAAAATTATTTTCATTACAAGTGTGTAAGCAGTTTACACTGTGCAGTCTCAAATCCTGAAAGTTAACGGTGCTAGTTAGCAAAAAATCTGTACCTCTTCATTCATGGAAATACACAGATGAGACTAAAATTACCAGCTGTCTTTCTCATCTGTCTAATGGAGACTGAAGATGTAGATAAATAAAACTAAGGGCTTTGAGATCTTCATTATAAAGGCACTATTAATGCAGACAGGCAGACAATACTAACATCTACAAGAGCAAATAGCAAGAGCTATTGCACAAAATGGTAGGAAAACTTTGAGAAGTGTGGTTGGTTATGAGACTACAGAACCGAAGTTACATAGATGCATTAAAAAGCTACAAATTTAAAGAAGGAAATCATCATACATCCTCCAGAGAAACAATACAAGACCACAATATCAACAGTACTTCTTGTTGTAACAATGCAAAAATGAGTTCTTACAAATTTTTCTGGACATGGAAAGTCAAACAGTTTCACCATGCCAAAATCATCGCCTGTTACAAGATTGATTCCCGAGTGAGAGACACAGGCACAGTTTACATCAGCTTTTTCGGTGTGCCTGGACCAGATTCCAATTACTTCATCCCCTAGAACACTGAAACAGAAAAGCAAGAAATTCTTTTGAGAACTCCAGCAAAAACAGTACGGTAAGGAAATAGTAAGCAGTTCTCATATTGTAACTGACTTTACAAAAATGTGATTTTTACATTTTAATCTTACACATACGTGTCTTGCAGAGGTTTTACTCTGTAATCAATTATTGTATCATTCCATAATTGCTCCTGAAACTGATTCAGTGATATAATTCCCAAAATAATGTGACCCATGACAACATTAAGAAGCAGAGGTGAAATCAATACTACTACTATTGCCCAGTGAGGTATTTGCCAAAAAAAAAAAAAAAAAAAAAAAAAAAAGGCAATTAAAAATAGAATGTCATAGCATAAGCATTACATGAAGAAGTTTCAGTTTTTGGAAAATAAAATCTGTATATTCTCATTATAACTAAGTTTTTTTGATTCTGTAACATTTTCATATCAATTAGATGAGAAGTTTCCTTCAGTCCAGTGAAGATTCTTCATTATAATCAGAGAGTGAGAGATAAATTGTCCTAAACAGAAAACATGATTATCTTAAGACTACAAACCAGATATTTAGAGGAAATTTCCTTTGCAAACCCCTGTGAAAAGTTGCTTTTTATTCAGCTCTGCTGACAATCTATATGCATACTTCCAAGAAACAAGCATTTTATCATTTGTTAATAGGTGAATTATTTGGGAAATCTTCTGTGATTTTTGCCCCCCAAATCAGAGCACAGCACAATACATTCAAAAAGGAACAACTTACTTTAGACTTACTGAATTTGGTCAGGAAACACAGGTTTTTTGTTTTCACATCAAAAAGGTGACGAAAATGGATTAATGTGCTGGTTTTGACTGGGTTAATTTTCTGCATAGTAGCTGGCATGGGGCTCTGTTTTGGATTTGCGCTGAAAACAGTGCTGATAACACAAAGATGTTTTAGTTACTGCTGAGCAGTGCTGACACAGCGTCGAGGCCTTTTCTGCTTCTCACCCCCACCAGCGAGGAGCCTGGGAGTTGGGAGGGGACACAGCCAGGACAGCTGACCCCAGCTGACCCAAGGGATATTCCAGACCGTATGACAACATGCTCAGCATACAAAGCTGGGGGAAGAAGGAGGAAGGGGGCGGATGTGCAGAGTAATGGTGTTTGTCTGATGGAGCCCTGCTTTCCTGGAGATGGCTGAGCACCTGCCTGCCCATGGGAAGTGGTGAACGAATTCCTTGTTTTGCTTTGCTTGCATGCATAGCTTTTGCTTTACTTATTAAACTGTCCTTACTTCAACCCACAAGTTTTCTCACTTTTACCCTTCCCATTCTCTCTCCCATCTCACCGGGGGGAGCAAGCAAGCAGCTGTGTGGGGCTCAGTTGCTGGCTGGGCTTAAACCAAGACAATTACCCAAACAGAAAGCTAGCAAAGTGTGTTTTTCAGAGCCCTCTGAAAAGCTCGTAGTTTCAGTCATGTCTTGCATCAAACAGTCAGGATTATTATTGTTCAAAGTGGTTCCCATGTGGAAAATTTTCAAGTATTTACTCTCAATTTTTGTCAGAGGGTGCTAAGGACAACCATTGAAAACAGACAAAGGAGCCTGAACTGAGGCAGAGGAAATGAGAATGCACAGAATGTAAAAGAAATTATTTAAATGCAACATAAAAGTAAAGTACAGTATCATTCTTAATGTAATTTCTAAGACTATTTTGGATGAAATATAGTAACTTTAAGGTATTTCTGCATACCTTTTAATATGTAAATGTTAATAGCAACATTAATATACAGATACCATTAGTGTAATACTTCAAATAAAACATGAACTATCACAGTCTTGTATTGTCTTTTCATGTTTTGCTATGTTTTAATTTTCCACGTACGCTTATCCCCAAATCGCTATTTTGAAGCAAATAGTGCAATATTCCAGGTAATTTTCAGAGTGCAATGAAAAACTACTGAGGGTGCTAGAGATACATCAAAGGAAGCTAGAGATACACAGCAAACAGAAGGGCACACATTAGAGATCAGTTTTTATCAGACATCCTCACTGGTCAAACAGCTCTTGTTCGACTGAGGGAATCTGCTATGTACTGTCTTTTGCTGTACTGTACTCACCTGATGTATTGCCAGAGCAGATGAGTGCATTAAAAGAAAATACCTGACTGAATAAAGGGATGAAATATGCTTTTAAACAGTAGGTGCTTCTCCTGGAAGTTACAAGTGTTTTAAGAGGTCTAAGTGTGTGAATCATTTACCTTGTCCAAGTAGCCCATGTTATTCTGTCAATCACAGCTTGGTCCACAAGCTGTTTTCCTGAAGGCACTTCATAGACTTGCCTTTTGTAAGACCCAGTAGAGACCTTTGAGATGACCACAGAGAATTTAGAATACATGAACTTGTTTGAAAAGGTGAAACTATAATTCTAAAGGGCTTTGAAAAGTATTTTCTTGATAGTTATCTTTTACTCTATAACTAACTTAGCTGTTGATAAAGCTTGCTGAAAATTCACAAAAATCTATAAAAGCATAAAGCAAGAAATGCCAAATTAATAAAAAATAACAAACATCTCACATTCTGCACATATTAATTCTATTTATTGTGTTCATATGTATATGTGTATATAAATAAGGCAAAATAGAATTGCATCTTTAAAACTGACACAAAGCAGGTATTCCTCTCAGCCTGTAGATGTTGATTTGATAATGTAAGCAGCTTATTCCTCCTCTAAGAGGTGAAAAAAATATAGAAAGCTAAGTATTCCTACTTTATTCTGATTTTAAGAAACGTCTTGAGTCCCGTGGCTGGGATCTGTAACACTATGATTTTGGTGCTGCTCCACAAAGGCTAGCACTGAAACAATGCATACTGCTACCCTTCTGGTCAGGGATATGAAGGATTCACAGGTCCCTGGGGGTTACAGAATAGTAGGCTGTACGTCCTCTTTTAAGATAGTCCATCAGCATCACAGAGGTAAAAAGGCAGTGAGACACATTAGAGTGATTCTGAAATCTGTTTCTTGTTTCTACGCTTATTTCTTGTATTTAATATCAGTATTTTTATTTGATGTGATTATTTTTGTCATCCACTTCTCACTACAACAAAGTAACAGTCTAGTGACAGTAACCTACTACTCCAACATTTCTTTACAAAATTTAGCAGTTGTCAAAGGAGAATACTTGCAGAGTATCTGTCAAGAGTATGTTTTCAATTCAGTATCTTGAACAATTAATGACTGATACCTGGAGATAAGAGCTATCTGCAGAGAAGTCCATCTGGATCACAAAACTTGGGATATCTTTGCAATAGCTGACTCGGTTTAGTGTGGGACCCAAAGTCAGATCATAGAAATCCACTGCATTCTCACTGGAACCGACTGCTAAGTAACGAGAATCTGGGCTAAACCTGAACAGATAAAAGGGTTTTATGAACACAGGTTAGCACTTAAAATAGATTCTAATAGTTGAGATAGTTGAGTAGCATGGGCAAACTTTCATTTCAGTTCATCAAGAATTAAAGAGAGGGAGGCAGAGTATTTTGTCTGCTAAGTCACTTTCAAACCAAAATTTCCAGGGAACGGGGATGCAGTAGAAGGTGGCAATAATTTTGGTACAGCTGCCATATATAAGTGAACTGGGAGCATCCCTGGAATAATTCTCTTTATTATTTGATCTCATTACCATCTCAACGGTCTAACAACTTTGTGACATGCCCCTGATGACTTCGACTGCCTAATATTATACATACAAGGCTACAAACTAGAAAAAATAAATGCTGTAAATTAAGAAAATCCAGACTTTAAGTGAAAGGTACTGAATAAAAGAATGTGAAATCAAACCTGTCCTCTGCCAAATGCCTTTGTATGTTTCCTTCCTCCAGTTTTACTTTCTAGTCTTGAAACTCAGTAGCTTCCCAAGCTGAACAAATTCCTCACAGCCCCTTCTGTGTTAATAGGGAAGTTTGTTTCTTTCTATTCTAGACGTACCTTGGGACAGCTTTTTGATTCCAGCAATGCCCTAACTCCTAGCAGGGCTTTCCTACCTTCCTGCAAGGTCCCTGTTTGATCCTATTTCTCCCCAGAAGCTTCCCTTAGTAGATTATGACCAGTTTATCTCACAGAAGGCATAGTCTTGTCCTCCACTCAGGAAACAGAAGCAAAATTTTACTTCTGCTAACTCCTTTCTAACAAAACACAACAAAGAACAAACTGTCAGACAGGCATTTCCATTGTCTCTCACAATGCAGTCTTCATCGGTAAACTTCTGATCTCATTTCACCTCCTACACATCATCTCACCCTGCTCCTTTTCAGACCTTCTCATCTGCCCCCTGATTAGGATGGTCTCTTCCTATTGTCCATTTACTTCCCCTTCATTTTAACTAATCCTTGGAAATACCATCTGACACTCCCCCTGTGGTACTGCCTGTTTTTTGACTGATTGCTGTATGTTATCTTCATGTACCTCCTTCCTTTTTATTCCTGGTATCAGAGTAATCACACAAACTCCACAGTTCACCTATCGATTCCAGTGCTCTGAAATATTGCAATGCTCCTCAGAACGTAAAAGTGTATTTTTAAAAATCAAAATAATACAGATTTCTAGAATACTGCGACAAAGGCATTATATTTTCTGACCTGATATCTTGAATCGCTGATCTTCTGTCCCTTTTTTTTCCCCAAATTTTTAGAGAGGTCACAAGCAAGATAATAAATTCTCCATTTTTCATTCCAATAGCTACCATATCGCCTTCTGGGCTGTAACAAACAGTACGAGCCGCGTGTCCTAAGCTGACTTTGTTCAGCATCTTCTGTGAAGAAATAAAACCCCAGAAAAGTAAATGTTTCCATTCGTATTTCAAAAGTACCTTATGCCAAGAGTTTGTCTCTACCAGATGGATTATTCGCAGTTTACATTAAAAAACAAGTTTCGGTTCCTCGACATCACCACAAATCTAGGATTTTTTTTTTTTATTTTTTTTTCTCCTTGAACAACCACTATTCCCCAATACCTACCTTTTCAGCAATATCCCAGAGTCTTACTGTGCCATCTTCTGCAGCAGAAAGGAAAAAGTCTCTGGAAGGATGTGTTGCTAGGCCCCAGATTGGTCCATCCATATGACCATTAATTAGAATGTTACATGCAGCATTTTTCTCTCCAACTTCGATTATTTCAGCATTTCTTGTCCCAACGAGAATTTTCCCCTTGAACAAGAGTGAAAGAATTATCTTATATAATACAGTAACTACTTGTGATGAACAATAATAAAGATATAATCCACAGCTATAGTTCTGTCAAGAAGGTTTGCTGAAATCAAATAATCAAAGATAATTTATTTTTTAAACTCCTCTACAATTTATTAAAGTACGAAGCTGTATATAAATCATGATGCTAGTTGAGTTATTGCTTGTAAGCCAGATATGTGAAGTGGGAAAAGAAAAGGAAATAGAAAATAAAGCCTTAGTCAATTTTTAATAAAAATTTATACAGAATATTATCCTAAGTAAGACTAAGATCTTCTTAAGCTGATTTTTTTTTCTGCTGTAAAATCAATTGTAGACACCTTCTAGCTCAACCTTTAAACAAGTACTAATTATAAGAGGAAGCAATGTATCATATATTTAATGCTATAGATCAATCCATAAATTATAACCTTTAAAGACATGATCCTTTCTTTACCTTGCCTCTACAAACAGATCTAACACAGTCCGTCATTTGTCCTGTCTCTAGTCTGAAGGCACGACATCGTTTCAGCTCTTGATCCCATAGCTTAACTGCTCCTCCTTCCTTTGAACTATGAAGAAATCAGAAATATATGAGTATAACGGCTGGCACAAAAAAAAGACAAAGTATGAAAGAACTGTATTACTTAATGTAAACTAGGCATTTTAGTATGTTTTAAATCATTAAAGATTCCAGTTGTTTTTACTGAACAGGTGATGTTAATATGCTGAGCCTCCAAGCTAAGCAAGAAATACTGATTCAAAGTCCTCATTACATTCCTTTGCAGGCAAGCTGAAAGATGGTCGGTGCTAAGCTTAGTCTGAATTTGCAGCTGTGAGGGAATCTGTCTGTGTGAACAGTCTGTGAACAAACTGCCATCTTATTATTAAGACAGGCAGAAATTATCAAAATGTAGTTGAGGGAAATGGGAAAGCCATGTTATTTTACTACTGTGAAATAAATGACAAAAGATTTTCACTTCTGTGAAATAAATGACAAAGATACAGGATAAAAATCACACAAAGTTAACTGCACAAGATATCCAACTAGTATGTATTAATCATGAAAGCACTGAGTATTTCCCACCCACTTTCAAGAGAACTAGTATTTCAGTAAAGAACACATTAAAAGGAAAAAAGTTTCTAAAAAGGAGATAATGTTTAATGAAAGTTACAAATCTGTTGAGCTGTGCCATTTCTGTCTTCAACAGGAAAAGAATCTCCCCCAACAGAAAATATAACGTTCCACAGTACTGAGCTGCCAGTGTTACAACTTTGATTACTAAACAAACCCTGACCAAGAACTCCAGAGAGCTCAGTCACAATTACTGCTTTTGTACTATTATTAGTGAAAGAACTGTAATGAATTACAAATCACTAGTCCTTGCAATGCAATATTCTTTGCTTCCCAATAGTACTGTTCTGACATATGATTGGCCATCATACTCAGCAAAAAGATTTTATCAAAAGAGGCTGGTGAACTGCAATCAAGAATGCCAAGGCAGAAACAAACATGCAATTTTCCTAAATGTAGAATTTGTTTTGTATACTTCCAATACTTCATTTTCCCACAGGAGATGAACTATTGTTTCTTAATGTTATTTATCACTATTTCTTCCAGGTCAAATACTATTTATTATGAATAATATTACTATTATTAATATTATTCTTAATAATTATTATTATTAATTATTATTAAATAATATTATTACTAAATAATATTATTGAGAATATTGTTAAGAATAATTAGTATTAAGAATAATGAAGCTAAGTGATAGAACATTCTCCAAATAAAATCAAGGTGATGTTTTCTAAATACTATAAGAAAATATTTCAAACACAAGAATAAACAAGTTTTCAGCTGGGTATGAATATCAACCAGGATCTTTAAGGACTATTTAAGGAAAAGGTAGTTAAGTTGGCCTGTGTCCTGCAAAATGGGGTGCTATCATGCTATCATATGGACTGTATTACAGCCAGAGCTTTTTTTTTTTTCATTAGCAAGGCACTAAGAAAAAATCAAAATGCTTGAAGAGATACTTTCTTTACAACCCCAGAAACAAAAGATGTTGCTGTACCTTAGATTTGAGAGGTTTGCCTCTGCCACCATAACTAAACAGATCCTTCCTTTAGAAGAAGCTGTGCAATATGTTGTTATAATATTTAGCATGCATTTATTTCATCACAATTGTGCAAATTACTTGGATTAACAACCTCAGTTCAACTTCAGAAAAAGAAGTAACTCACCAAGGTTGAGGTAACTTTTTAATGCTTAAAGCTGTACTTCAAACTAAATGTTTTTGTCTTCTCTCAACAATAATTACGGCTGTGAAAAATACCACTGAACCATTTAGTAACATATGGTGATTTCAAGGCTACTTTTTATTAAAATAGTTCAGCCCTTTTCATCTTAAGGACAGAGTATCATCTCTTTGATAATTGTGTATTTGTACTTGGAGAAATACTAACTGACTGATGTAATGCAGTATAATTGAATGCCATAAAACTGATAAAACAGTCACATACTTTATTTTACACTTGCCTATTATTTTTAACTAAAATAATGTAAAGTCATCATAAAACACCTAAAGAAGCTTACACGTGTGCTTTAGAAAGATGACTTATCTAGAAGTTAAAATTATGAAAAACTACTTGTACAGCATTTAGATTCTGATTCATCCCCCTTGAGTTTAGGTACTTAAGCAAGGTACCCAGGTCTGGATTCTAGCGACTCTAGGCTTTCTCTTATAATCAATGACAAAAATAGGTACTTGAAGCTCATGTGGACTGCACTTTTGGAGGTGACAGCTACTTTTTTTCCTACCACCTACTCAGGGATCTGGAAATGACTACTCTTCTAGCTTTGACATCTCAACTGCCTAGTGTTAGATGGGATGAATATGAACCACTTTAAAACAATATAATGTGCATGCAGAAAAAAAAAAAAAAAGACGACTCACGGCCTTTCTTTGCCTCCAGTAACAATCAAACCATCTCTTAATGTGGTATACATTGTGAAAACAGGTCCATTGTGAGCTTTGGCCACAATTCGTATCAACACATGATCTTTCCAAACACAAACATCTCCACTGATAGTACCTGTAAATGTCAAGTTATTCTGAAAAGGGGAAAAATATACTTATCATCTGATTCTAAGCAAGGCAGGAAGAAAAAAATTCAGAAAGAAACATCATCACCATTTGCATTTAGGCTAGATTGATTTTATTTGCTCCTATAGAAGAGCAAATTGTAGAGGGCTAATAAGAACCTGTACAAAACAATGAGCTACTATATTCTTGTCAGAAACATGCTTTCTAGTAGCTAATAAGCCCTGCATTGCAAGAAGTAATGCAATGACTTAAGCTTCAACCATATGGTTATCTGTTTTCAGCCTATCAGGTGTGCAAACTGTAGTAAAAAAGTAGAAAACCAAGTACAGTTTTGACATTTCACAAAAACAGGCTATTTGTACCTCCTTGTTATGTACATAATGCTTGCAGTCATTTTTGTTGTTAGGTGAAAGTACTCACTGGATTACAGTAACCATTAGTTTATGAAGAAAACAGTTTGATTTAGAACTAAAAGTTGCCTGTTCTTTAATGATGCTTCCTGTTTTTGAAAGGTAATAAAAATAAATTTAATTACTTCTCAAATTTAAGGGCAATTTATTAGGGTACACTTAAAACCAACAGAAACTGGCTGAGCAAAACTGTTTTAGTAACTTAGAACAATCCTAAAACTCAGTATCCCATGTAGTACTTTAGAGTACCGGTATGCACATACAGATTTGCCAAGAACACTTTCCTTGACTGAACGGGGTTGATGTTCTACATCCTTTTTTTAAGGGGGGGGGGGGGGGGGGAAGTGCCCTAATAAATGAATAAATAAAAGAGGAATGGAAATTAACTTGGGAGTAGATCCTCTGATCATGCTCACAGCATAACTGTAGGGCTGTTTCCAACTCCTGTTTAGGAGCACCTGACCTAGCTCCTTCTGAGACAAACTCAAGGAAGAGCAGCACTCCCAGAACTACTCCCTACAGGAAGTATGCAGAACACACTAGGTTTGGTTTTATTCCATTTGCACAGCATTTTACAAAACCCCTGCAAGCTTTGCATCCTCAGACAACCTCATACCAGGACAGACAGAGATTTCCCAAACCCCAGACTATTGCCTGGGCTGTGCATCTCTAAGTTATCACTTGGAAGATATCTTGTTGCTTTGTCAGACTCTCCCTTTAATCGGAGAGACACACCACTCTGGAAAAAAGAGTCTCAAGAAATGTGAAAAACACAGGACAGTTACAGTTTCAAAAATCAAAATCAATAGTGTAAATTCAGTCTGTACCCAACAAGCAGATCAGCAAGTAGGACAGTAATACACGCAATAAAAGAGAAGCACCACTTCATGAAAGAAATCTTTGGCTATCTGTCCAGCTGAAGAGATAAGTGCTGCTCATACAGAGCAACTTCTGAAATGGCAAAGACATAGAACTTAGTAACAAGGCCTGCATCTGTCAAAAAACACCCCAAAGCAAACCAAAACTCTACTGTGGTTGTCTTAACAGTCACAGGGTTAACAAATGCTCCAGCACAATGCTGCTCTCATGTCAGCCAGAAGTAGTAATGTATACAGATTATAGAACAATCACCCCCAGGCAGGCATAAAATTAGTCTCATTTCTACTGTTTGGTTCCTGCTGTCTAGAGTCAGCTTTGTTTTACCTGGATTAAATACCAAGCAGTGTATTATCAGTCAAAAGCCCCTATGTTTGTTCCTTTTGAAAACATACAAATCCATAATCTTCTTTCTTTTCTGTTCTAAAGAAAGCTGGTATTAGTTCTAACTGGCAGGCAAGTATTAGAAACACTAAACTGAGTTTAATAAAACTGACATTATCAGGTTAGAAAAGCTTATTGAACTGAATAAAAGAAGAGTCAAAAGATTTTTGTTTGTATGTATTCTAAAATAGTTTATTAAGGTACGTACCGCTCCAAAAGCTACAGATAGCATTGTTTGCATTCGGGCATCTTCTATGGAGCTCAGCAGCCCTTTTTTACTGAGAAGAGCTCTTCCAGCCAGTGTCCAGAACCTCACGTGCTTTACTCCCACAGAAACAAACTGAGTATCTGAATCTGGTCTGAATTCTGCTACAAATATACGCTGGTTATGACCAGCTCGGCTGGCAATTTTGGCACCTAGCAGAAAGAAAAGACATTTTGAATTCACTGAGAAAAATATACATTTGTAGTTTAAAAAAATATAAAAATTATGGGAGAACGATGAGTCATCCAAGGCCACACAGGTCAGGAAGAAAAGCACAAACTGCTCCTAAATTAAAACTAAATTAAGATGTAGATTAAAAAAAAAAAAAAAAAAAATTTAATAAGACCCAGTAGCAAAGCGTAGCACCTAATGAAGGTGCCATCTACTTACAATTTTCAATTTCCTCAGGAGTATAAAAGAGTTAGGAGCTCAGATGCAAGTCAGTTTCCATATCTTAAATTCCTACAACTCCTCTGAAAATCTCAAACTCTGGACAAGCTACAAGAGACATGAATGACTTCTCTGCAAATTTTGTCTAAAGTTAGAAAACTTTCTTTCTTCTGCAGAAAATGCAGAAACTGACTTGGTTACATATGGTCTTAGATTCAAAGGTAATGCTTTTCTAGTCTCTTCAGATGTGTTAAAATCAGACATTTTGACCCATGTGAAGATTACTTCATTTGGATCTTTAGCTGCCATGTTGAATGACTGTATCAGCTCTTAAGAGCGAGCACAGGCACGTTCTGACTGAAACAGCAGTGAATTGCTGCATGGGCTTTTACCACACATCCTTCACACCACCCAAGACAGTATAAATACACAGTTGGCATTGCATTCAGCTCCACGGCATCTAGCAGACAAGCTGTGAAGGATTACTTTTTAATAACTTGATAGCTGATTTTTAAACTTCTGAGAAACACTAGTTGATCAACAGAAATCTCCAAAGAGAGAGAGGACATAAACCCCTAAGACTAGAAGAATCTGTTTCATAATCTGGGCATGGCTTTGCCAGACAGAAAGGAGATGAAGAAAGAAGCTGATCAAATCGCTTTAGCCTAAATCCTGTACTCAGATCAAAGCCAATCTGAAAACATGCAGTATATCTTAAAACACAAACTACATAGCTACACAGAGAAGCTGTACTGGCATCACATTTCTGCAATCTGCATTTTTTGGGGGGATAATTTTGGGAGTACAACCACCTAGGCAATAATCAGGCTTTAGAGAAGAATAAGAAGAGAGAAGAATAGAAAACTTCTGGGAACAAAAAAGACTTTATAGAGTTTTTACCAAGCATCAAAAATGACTAGGGAGGAAAAAAAAAAAAATGAAGACTAAAATTTTCTTTAATTATTCTAATGGGAAATCAGTGAACTATCTTGATCTTTACACAAGAGTTCCACAGGAGATACATTTAGCAGTTACCAGAAGGGGTAAGTACATTTATTTTACCTGTTCTTGTTCAGCGCACAGCATTTATTACAATAATTTTCGATCTGCTGGTATTTTTATGTTGCAATTGCTCTTGACTCAAGCCAACAAACCTCCAACAATGGAAACACATTTGACAAAACCAATCGCTTTCCTACCTTCCTGCCACTTCCAAATGGTAATGGTGTGTTCGGGATCCAGCCCTACGGAGAGCAGCAGTTTGCCAGTGGCACTAAAACTGACTGAGCAAACCCCCTTTGAATGATAGCACCGCAGCACTGACAGGGTCTGTTTGTTCATTGCATCCCACACGTGAATAGAAGGAGCTGTAGCTACACAAATATAAAAACATGTAATTAGTATATGTTTTGAAATCATCTAATGATTTGCTTATTGAAGCAGTTAATATTTTTTAATAAGACAAACAAAATTGTTTTGGTCAGATGGAAAAACAAAAAGGAAGAAAAGAAAGATTTTGGCCTTTCCTTGGAAACCAATTTATGGCAAACAGAATCATTAAGTAGGACTAAGAAGTTGGTGTCATTACACTACTGGAGATGAAAACTTTGCTTAATCTGTTACTGGACTTCTGAAACAGAATCTCTGAAAGCAAGCTCTCTTCTGTTTTTTCTTTTAGTAAAACTTAGCTCAGCATACAAACTCAAAACCGCTCATAAATATTAAGTAGATCATCAAGAATGTAATTTCTACATGGGGCTTCTGGACAACTGATAGCTACAGAGAAATTAGTTTACAGTGCAAGGCCAAAATCTCCTTTTCTACAAAGTGGCCATCTGTCTGAAATGCATGCTCTCTTAGGAGAGCATCAGTTAAATAATCAGCTTGCTTACTGATGCTGAAGAACACTGTTTAATTTATTTTGCATTGTTTAGACTGCAAATTCTTTGCAGTAAGAACTGTCTTTCCACGCTACTAATGTATGTGATTATTTCCATTATGATGACAGCTAGTTTTTTTCCAAATGCCATGCCTTCTCCAAAGATCTTGCAATCCATGTAGTTTGCAATCTCTGAATAGTATTTAGGGCATTTCCAGGACAGTAAGGTTCTCTCTCAAACTTCTTTATTTCTGATCTCTAGTAAATCTGACTGCAGAGTCTGGAGGTAACTAGTCATTGTCATAGACCCAGATTCACATAAACTAAATTCTAGTTCAGCTCTACACTTTTGTTTCTAACCATCTAAATCTAGTCCCTCAAAGGCACACATATGATGGGAAACAGTAGGCACAAGGGCCTAGGTAAAATTTTAGGCACATTAAACTAAGCTTTTGAGCCCAATTCCACAGCTGTTCCAAAACAGTCTTCAGAACAACCTTCCTAATTTCTTCTCTTTCACTTCTGAATTTCCTCTCATGGCACCAACATAATGTTATCATCACCTTTTGAGAGGTACTACAGCATAGTATAGACATTCCATTAAAACAGAAAGGACAAGGGTTGGCAACCACTTGCATGCCTCAATATTTTCAGAAAACTCCTTGCTGTCCTTATGGGAAGCTGAGGGGAAGGAAAGCTTTATTATGGCTTTGAAGTGTTTTTTTTTCTCTGTATTGCCCTACAGTATTGCCCTTGACCCATGCATCTGCTCTATAACCTATAAAAAAAGGGGCAGACAGAAACTTCCACCTGGATTTCAAGAATAAGAACTGACAACAACTTTCAGAGCAAGATTTGCAGGACAGAGAACTTGGACTCTTAAGTCCTTCTACTTTATGGTGTTCTTCTGAGAGTCTCTGTCCTGACATTGCGTCCTGATTGTGGAGTACTCCAGCTGTTCAACATCTGCTCTCACAAGAGAGATTTTCTAAGGTGTCATCTCCTTCTAGGAGAAGTTAGATAAAGCTACCATCAGCTGGCAGGACAAAAAATATCTTCAGTAAGATGAAGCAAATGTATACCAAGTCATTATGAAACTTAATTTGCCATTCCAGCCTGTAACAAACATTACTGCTTCAAGAAACCCTGTTGCATCACTGTGGACAACAGGATATTGGAATTAGAAAAGCAAAAGCTGTTGGTAAAAACATGTGCCAAATAGTCATCTAGAAAGTTTAAGTGAAACTATGCAACCTTCTAATGAAGGCAGGCAATAGCTTGGATTCCAGACTAATGGTTCCATGAAGAAGAAAATAGTAACAGTGCTGGTTTCAGGCAGCGACAACAGAATTTAGTAATATACACAAGTTCAAACTAAACTTGCAGTAGGAAGAAGGCAAGTGAGAGAGGGAAAGCCTCCAGGCATTATATGCAGGAGTAGGGATGTTCTTTCATATAAACAACCATAACATCACTGTTTGTTTTATACAGTTTAGAAGTGTGGGAAAATGTACCTATATATATTCTTCCTCCCATCCTTAGAGCAAGCACAATTTGGCATATTTAAAAGAAGTCAACACACATTAAAAATGCCATTGTACATTTGTTCTTCACAGAACAAGGTTTAGATCCACATGAAGATTATTGTATTTTCTAGGTATACACGAACACACATTTATGCATGTCTGAAGATGTGTCACAAGACAATTATGGCCGCTCCACAATGAACTCATTCACACATGATGGTGATGAATTTTTAAGATTGCAGTTGAAAAAACAACATATTAATAAAAAATAGCTCAGTCAAGACTGTCAAACTGTCAAAGACCCAAAATGATACAGAAAAATATTAAACTGACATCATAACAAGCATTTTGGATCAGTGGTAATAACTGCATGACAATCATACATAAATGTGAAAGGTGATTGTTTGGGTTTTTTTCACTCAGTCACCTAGGCCTCCTCAATGGAATTTACTTTAGAAATGCTTATTTAAAATTATACTCAATTGAGTGTCTAAAACAGATGGTTAATTGTCAGCCCCAACACGTCTATAAAACCTGCAAGCGTACACAGGAATACTATCAGTAACAGTATGTATTAGAATTCGCTGATCACTGGGCAGCAAGGAGGGAGTATGTTATGACAAAAGTAGTTTTTAAGTGTGTTCTAACATTTTAATTGTTTCTATATTTACAATTTTCAGAGCTGTTGTGGTTTATATTCAGTGCTGACAGTAATATGACTGATACAGGGTTTTAATAAACTAAAAATTAATTCACGTCACTTATTGCTCTATAAAGCTGTAGATGGCTACTAGATAGGCTAACTACACCTGAAGATGTCAAAATTTTATTTCCCTTACCTGACATATCTGCTGAGTCTCCTGTAATGGAAAAGCAGCAGAAAAATAATTAGACCAGAAATAAGATAAGTGCTAAAGAAAATATATGCCACATTTAGTGTAATTTCTTCACACACACCTTGATGTCATCTCTTTGCAATGCAGCAGCACCAATACTGCTTTTAGTGTTAAAGATGAACAGTTACTGATAAAAGGCGGTCACATCAGAAATAAAAACTCGTAGAATTAATATATTTTGATTTCTATTTTGAGTTACAACACAAAAATCTAGTTTTGGTGTATGTTAGGTCTCTCTCTGCCAAACTAAATAAAAAGCATATTTTACATGTTACTGATATTTTAACAAATTAAGTGAAAAAAAAAATGCTGATTGCTATTCTGCTAAGAAGTAATGCTTGAGTCTGATCTTGACAAATGGTAAATACATCCAATGTTACTCTATAGGAGCATTAAAAAAAAAATCACGATTATAAAGGTTCAGGTACTGGGAAGTATTACCAAGACTCTGCACAACAGCATCACAGTTTAAAAATACCTGAAATAATGTTTCTATAAATCTTTTGAAGATTTAAGTCATGATGGTAAAGTTATGTTTTTGCCAGTCATATCAGTAGGAAAAGTAGTAGCAGTTAAGTATGTTCTTCATGGAGTACGCACTCCTTAACATCTCTTCAAAATCTAAAAATACGTATTGTTTGAAGATACTTTGCTTCCAGCTCATTTTTTCAGATTTAATTCTCTCCTTAAAAACATGTTTTGCAGTTTAATTTTTAAGTGTAATCAGCTCCTGATTTGTATGCCTTAATCTACATTACAAAGCAGTTAAAATTATTTTACTGCTAGTTGATGTAGAAATTATTATGAAATAAAAAAGTATTAAAAGTATCTTCTTGGGTAAGACAAACACTGAAGAAAACCCATCCAAAGAACAAATTTTCACATTATGCCTACATTCTTCCTGTATATTCTAACATATGGAAAGGCAAAAAGGGCCAGATTAAGAAATACACTGAAAAAGCAAATTCCTAAAGACAATAAAAGGTCTGTAATTCCTGCAAATGTTCTTTGCAATCAAACCACAGGCAAAAATCGGCTGATAACTTTTTCCATTGGCTGATAAATAATTCCCATTAATGATTTCTTTAAATCAATGTGAGGCAAGAAACTCACCAAGAAATGAAGAGTTTTAAGTTAAGTAGTTATTACTATCAAAAAGTCAAATTGAGTAAGACATGCACCTAAAAAGCCAAAAGACAGAAGGAAGCAGGTAACTGACAAAATGACCATATTTAGATGAAACATCTAATACAAAGCTGCAGAGGGAAAAAAAAAAAAAAAAGAAAAAAAAAAGCAGCTATTCTGGCTAAAATAAACTAAGGGGTTTTTTTGTATTCTACGCACTAAGAGAAACAATGTGGTTTTGAATCCACTGAGAAACAACTGAAGGTATGAAAACAGGAGTTAAGTTGTAGGACTACAAAAATTACACTATTCTGCAAAATCTAGAAACAGCAGTATTAGTGCAGCTATGCAGATGAACAGTGGGTTTTTTGTCTTTTTCTTTTTTTTAACGTGGTTAGTTCATAGATCAATTTTAATGTTGCTAGAAACATACATATTTTCCCCCTAAATCTAGGTTTATCTGTAGAGAAACACCATTAAGGTTTTAGTTCTGCCTAGAATATTGCCACTATGTATTACAAAAACACCAAGTAGGTATTATTAATCTGATGGAATAAAACCTACATGAAGTGACATCTATTTTAAGAATTCTATGTTTAGTACATATAGAAATGAAAGATAGCTCAATTAAGCTTCTTTGGAAGGGATAACACAAGCTGATAATTAAATAAAACCAGACTAATTTCATGGGGCTCAAAATTTCTTAAAAATATATTTTTGATAACACTCCAAACAAAATATAAGCTTGATCTTCTTTAATGCCTCGATATTTTTTGTTCAACTTTATTAAATTACACCCAAAGAAACATATAAAGAGGACAGGTAACTGAGTAACACTCATACAAACGGAGATAGCATAATCAAGTATTTTTGTGATTTATCATGAACTCACAAGGCCCTAATTGCATGCTTTTATGTTAATTTCTTTTTACAAAAATACAAACATACCTACTTGGCCAGTTGCCACTATGTTGGTAAACTTGGGGTGCTGATTTACAGTGAGGCACAAGATATCATCATTGTGTTCCTGGTAAAAAGACTGAGAGCCTAAAAAAAAAAGGTCCAACTTTAATTAAAATATTTATACACACATAGACATGGTTAATGTTTGAAAAATTTGTAATAGTTGTTAGAAAAAACATTATAGTGATGTTGCAGTTTGAAGCTTAAAAGCAGGAAACAGAAACTCCTAATTTTTTATCCTGATTTTTAACACATAGCACTCAACAACTTGGAACTAGTCCCTTGAGATTTCTCCATCAAGTTGCTTAGATATACCAGAAACAAATGGCATATGTTACCCTTTAAAAGGTCTAAGTTATCTAAACTGAATTGGTTATTGGGAATGAATGTATGTGATACAGAGCACTCAAAAGTAAACCAAAGAAAAAATAAACTTATTTAAAAAAACATTGAACAACTACAATGACCCCACTGTTGAGCTGTTTTAGTTTCTGTGATCATTTTAACAAACAAATTTCATAAATCTAATGACAAAATAATCTTTTCCTCCTTCCAAATTCAGTTACCAGAAACGTTTCAATATATTTAGTTTGCTTATACCAGCTATTATGAATTATCTATACAGACTGAATTTTCAACAACAAATAATAATAATTTTCCCACATATTTTTATAAGATTTAAAGCATACCAATTACTTCATAAACTGTAATTCCATGTGTGTGAAGAAACATTTATCCTCAAGCGGGTTTTCTCCTACCTGTTGCCACATTATACAAGATCCCAATAGACGCAGTATGATATATTACATCAGCACCATCATTCAAATAGTGCACATTGTTTCTACAGTCCTTGCCTCGGTACCCAAATACCAGCTCCAAAATGAGGTCCTAAAATAAGATATTTACATCTATCAGTACTCAAAACCTTAAAGCAATTATGAACTTTATAATCTTCAAGGTCCTTATGTAGTAAAGGAAAAGGACTTTAACAATGTCTCAAACCAACAGAAGCTGAGATCCTGCCTTCCCTGTCAGCTTTTATTACTGCTCATTCTTGCCGTACACAGTCATGTCATGCTATCATCTCTGTTTGGTGTATGCCATAGAATATTTAAATGTGTATATATACAGGTACATATACACAGAAAGAGATACTCATACACAGGCATATAAATAAATTTTATGTTTAAAACTGTTAACAGTGATGAATTTTAAACAAAGTTTTAAAATAAATTTAAAAAAATTTGCAGTAAAATATATTTAGTTTTATTAGTGATAATACACCCATTAACAATCCAGTTATCAATACAGAATATATTGTTTTCTACACACTGCATTTAAAACGTTTTATTGATACTAAGAATTAAGTTGTGCCCCATTTCGCTTGCAAAAAGAAAGTAGTATTGGGCTTTTCTGGATTTAAAAAAAAATTCTCCCTTCTTTTGCTATTTACTCACTATTTAACATTTCCATCTTTGATAAATTTAAAATGAAACAATTATTTAGTGTGTCCACAAATGTGTCAATTTCTGGGAAAAAAAAAATCCTAAAAGGAGAGGAAGGGGACATCAATGTCATTCTTACCTCTATAGGTCTCTTTTTCTTCCCAACATTATTTGTCTGAAGTTTCTCCGGCTGTGGCAATGCCCTACTAACTGGGGGTCTGAAATAAAGAACTGTGAATAAGAGAAGGCTGTCCGTCACCCATTCCATACTAACACAGTACCTTCCAACCTGCTATTGCATATGGAAAACTTATAGCTGTATCCTGTTTAACTGCTATTTGTATTCATCTTTAAAAGAAACACCTCTGTCAAAAAAATCCTACCTTTGTTTAACACGTTAGGTTTTCCAACAATTCTTCAACAATCCATGAAGTTAATGCAAAAGCTTGTTTTACAATAAATGACCACTGATGCAACATTCTTAGCTTTTTCATGCTGGGTTCTTAAGGCATTTCCATCTTCTCTGCAGCATTTTTTATTGGATATACTTTAAAATCTTACCTGATCTAGATACTAGAGATAATCATTCCTATTCCCACATGCTTTCAGTAGGCCCTAACTTTTCCTATTTTTGCAATAGCTTGTAAAGAACACCAAGTACACCTGCCCATTCACTCATATCAACAGAAACAAGTTACCGATTGACACTCAGTTGGAAGTAAACCATCACCATGCAAATGCATGAATATCAGCCATAACTTACGTTCCACTGTTCTGAATAGCCCAGATTTCATTGTTTGATAAATATCTGTAACATATCTTTCAAATTATGTTCGACTGTTCATATACAAAGAACCATACAAACCAGTAAGTTTTATTTAATAAAATTATGAAACTATTTCTAGCAATTTTCAGGACCACTGGTTATGGCGCTTATATTATATATATATATACACACACATACAGCATATGTGGCCATGAAAAGAAACCTGTAAGTCAGACCCTTAAGAGGAACAATTACTTTCAAAATAAATTCTACATATAGATTCAGTGAAATCTAGATGATTTAATCCATTAGGCAGTGTGACAAACTACTATCACACATAAAGCAACAGCTCAGTTCTCTTTCATATTCCCTTTTTAGTATGAAGTATTTTTAATTCCTTCTCTGCTCTTAAATGAGTCTGATGCAAAATAATCACTGTCTTTTCTAGACTATGATATGTTTGTACACTGTATGTTTTGAACTACATTCAAAAATTATTTATTTAGTTATGAAAATAAAATACTATTTTCTGAACTTTATTCCTCCATTTTCCTTGCCTAATTTTAGTACGATTTATAGATTTATGTCATGCCACCAATCAGAAGATTTGTACATATTATAATGCAAATTATAAAGCAACTATAAACTGTGCTCTGAGATGCTTCAATTACTTCCTCTGTACTTAAAAGACTGTAAAGTACCACTGGGGAAAAAAAAGTATAAAACAGATGATGAAAAATTTCTGTCTGGTAGAGAAGTCTGTCAGATGCCTGGATCACCCAAACACGATCAAGTTTACTAAAACTCACTATTGTGTTAGATAGGGCCAGAGGAAGGTAACCAAAATATTTAATTCAGCATTACAAATTTAGATTTTATGAAACAGAAAACCTTACGACAGAAAATCCAAATACAGATCTAAAAAGAAATAATGATGGCTTACACTGGATAGTTAACACAATGAGTCTTTTCACAGGGAGGGAATATGGATGGTATTAAACAAATTCTTATCAAAGCATAAAATAATATTTGAAGTTTAAAAGCAAATTTAAGGCATGAAGGAAAATAACTAAGGTTCATATTTTAAATTCATTCATAAATAAGTGCAAATTAAAACAGAGAACACTAATTGAAGTACAGATAAATACTTTTGTAACTTCACAAAGAATAGTAGTCTAACAGTTGTTTTTTCCTACTCTAAAATTCTTACTCTTGGAAAACAGACAAAATAAACAGGCATTAAAGGCAAAATTTAGAGGACATCTACCATATATAGCAATGCAGATCATAAAAGTAGTCCAATGTGGACATGCACTAAAGTTCTCCATGCTCAAAAGACAAATATCAAAAGATAGCTGCATTTAAATATACTCTTTCAATCCTGCTTGAAATATGTCTGGTAGGAATGTACCCCCATAATTCATTCCCAAAGGTCCTCAGTTATAGACTTTTCTCCTCTCTGAGGTCTCCAGTTAGAAGGAATTCACATACACCTTGAGACAGAAAAACAAGACATTTCAATTTATTTTGCAATTACAGCCTGTACCTATCTCACAGACTGTCCCTTAGTCTATGAAGGTGAAAAAAAGTATCCTCCTAACTTTTGTAAAAGGGGAGGAAAAGCAAACCATGCATAGTCTAAGCTGCCCTCACCACCTATACAGGCATGTTGGCCAGCACAGGAAGCAAGTAATACATCTATTTTCTGTCAGCAATCCCAACACCCAACTTCATGACCACTCTTGAATCACTACTGTCTCTCAACCAGTTCTTTCCAGGTCTTATACTCAATGTGAAATACCTAGCCTCCCCAGCTATTTTCCAGGTCCTTTCTTCTCTTTCCTCCTATCAACACTGACTCCTAGCATCCTCTTATCTAGCCTGTCATTACAACAACAGTATCACTAAGTATGACTAAAATTCTATTTTAAAAAAATTAAGAAATTCTGTTTTTAAAAAATAAAGAAATTATATTTAAAAAAAATAAAGAAACTACACTTTTATTTGGAAGTTTCTAAATTATCATCAGAAAAGACTCCCAATAGGTCACAGTGTTTATCATACTAAATATATATGGAGAGAGGTCATCTGAAGTTTTACAGGGGGGAAAAAAAAAAATCTTGGACCGTATTTGTTCCCCATCTTCACAGTAAATAAGTAATTTCCGTTACAAATACACTGATCAAGAGGTAGCAGGTATCTATCTCCCAGTGCCATAGAAGCCTTCTTATCACTGTGTGCTACTCAAATTGAATCAAATCCAACTACTGAAATGCATGAAAACTGAAAGGCACAGATTCTATATGGGGGAATGGGCTTTCTGAAAGCACTTCAGTGACACAGAGAATAAAAACCTTCCCTTATTCATTCAAGTAAACGAAGAGATAAACTAATACAGCACAGGTCCAACTAAAATTTGCTGGGGCATAGGGGTGGGGTGGTAGAAATCAGACAGCTTCATGAAACATCTGAGGTAAATTTACATTAAGATTCCCTCTTCTCTAATAAATAACCTTTTTTTTTTTTTTTTCTTTTCTGATACCTTTTTGAAATGGTTACGCTGACCTCCCAAAATATTAAGAAATAAAGCTTTGTTTGGGTTTTGGACTGGGTTGAGGTTTTTTGCATATGAATCTAAGTATTGCTTAAAACCGAACAAATTGTAGTCCTTACAACCTCTGAAGTTAAATGGCAAAATGATAACCAGTTCTCTGTCCGTGCAATCAAAAGTCTCTGAAGAATGAACAGGGTTAAGAACTTAAATGAATTGCACATACCCGTGATTATACATATCCTGTTAATTTATGGCTAAGAATTATAGTTATTAAAATATATCTAATACCTGATTTACATAACTGGTTAATGACACAAAAGCTACTAACCAATTTTTTTCCTACCTACAGCTTAACACTTTGAATTATAATTAAAATTCCTCAATTCCTTTGATACCTCCATAATTGCTGCTCATTTATTAGGTAACTAGGAACACACTTATAAATAAAATAAGTTCCTTAAAAACACTTATACAAAACCAGTTTCTTAAAAAACACATAATGTTTTTATATCTTTTTTTTTTAAATTGAGCTAACACAACATGTACCTTTCTCTTTTTAAACATGGAAGTCAGGAACAACTCTGAAGTGATAGAAATTGGAAGATTGTATACCAGTGATTTCAGTGGTCCTAAGCATTAGTTTCCCCTAAGAACCAGAAAGTGGGGGGTGTGCAGCAGGGAAGAGGAGCCTATAAAGAGTATCAAGGTTCACTAGTTTTCCACTGTCGTGTTATCTCTTCTCTCATCCCATGCAAGAGCTATAAAATTGAACAGCAAGTACAGTAGAGACTATTGCAAAAATGTGAGACTGCCATGCCGTTTGTTGTGCATGCTGCTTCTACTGGCACGTTTAGAATTTAAGAAGGCTTCTGGAGGAAAAGAAATCAAGCTGTCAATGACATATTAAGGACTGAAAAGACAGCCACAATGCTGCCTTACTCAGCTGTGAAGTATCACCACCCATGATTGCCAGCTGAAAAAAAATCCAAAACTTCTCAAAGAAAGGGAAGTGGAAAAAGATATACTCCTCTTACAGTTCCAGAGAGCCTTCCCAGCTGAGCAAAAGGGTTTTCAGACAGCGAGGAATCTTTAAATGTGGCTTCCTTAGATTATATTGAAGGCAGCACAAGGAACAAAATTGTCAGATTCTAAATCTAGTTATCTTGCATAAATTTCTTTATTACTGTGAACAACAGACTAAGAAGCATATCAGTAACTAGTGCCACTCTTAAAAAAAAAAAAAATCTGTTAAAAGTAGCACAAGAGCAAATGAAGATTTCAGATCAAACACAGAAGACTACTATGCATTACCATCAAAAGCCGCACCTGATCTGAAGCAAGAAGTCCAAACAGTAGGGAACTGAGTCCAGTTCTCTAAAGACAATTCCTAACAATCTATTCATAAAAATACTTTTATGCCCATCTCAATTTAGAACTTCTCAGAAAAAAAGGCATTCCCAGAAACACTATTATTTAGGAGGAACAGTTGCAGATTTATCAGTTTCCAGAGACTAGTGCTGTTTGACAGCTGTTGCAACGATACATAAAAATCACAGGGAGGACTGCCTAGGTCTGGTGAGATTCAAGGAAATAAAAAAGATACATCTAAACCAGCAGAGGAAATCCCTGTAATTACACATTTGAGATAAAGAAAATGAAAAGTAGGTTCAACAAGTTTTTCCCAGGGAAAAAAAACCAAACCAACAAAACCAAACCACCAAAAACAAGTTGAATAACAGTAGGAAACTTGATGACCATAGGTTATCCAGACAGCTCTGGAGTAGAAGTGAGTAATAATCCTGGTTCTGAGCGTGAAGGCGGCATGCAAGGGCTGTAGGCTTCATCCCTGGAGGTCAGTCCTGCTTTACAGGTAAGGGCAGGGGAAGATTGAGCAAAACTGTCCAATCCACCTCCTGCTCACTCCAGAATGCTTCCAAATATTGTAGATTTTTAAATTCTGATTTGTCATGGACAATCCAGCAACAGTCTTACTACTGTTGCCCTAGAAATTGATAAAACTGAGCATAAAGAGCCCTTCTTCCATTTGTTATCCTCACATTTGCCACAGAGCACTCAAGCCTCATTTCTTTCATTTCCCCCCCCCCCAAATTTCATTTATGTCCCTGAAAGACAGAGGAAAAAGTGAGTTAAAGCCACAAAAGCATAAAAACTAAATAGAACAGGAGAGCATATCTGCAGTTTCATGAAATCAGTAAAAACTGAAAGGACATGGTTCTGACACAGGTTTATGTTACTACTGGAAGTGAAAAGTTCTCTGATGCTTGGAACTAGAATATGGCATTTTATAATATCTGGTGTCTGCTAAACCTTTGTGATAGAATGTGAGAAGAGGTAAAACAATTTCACATTATACAATCTTTTGAAAAGACCATCTATATTTAAAGGCCGTACAGATAGAAATGTAGGTTGATAACCATCCTTTGCCACTCATTAGAATACATTTACATTTGTACATTACGATACAAAAGAATAAAGTGAATGTACTCCAGTCAACAAAACTTGACAATTTATACTCAGCTATATTATCTCACAGGTCACCTGAACAATTTATACAAGTACCCATCTGGGAAAGACTAACTATATTGGTTCAGAGCAGTGGAACTGGAATGCAAATTACAAACACATATGTGGTTTTTTCCCAATTAAGTTTCAAGATGACAGTTTCTGCATTTAAAAGCAGGAATGTTGAAGGACACCGGAACACATCTTCTAACTGCTTTTTTTAAAGATGCAAAAGATGCAGATATTTTTCATTTGCTATTTAATAGTGCAGGAAAGCGACTAATGGCATATATACACACACAGTGGTCATATACCTGCATGTATAACTAGCTGCATGTTCAAAAACTGCATGCAAAAGATGGGAAGGAGAGCATGAATAACATTTTGGGGTAAATACACACATGGATGGGGTTGGTTTGAACACGTGGAAAGTTCCAGCCATCTATCATAGGGGAAACAAATACCATAATATTGGCACTTTACTTTCAACATGAATATAGAATCAGTATATATGTATCTTAATATTTCTTATTATGAGACCATAAGAATGGAATACAAGAATTTTTAAGTAGTTTCTGAAACAAAGAAATCCCTTTTTTATGGTTTGAGATATGGTTTCAATATTACTGACACTGCTACCCATGTTATCTTGTATTATGCTGTTGTATTTCACTCCCTCATTTTATTACTGATACTGAATTTCTAAAGTTACTAACAGAACAAGGAATAGTCTTCTGTAGTTAATATGAACTGCCATGAATTCTTTGAGCTCCATGGTAACTTATGATAATGTCAACTACAACGTTTATTTTGGTCTTAAAAATCCAAGTGTTATTTTGGGCATGATTTCATACAGCAAATTACAGCTGTCGGTACAAAAGTCCCTTCCTGTGAGGGTCGCCCTAGCTGCACCTCATACTTGCAGAGAACTTAGCAATTGATTTTGCATTAGCCTTCAGCATGAAGTGACTTTCACTGCCCTCTCAAAAAGGTGTCAGCAAGCCTGAAGTAGAGAATTAATTTTAAAAGGAAGAAGTTCCGTCCATTTACACTTGGTAGATTTTCAGAGTCACTTGTGAAACCTTAGAGATCTGATTTCCATTAGAAGACAATGAAACCTGCTAGTTTTTAAATATTGCTTCTCGACAATGATTAGTCATAATTATTTTCACGTCCTATGAGTAGTGACATTTTGTACACACTAATGTGGATATAGTTAATCTAATACTTAAATAATTTAGCAAAATATACACCTTGACTTGTCAGGTGAGACTATCCCATCAAATGTAAAACAATCCAGTTTTGAGGTGGATAGCTGTCCACTGGGAACTGGAAAGAGTACTAATATCTATATTTTAATAAATATTATTGAAAAATACTATTTGTAAAACATAGGCAAGTTTAATGGTCCATACAGTTAATTTTATATTGGTGGATAAATGAATATTTAGCTTATTGTATGGAACAGAACTACTATGAATACATATAAATTTAACATTTGTAATACAGCAATATTGTGAAGAGTGACAGATGCATGGCACAGCACCCAACATGACAGATGGCTTTGTAAGGAAAATGGGAGATGACAGCAAGATCTGGACTAGATAGTAAAATAAAAGCATTACCTGGAACCTCTTTTCAGCAGCAGGTGGGAAAGAGAAAAGGTTTACTTATACAAGTTTGGCTGAAAGCTATGTGTCAGTGAATTATTCATAGAAATAACTATTACTGACTTTCTGGTTTGTTTACTTCTTTTACAACAAGGGGATTAGTCACAACTTCACAGGTTATGTAAATCTATTATTTGTACAGAAAACTCCCATTCACTTAAATGGGAATTATAAACGTGTTGACATGAAAATAGAATTCTTGGGAATGCCTCCTACTGTAAACAGAGAAAGAAAGCAGCAGCAGACTCAAAAACCTCTGAAGTATATCAAGTATTTAAAGAGTTGGCAAACACAACACCTGAATTACTCAAAGAAAGGTTGTGCTGGTTTAACTTCACTAAATGAGCTGATGGATAAACAGCCAGATTATTATTAAAGATAGATGTAAACGTTTATTCATAAAAATACATTTTTATACTAAAATACAATTATCTCAGCTAGTCAAAATGTGTGGAGTACTGAGCACTGCTGACATATACTGGTTTTTCATTATTATTTAATTCAATTTATGTTGACCGAAGGTATTTCAGCATCAGTTTCACAAATTTGTTTCACTGGATGAGTTTTCTCAAACACATATGATGAATACTCCTATATTTGACTAGCCAAAAATCATTATTAACCATCAGAATATATGGGCATGTACAGATAGTTGTACAGATATTCCTAATATTTGTACTATGCATGGGTATTTTTCATTAGTCTGATTAGCAGGTACACTTCCTTTTGATTTGCTTCTAAGAACTACCAAGCAATTCCACTGCAGCAAGGAGGACACTAGTTATCAGTCTTTTTCATTTATAGGTGAAGCAAAAATAATTTTACTCTCATCTGTTAGGGAAAACCCTCCAGAAAATTAAGAAAACTTTGTTAACAACTTACAAATGAATTCCAACCCCCAATGAAAACAATCTGTTTTACTGAATCTCTTCTAATTAGTTACAAATTTATTTTGACATGCAAGACTGATGCACTACTTCATACTGGAAAGAGCTAAACCTTTTCTCCCAGTACAATTCAAACTTGAACAGGTTTTACAGTCAGTAACATGCAATTCTTCAAGGACTACAGAATTCAAGTATCTTCAGATATTTTTCAGAGTAAGTGTTATGCAGGGGAAATGACAGCTTCTCCAAGAATAGAGCACAGTTTTCTCTCACAATTTTCCTGAGTCCACTGAACCAAATATTTGCATAGTCAGAGGAAAATTTTTAGCTTTTATCAGTAGTTTTAATTCTTTAATCTCCAAATCTACTTTTTCAATCTCATGATTTAAGTATGGAACAAGATTATCGACATGGACCCCATGTGACATATCTAATTATTAGCTGGCAAATACTGACATATATGGAGATACGATCAGATGTCTAACTGGTACAAGGCAGATTTCATAAAAGGCTTCTGCGCTGCCTTCATCACTGAAATGTGCAAGATTTATTTGGAGCCGTATTCAACCTATCCCACAATATACCTATGTTTCAGTTACTCTTTTCTTGAGCTCTTTGATAAATGCATATCGTTCACATAACATTTTAGGTTCTGTTGATAAAGTTGTTCTACATAGATCATTACCCAAATAAAAATCTTCCAACCCTCGTCACTGGGCCATGCAGTTGTTCCTCTAGATTTTTACTTCCTGGTCACATTTGATTATTGTAGTTGCAAAACTAATAGTTTTTTTTCCTTGCATTCAAAACTGGAGATTATTTGGTAAACCTTGATACTTTGGTAATTGGCTTTTTGATTTCCTCAGACATGAGTTTTACCTCTGTTTTGGGAGGAAAAAATAATTACCTCAAACTGGTAACAGGAGACCATTCCTTTCCATAATGTTGTTCTAGTCTATTGCTAGTGATCAGAGACATAGTAATAGAAGCAACTAATGATAATTAAATTCTTGTTTGTGAAGAATAAAATCCCCAGAACTTTCAGGGTTTTCAATCTCAAGTTTAATGCCGTGCACTAATGTACATTCCACTGTGCAGAAACCAATTCACATAAATGTTATCTTCAAAAAGCCCTGCATTCTTTCTAAAGCTGTTAAAAAAGTTAACTTAAGATTTAAACTTTCCTGTTATCTAATTTATTCTGCAAAAACTGGGAGAACGCACAGAGCAAAGAAGCTGCTAATATAAAGTCCTTTGCTATAATTTTTGATTACTGGCTTCTCCCCTCTCCCAAATCACACAAGTTGCCAGTGCAAAAGGAGAGGAAAAAGGTGGGTTTTTTTTACAAAAAGAACTTTGGAATTTGTGTTATCTACATTCATATTAAAAGTCCCTGGAATTGCAAGCAGAAGAATCTAATTGCATTCTGTTCATTTATACAAAACACATGGAAGATGCTTGTACAAAATCTCTGAATTTCTCTTTCAGTGGCAATTACAGGTGATAACTATGAGGTTCAGATAAAGGAAGACTCATTTCAGTAGCTTTCTCCCTCTCTCACCCCCTTGCAAGTGCAATTCCTATAGTGGGCAGTTCTCCCTTCTCCCAGTCCCCACCTTCACCTTCTGCATCTTTGGCAATGTGGCTGGAGCCCTTATTTATTAGGTTATGTATTTTTGCATATGACCTTACATATACACAAAAAAAATTCTCAAGACCAAAAAAAAGTAAAACTTGGAAGCAATTTTGCCACAATGTCTGGTTTTGAATTGCATCTGGGAGTGGATGCAGAACATTTAAGGAATTTGCGAAAGATACAAAACACTGGGATCTTCCCATACAAGAATCTCAGCATGTGGACTGATGATTTATGGTATGCATGTATTAAGAGAACAGGATAGTGATGACTATGAGAGACAGACTCTTTCAGAGGTTTAGTTGCCTGCAAATCTTTAGTGTGGTACATTTATGGTGAAAAATTAAATCAGAATTCCTGGTTGTTTAGTTCTGAGATCTTCTGGAACAGCCATTCTTATCTAAGGTACATTAACCACAGCATTGCCCCTTTGACAGTGACAAAACAGTGAACACTGAAGGGAGTTTAAGAACGCAATGATATTCTCCAGATTCTTCTCCCAGCCTCCAGTGATTTGCAGTTCAGGGAACAGCTGAGCCAAAACTGTTTTCAAAATTAACCATCCATGATGGATTTATCTTCTGAGCAATTTACCTAGCACAAAGATATACTAGGAAAGCACTTTTAGTAAAGGATAGAAATGGTTTTCCAATTTATTTTGTGCTGCTGAATATCCATGAAGTTATTACACAACCACATTAGACACACAGCAGACATCTTCACATAAAAATATTTTAATATTATTGTTCAGAAATTACATAAAATTAAAATTAGACACAGGTGCTGCCCTCAAAGCCAATGCCATTTGGTGTTTTCAACAGAATTTAAAGTATTCCAATGTCAATGATGTATCATCTTAATTTTACTCCTTGAGAATGGCATATCATTAGTAGAGGTGGCCTTAAACTACACCACAATCAGACCTTAAACCAATTGAATCTGAATTAAATCTTGAGTTCTAGCATCCATAAATTCTTCAGAAACGTGCCTGAAATCTAAGTCTTACACATATTTCTATTCAGCATACCAACTTCTACAGCACTAGCATCTCTAATTTAAAAAAACCCCACAACCTCTCTCTTTTTCTTTTTAATACTTAATTGCTTAGGTAAGACTGTAACCAAAAAAAGTCCCAGAAAAAGTGGAGAAAATCATGTTTCTTCTGAAGGAAAAAAGTAAAGGCAGTGCTGCCTAGAAGTATGAGTTGATGCAACTCACATCTCAAACTAATGTGTTAGTCATAAAAATGATTAAGACACAGAAATGTCCACTGCTCCTAGTAAAACTGTGATGGTGTGAAGGAGAAAATAAATATTTTTAAACTTCTGCTATTGCAAGGAAAAAAAAGTAATTTATGAGCAAAACCAGAAAACTGAGAACAGGACACTACCTTTGTTGGAGAGCAAAAATAATCCTTTGTTCACACTCATGTTCTGGGAACTGCATTTACATTTTGAATTAACAATCACTGGAAGAAAACTGTTACGCTACACCAAACACAGAATCTCCTGTTCCATACTTCAAAGAGAATCTACCTACCTACCAGACTGCAGTGTTTCACAGCCTCTTTTACTTATTCTCCCTTTCTGACCACAGGGATTCTTTCATTCCTTTCTGCAGAGCTTTAGCAAAAAGGAGTTTTGCGAGAAGTTTTGATGCTGTTTTGACCCACCTGGTGATAAATATTTGAATTTTTGATAGACTAAATGGCCTAAAACTCTGCTTTCCTATGTCATCCTACTACTTACAACATAAAAAGTGAGATCAGCTTAACCTTTCTAATAATATTAGAATCAAAATCACTTTAGTAAATCAAGTTTTGGTGCCCAACTGAGCTATTTCTGACTCTACATCCATGACATGGTCTTGGACTACAACTCCTGGCCTCACAGATGTGCTTTTGTGAGACACAAGTAGGAAACAGATGAGATTTCAGGTATGCCTCTTCCTTTAGTGTTTTCCTATTTATCTCATTTAATACTCTGGTTACTAAAAACCATCTTCTTTCCACATAAAGGGAAGTTCACTACTCAGCTAGTAGTGAAGAAGCTTCCACTTCAGCTGTCAGGTACAACAATCTTAAGAGTAACTATATTTTTGGCATGGTCTTTAAAGTCTTTACATATAGCCTCAGAGTTTAATTACCTACAGTATTTATCTCATCTTCTCCCATAGAGAATTAAACTCTTCCTACAATCAATAGTAAAAGAGGTTCAGATACTTTCTGATAAGGAATCTCTTTTTTACACAAAGTCAAAATTACTTGAAAGACATTCTCAGAAGCACATTCCACACTGGTAGGTACCTGTGATCCTGAGAATACAAGGATTCTAATAAAGTGTTACTACAAGAAACATATCTGTTCTAATGTTTGGCAGTCAATATAACAAGCCTACATATAACATGGAATGCCAGATATACTACCCACACTCTGAGCGGTTGTATTGGTTTTGCATGGAAAGGTTTTGACAGCAGGAGGGCTACAGGGGTGGCTTCTGTGAGAAACTGCTAGAACCTTCCCCTGTGTCTGACAGAGCTGATGTCAGCTAGCTCCAAGACGGACCCATCACTGGCCAAGGCTGAGACCAGCAGCAACATTGGGTAGCGCCTCTGGGACAACATATTTAAGAATTGGGGAAAAATAAACCCCACCTGTACAACTGCCGTCAAAGACAAGAGAGAGAATATGTAAGAGAAACCACTCTGCAAACACCGAGGTCAGTGAAGGAGGAAGAGGAGGAGGTGCTCCAGGTGCCAGAGCAGAGATTCCCCTGCAGCCCATGGTGCAGCCCATGGTGAGGCAGCTGTGACCCTGCAGCCCGTGGAGGTCCACGGGGGAGCAGATCTCCACCTGCAGCCCGGGGAGGACCCCACAATGGAGCAGGGGGATGCCCGAAGGAGGGCAGCATGGGAAGCCCACGTTGGAGCAGGCTCCTGGCAGGACCTGTGGACCCATGGAGAGAGGAGCCCATGCTGGAGCAGGTTTGCTGGCAGGAGCTGTGACCCCGTGGGGGACCCACAGTGGCGCCATCTGTTCCTGAAGGGCTGCACCTCATGGAAGCGACCCACACTGGAGCAGTATGTGAAGAACTGCAGCCCGTGGGAAGGACTCATGTTGGAGAAGTTTGTGAAGAACTGTCTCCTGTGCAAGGAACCCCATGCTGGAGCAGGGGAAGAGTGTGAGGAGTCCTCCCTCTGAGGAGGAAGGAGCAGCAGAAACAATGGGTGATGAATTGACCGTAATCACCACTCCCCAACCCCCTGCACTGATGGGGAGAAGGAGATAGAGAAATTGAGAGCACAGCTGAGCCTGGGAAGAAGGGAGGGGTGGGGTGAAGCTGTTTTAAGATTTAGTCTTTATTTCTCATTATCCTACTCTAATTTAATTGGTAATAAATTATTAATTTTCCCAAGTCGAGCCTGCTTTGCCCATGACTCTAATTGCTGAGTGATCTCCCTCTCTTTATGTCGACCCACAAGCCTTTTGTTTTATTTTCTCTCCCCTGTCCAGCTGAGGAGGGGAGTGATAGGGCAGCTTTGGTGGGCACCTGGCAACCAGCCAGAGTCAACCCACCACAGTAGTATGTAAATGAACAAACACAGAAGAAAAGTCTATATAAGTTCTACAGAGCATGTATAACTGACTTTACAGATACAGAATTTTTTAAAAGCCTAACACCAGAATTAATTTGATAAAAGTTCACTAGTGATATGATCTAAAATTTAGATGAAGACAGTGGCTTTCTTGATTATGTCAAGTCATCTACAGAAGGATACAGAGATTAACACAGTTCTATTATGTCACCACAGAGTTTCATTGTGGAAACAGGGTCCAGGTAGGCATGAGAGGGGGTCTCCTTTCTTAACCAGTATAGGTCCAAGTGTCCTGGCAGCTCAGTCTGCAAGTCTGGAGGGTAACCTACAGCCTAAGGATCTGTTGTGCCACAAATCTGAGAGCACGTTTTTGAGTATGCATATATTCTAAATAGAATATGTGTAAAACCTCATTACCTAACGTGGACACCTAAGCTAGCAACTCTGCATGTCATATGAATGCTGTGTGGACCTAGCAGCTCAGATCCTGAAGTAGTACAGGTGCACTGGTAAAATGCTGCAGCCAAGTCAGTAACGCTCCTCTTGTCCCTGAAGCTTTATTAGCTCCAACACAGACATGGTGATACTGCTCACATAGCCACTTCAGGCATCTCTGCAACATGCTCCCTGCACCTTTTATTCCATGTTGGACCTCTGCACCAACAACGTGATATAGTCTTACGGAAGTCCACAAGAATTTAGGTGAGCTCTCTGACCACAGCTGCTTACGGCAAGCTGTTTCTTAGCCACTAGAATTACTGAGAAGAGGATGAGATTTGATCACCTCCTCCCAAATACTCTATTTAGCACCCACTCATGTCTATTCAGACTGAGACCTGGACTTACTCTTTCTTTGTCTCTTATCCTTTTTCTACCCAGATACTATTTTCTACAAACTACTATTTAATAGTGAAGAGTTAAAACCTTCACTTCTATTGAAAAGTATAACTATTTTCCCAAGCAGATTAAGTTATTAAAACGCATATGATCCTGGACTTTGTGCAAATGAACTTACCTCACTACCCCCTGCCTTCATAGGAAGCAAAAGGAAATAAAAATCAAGTAAAAATTAGTATCTATGAAAGTAGACCCACTAAACATTTACCAATCTTACACAATATTATCTTCAGCAGAAGAGACGTTTAAATGCATACAGTAACCATATTCTCGTTTTATTCTTTACAAAAACTTTTAAGTTTTAGGGCCCCAAACTTTTAAACAATGCAGGCAATGGAATTCTTTCATGAACTTTTATGAATCAGAACATAATTACCTTACTACAGAATTAATGTTCTTTAATATTGTATTTGAAACTGAAAAACACAACTCACTCAACTTCCAGAAATAATTATTTAAAGAAATACAAGAGGTTTACTATCATATATAAAAATAATAATCACAGAGTAAATATAAATCCAACAGGCTGATACCATGCACATTATTTCTTCTTGATTTTCACATCAAATCCATCTAATTAATAAACAGAAACACCATTTCTCATTTTAAATGCAAGACAGGAAGCCACAGCTTTATATGTAGGCATCCATTCTCTCCTTCAACTTAACTTAAAAACAGAAGATGTCACCAAAACTCCCACAAATGTCAGGTTGCATTTCTAAACAAGGGCATCACAGATCTGTCAGCTTCACTGCAGGAAGAGACATGTTCATCCTTACAGAACTCCTCACATTCCTGCAGGAAGTCTCCAATCTGCTATTTCTCTACATCCTTACACCTAATTTACTGCGCTGGGTTTTCCTCACTTTCCCTCTCTTTAATCATAGCCTTCCTCAGTTGCCACTGTATCATGTCAGGAATCCCTCTTCCCTTTTCGCTCCCATACACTGTCCACATCTATTTTGCTGACAATAACTTTCAGGGTCCTGTGCTCAGTTGCAGATTCTACAACAGATTATGTTCTAGTGATTGTAAATTCTTCTGATTTCACATCTACTTTATCTGCTGTCTTATTTTACTCTTCTCCCCACCCCCTTCTCATTTAAAGCATAAAATAGCGAACCAAGCGATATAACTAACACTGCTAGCAGTCATACTTCATTATCCAAGAAACTGCAGAACCATTGTGGACAGTGTTTTTCAAAAGACAGGTGAAATTATCTGGAGACAGAAACAATGCAATGAGCAATTACAGCTGAATTAGACTAATTTGTTGGAAAAACAAAAATTTGAGAGCTGTCTTTCAATAAAACATTTGTACAGGTTCATGCCTGTAATACCATTACTAGATACCACTTGCTATTTAAGTTTTAAAAAGAACACATCATGAAACACCAGTAACTAACTCTATCTCGAGAAACTCCCCAAACTTCATAATATGCATACATCATTTGTAGTCTTTTGTGCTCTCTGAAAAGGAGATACAGCCTAATCCTTTGGCAAAATTTTTCTTGTTTGGGCTTTTTTCTCTCTAAAGAAATACTTCCACTCTTTTTATATATATCCTTTTAATTTCTATATACATATTCCAATATAATTATGTTTTACTATTAATTATCTTTTCAGAGTGCTTTCTTGGCGAGAATTGTAATTTAGCAATTACCTTTCATCTAAGCTTGGCTCCTTTTGTTGCAGATGAGGCTTAATTCCAAACATTGGTCTAATGTTTGTTGATAAGGCTTTGATGGTGTAATTAATTTCATTTTCCCTTGTCACATCACTGTCATAACCTAACAAAAATCACAGTGAACAGTATCAAAACAAAATAAGATTCCAGAAAAAAAAATTATATCATAATTTGTGCAGATTTCAACAACGTACTGGACTACAAGAACATCATGTATTATTAGTAATATAAATACACAACAGAAAGGAAACAGCTGGGAATGATGAACATTATTAATAAAAGACATTCTAAGAAGAAAATTCTCTACTGTATCTTTGTGGAATAACAAAGATTCAAGGGACATTCAAAGCTAACCTATTTCTGCTTGGCTTGCCTTATCAGGATCACTAACAAAGGACCTTGCTACATGACACTAGCTGTTAAGTTCTGGAAGATTTAGTGCCAGGCTGTTCTCCATTTCAGGATCCATCCATTAGGATGGAATCTGTGGGTTTGCCCAGGGTTCCTACGCAATGCTTATGGACGGGCACATCAACATGATGTTTACTATAGTAAACATAGAAAAAATCTAAACAGTGACAGGGCTATTACCCTCTTTTTTTTTTTTTTTTTTTTTCCCCCCAAAGATCAAGACTACTAATTCCAACTTCATGAATAGTTCTTAACTCTAACTAAAATTAATAGGGCATGATGAAGAGAAACTTTTGTGGAAAAAGATGACAGTGTCTTTTCTTGTAAGCTTAACAGATCTCTCAGAGTATTTTTTAACACATAGTTTAAGAGGGTTCTGCGTAAAGCACCAGCACCTAGGGAAGGTTACTGGTCAAAGATGTGGTAACAGGTCACAGGCAGAAGCTGAACAAAAAGCTCTTGAAGACTGAAATTTTTGATTCAGAAAGCTACATTTGACCAAGTCCTCCTGCAGGCAATTAAATTACTTTGATGATGTAGTCTTCAATATTTTTAACCAGAAAGACAGTGCACAAAAGTTCTTCTCCAGTGAATGTTTAGTATGCCTTTAATACTTAAAGCATCTCTTTGGCTATTTAGCAGATTTTAGTTAAAAGTGAAGTTAATTTATTATTCAGAACTCTTAAAAGAGTAGCAGTGACAGTTTAAAAATCCTTGAAGACTGAGGAATTAGGAGGAAAAATTGCACTTGGCAGCAGAAAGAACAAGTTTGGAGGCTCATGAACCCTTGGAATTATAACCTGAAAGGGAAAACATTAAGTATGGCAAAACCAACAGAAGTTAATTCTACAAAATATAATTAACACCTTATAACCCTTGATACTATGAAACAATAGATTGTTCCATATATGAACATCAGCCTACCTCAGTCTATTACACTTTCATGTTATGGAAACAGATGCTGTAACATTGCGCTATGATCTCACATTATACAGATTTCAACCTAAATCCATTAGAATTAGTAACCAAATCTAAACTGTGATTAATGTGTTTTTCTACAGAGATTTTTGGAAGTTACATCTAATGTTTTTTTGTTTAAAAGATGTCAAGAGTCTTTTTGTATTTATACCCTGACTCAAAGCAATAAGTCAAACACTCCATTATCATTTTCTTCATACCAGTTTATCAATCCTTTCTCACAAAAGAAGTTTTACTTAAAATTTTTGAAGCATCTTCACTATATAAGATTAAAACAATCCTATATAAAACTTATTTCTAAATTAGGTTTCCATTAATAAAGTCTTCCTGAAATAGCATAATCCAGCTAGTTTTACAAATTATTACTGACCTCCATCTTCTTCAGAATCTAGATCAGACTCTTCACTGTCACACTGTCTGCTATCCCGATGTCCTTCCATCTCATAAGTCCACAGCATTAAAGAGGTGTCTGCTCCTCCAACAGTGACCAACAAACTGTCATCGTAGGTCCAACGGACATTTGTTACATGGGTACTGTGAGCAACGTACCTCTTAAATTTTCCAAACTTTCCCTAAGGGAGAAGAAAGGTCACAGATCAAATTTAACCAGTCTGCTGGGTAAAACTGAAATGAGTTGCCAGTGCACAATACATTCTTAACTTCTTTGCAGTTTACGCTTTAGTTGTCTTGTGTTTGTATGGATCACATGATTTGTCACAATCCTCTCCTAAAGCAACTTCATGAAATGTTAACCATATTTCCATACAAAGCATGCAAGAATTTGTTTATAAACTGATTCCAGCAATAAACACTGTATCATTTTTCCTAAGATAGAAAATAATCTAACAGATTTAAGCAATGCACATAGAATATTTTGAGTCAATAGTTGAGCCTTGTTACCACTCCTAGCATAGCAAAATATTCCGAAATGAAGACATATTTACTGATAAATTTACAGAAATCTAGAAAGGTTCTAGAAGAGCAGTAAAAATATAATGAGCTTCTGGATGATGATGCATGATTAAATAATACTAAAGCTCTTCAAATCAGAGAAAAATTACTGAAATTGGACAGAATAAAGGTCTGTAAGATCATGAGTGAAATGAAGATGAGAAATGCTGTCTTCCAAACTAAGAGCTTAACAGATTAAAACCAACACCGATAAAAACCACACTGACGATATTAATTCCAAATATATTATTAGACAGTGCCTGTTCCATTCCCATTCTTACAGTTTTTCCTATGCATTTGCCACTGTCAGTGATAGACAATACATGAGATGGTTCTTTAGTTTGACCTGGAATGGTCATCCTTACAAACTGAAAGTTTAATGCATTGGAATTGCAGTGTAATATTGAATGCCTTCTTTGATTGTAAGGACAAAAGTATAAAAGCACTATTTTGTTCTAAGCAATGAATTTTTACAGTTTTGAAAAACTGTAGTTTTATTAATCCATATTTGCCATGAATAGCTGAAAATTACTTACTTTTGCAGGGTATCGAAACAGTTTCACAAATCCAAAATCATCTCCTGTGGCTAATACTTTACTATCACTAGTGAGGCATGAAGCTGTTACATCTGTGACTTCACCAATTATTGGCCAGATCCCTTCACAGCAAGAGCCCAAAACACTTGTCCATGATGCCCAGCCAATCTTTTCTACCTACAAAAACAACCTGTTTGAGACACAGCATGCTTCTTCCCAGGCAGCTTTCTTCCATATCTGATTTCAAGAAAAAGTCCCTGCACTGAAAGATACGTCACATCTAAAAGATAACATATTAAGCACTTATTTTCTGACTATTCAGGATTTCATTTGTGACCCTTAATTTTACCTCTATTAACTTCCAGTTCCAAAACCTCTGAAGTATTTTTAAAATTTAGACCTTACCTGCCTTTCCAGGCCAAAGAACACAAATCACATTTTTCAACCCTGACTTTCAATCTCATAAAAATATTATTTGAAAATTGTCCATTTTCACTCTCTGTCCTACGACAATGCTCTATGTCTGAGAAAACAAATCAATATTATAGCTACAATATGCTATGCTTGCGTACATATAATGCATTGTGATATAAAGGTAGACATGAGGTCTTCCAAAGCAAGGTTAGGGCTAAGTAATCTGCAATAGGTTTTCAAAGGTGTTTAGGTACCAAAAGAGGCATACAGAGGTCCAGTGATATTTTCACAAGTCAGGCAGTCAAATGTCCATTTCTTAACAGGAGACAAATGTGACATCCCCTACATATTTTATCATTCTGATTACATTATCTAATTGAACAGGCTGCAAAAAAAGGATAAAGGACAGCAAATGCCTAAACAGAAGCTTTTTGAACAGACCAGTAAATTATAATTTTATACATCATTCCCTCTTATGTGGTATAGATCGTTGTATCATAACTCTAATGTGCAAACAAGTTAAGAAGAAAGTCTATTTCCTCACCTCCAAACTAGGAATTGTCTGTTTTTTCCCACGAGGAGCTTCAAAAAACAACTGCTCTTTAGCACCTGTGTTGACTTGCAAGAGCTTCCCTACAAAACATATTACATATTATAAATTAGCATTAACTAGAACATTCCATTTTACAAAGGAAAAAAGAAAGAAAAAAGGTTATTTTGAATTTTTTGTTGCTAACAGCGTTATACAAATTACTTTCCCTTGGAAAAAGCTGCATACATAAACAGTGGATCTGGAAGTATGGGCTTCTGAAGATCCGAGTCCTTCAACCCTTTATATTTCGCAGTTCTCCTTCCTCTCTGAAATCTGTAATAATGCATCACTTTTCTGTTTAAGGTTGTCCCATCAGATGGTAGACAAAATGTACTGGGTCTAATTCAGAGCCTATTTGTGACAACTGGCTGACCAGTATGCATGTGTTCTTGGGACTGAGAAGCCCATATGCTCCCTGGCCAATAGCTGCTTCCAAGCAGGTGACTCTGCTTGCCTTTATACTACTTCTTTTCTGAGGGAAATTCTCACTAATGTTTCTGTCCTCTTCCTGTTTTCAAAATTCTCAGAGGAAGCTAACTTGCAACACTCTCAAATTAAATTGGACTGCTTCAAAAGTGATTATGTAGAGGAATAAGAGCAGGAACTAATAGACTGCACAACTGCACTGCCTTGGTTTTATATGAAACAGGACTAAAGTTAGTGTTTTGGCTGGTATTGAGCTAATTTTTCTTCATAGTAGTTATAATAGTGCTGTGTTTTGGATTCGGTATGGGATTTGATATGAGAAGAATGTTGATAATACACTGATGTTTGTAGTTGCTGGGAAATTAAGGACATTCCAACTTCCCATGTCCTACCAGTGTGCAGGTGGACAAAAAGCCAGGAGGGAGCACAGCCAGAGCACCAAACCTAAACTGGCCAATGGAATATTCTATATCATACAGCATCATGCTCAGTATATAGAAGAGGGTTGGGTGGGAAGCTCTTGCTCTCTCTTCCAGGATTGCACTTTTGGGGGTTTCTCTCCCCTGAAATCACTAGTCAGAAAGGGGCTGGGCATCAGTTTGTGGGTGGTGAGCTACAGCACTGCACATCACTTATTTGTACATTCTATTATCGTTATTATTTTAATTTTACATTATTTCAATTATTAGATTATTTTTATCTCAAACTATAAGTCTCCATACCTCTACCTCTCCAATTCTCTTTCCCATCCCTCAGGCTGGGGGAGGGTAAGCGAGCTGCTGTGTGGTTTTTCACTGCCAGGTTTAAACCACAACAGTTAGTATTTAAATTAATCATGTATTAAGACATGAGAAGACAGCAAATCCAGTCTTTTTGCTATTTTTGACATATTCCTGAGCTACAGATGCAACTGCACTATGCAGTACATTATTCAGGAAGTCAAACAATAAACACAGAAGATGTAAAAAAGCCCCAAACAAACCAATCCACAGAGACAATTTATTTTACTTCAGATTGCACCACTTCTCATTATATAAATAGTAGTAAAATTCATGGGTTTATAGGTTTATATTTATTCAGATTGTGTGAGCATATTCAAAAACTAAAGAAACAAAACTGTCAGTGATACCATAGATTCATATGTAGTCTATAATGTAATCAATCTTCCAGTAGATTTTTAGAATGATACCTACCTCTTATGTCCCAGTCCATGTGTGTGATATAGCTGGAGGCTCCCTTGCAGATTCCTACTCGTTTACTGCTCATTACATTGTAGATATCTACAAAGTTGTCACAGGATGCCACAGCTAAGTACTTTCCAGCCCCTGAAATACATGAGTAAAAATACAAAACATTTTCAAAAATTGTAGCGCTCTGTATATTAAACATAAGTACATTCTGGAATTTAGCTACATGCAACCCAGATTTCTGTGAAATGAATTTCCTAATTTATATAGAAAGACTAATGTTCGTATTGCGTAATCAAAATCAGTATGAAATATAGAGCCATTACATAATTACATCTTCAAACAATAAAAACTATTTGATGACATTTTAAATATTATTTTCCCTCAGAGAGTGGTAAGGCTTAGGTAACCAGAAAGTAATATTCCATGAGAACTGGTATCAGTAATTTGCATCAAATTTCTCACAACATAAAATTATTTTCACTGAAGTAGTACTATTACTTCAGGCCATACATCTGAGTTCCTAAATAGGAACTGTACTGTTACCAAAAAAAACCCAACCAAAACCACACCCCACAACAAAAACCTAGCCTCACTGGAAGTGCTAAGCACTGTAGGGGGAAAAAGAAGAAAAAAGAAGATGTCAGGACTTTCTGACGTATCAGTTTCAAGCATTCTCATTATCTTACAGTAACTCCAGTGAAGAGTGAAACAGGCAGCTCAAAGTGGAACCCTAGGGACGTTGGAAGGCTGCCAGAGGTTCACCATTTAAAATGGACTGTTGCATTCAGGAAGTTACTACAAGCAAACCTATTCCCATAATCTCATACTTAAATGAGCAACACAGGACTTCTCACCCAATATTTGTCAAAATATTAGTATCAGTCTTGCTGACTTATGTTACATGTAGAAGAGTACTACAAATCTCTACTTTTTTTATCTTTAAAAGGTTATAAAGCCTGCTTGAAAAAGCTTGACATGAAAATCTTTAAATCACTTACCGGGAGAAAATCGGATCTCTGAAATAACATCTTTCCTGTGCTGGAAAGAGACTAGATCTTCCAGGGTATCTGCATTAACTATCAAAAAACTTCCATCGTTGAGACCAACGGCTAATGCTTTTCCATCAGGAGAAAAGCAGCAACATCTACCTCCTATGAAGAGTACAGAAATGCATTCAGGTACATTTACAGTGCACAATCCCTCTTTTAGAATTATTTTTCCAGTAGTAAAAGAAAGCTGTTCTTGCAGTATAATAGTCTAATTAAATTTTTTAGATGCTTCCAATTTCCAAGGTCTGCATCCTGTGATAGCACACAGAAGCCACTGGCAAACTGACAAGTACACAATCCCAGAATCTTAGATTATGTTTATTCCCATATTAATTGACATATGTTCTGCATTAGTAATACAGATTAATAACTATTGTCTATTTTTAATTTGCTCTCATTTTTAGTACCATTTGATCTAGTAAGGACATGCTGGAAAAGACCTTCTGGACTCAGAATCCTGTCATTTGGTATCATGGTCAGTATGCTATATAATCCTTTTAATCAAATTTCATTTGAAAAACAGTTTAATTTTCAATCTAAATTTATTTATGGTCAGCTTATATAGCTTTGTTTCCATGACAGAATTTCCAGTTAGTGTAAATATTTTTCCCTACTATTTGCTCCTCTGAATAACTTGTAGACAGTAATCCTCTACTTAGCTGACTCCACCACAAAGCTTCTCATTCTTTATCCTGCAGATCCTCTTTCTCTATATTCAACTTTCAGTTTAATTTCATTCATCTGAACACAGATGAGAGGTGTACATCAAAAATATTCTGATAAGTCTCTTGTAAATTACATGAATACTTCAATAAATCCTGAGAAAAATACCTCACTATCACATGTAATTGTCATCCTGCAATCACCTAGAACATCCTGAGCCTTCGGCTTCTCAGTTACTCCTCAGCTACACAGACATTTTTTCTTACAGTCATTGAGTCTTGCCTTTTTTAATTACCAAATATTTTCTCATTTCCATTACTGCAGCCTGCAGAAGTACCCATCTCTTTCTGCACAGTACACATAGGTGTTTAAGACTGCCAAAGCATCTTAAAATCTCATCAGCAAATTAGCCATCACAGCCCTTATTTTTCTGCCAAAATTACACTTAAAAATATTAAGAAATACCAGCCTTAAGACTTATGCAAACTTCACCAACTTGAAACATTCTTGTTTAATCCCTGCTTGTGCCAGCTCATAACTCTTCTTTACACTTACTCTATCAACCCAAACCATCTTCAACTAAGCTTCCATTAAGGTTTGGATCAAAACGCTTTACTGAACACCTGTTGTATTCCTTTATCTAGCAATACATATATATCATTGAAAGCTTGTTACGGCCAGTCTGGTCTAATCCTAAAAAAAGTCTCCTTGTATAATGTCACTTAAAACAGACTTTCCATCTGACAAAATAGAATTTAGTTATACCATATACAATGATTAAGAATACAATGACTGTTCTCTTTCTGTGAAATTCCAGATTCTTTGAACATTCACAGAGAAAAGAAATTAAAAGTTATTTCTAAAATTTCTTCCAAAAGTTTCTACGTTTGAAGTTCTCCACTGTTCAAAAAAGTGTGCAATACTATAAGCAACATGGCTCAACTCTTATTTTAAATTCACTGACTTAAGATTATTTGCAACTGTAACATATTTAAGAACAGTATTACACAGAAATCTTTCATACAGATTCATTAGCTTAAGTGCTACGTAATTCGTGAACATAGCATTGATAAACTAATTTGAGCAAATGAATTTATTCAGTCTAGTTTTTGGAAGATTCATAATGATAGTAAATGTCAACTGAATTCGGTTGAATATTTTTTCATACTAAGCATCTTACCCTTCTTCAATTTGCGAACAGCTAACATACAATGGCTAGGAGATAAATCCCATATTCTTAAGGTTTTGTCATCACTTACAGTGGCACAAATAGGTAAATGAGGATGAGTAGCTAGACCCCAAACTTCCCCCTCCATGTGACCCTGAAAAAACACAATGAATCAGATGACTTTGTATTTTAAACTGAAATATGAAATAATACATTAAAGGAAGTTAAAAAAAAACCCAACAAATAAGAGAGAACATACATATCTATATATCTTTAGAGGATAATAAGAAATATCTGAATAGAAACTTAGAACACCTGAAAAAAATCTCACCCTGCTACTTACAGTAAAAGTGAAAAAAAAAAATTATAGTAGTAATTAGTACTGGAGAAAAATTCTCCCTGAGAAACAGTCCTCATACACATCTATGTCAATGATATGGACAGTGGGACCTACTGCACCGTCAGGAATTTTGCAGATGACACCAAGCTGAGTAGTACAGTTAATACACCTGAGGGACAGGATGCCATCCAGAAGGACCTGGACAAGTCTGAGAAGTGAGCCCATGCAAGCCTCATGAGGTTCAACAAGGCCAAGTGCAAGGTCCTGCACATGGGTCAGGGCAATCAATACAGGCTGGGGCAATGAAGGGATTGAGAGCAGCCCTGTGGAGAAAGACCTGGGGGTACTGGTGGATGAAAAGCTGGACATGAGCCAATAACGTGTGCTTGTAGCTGAAAAAGTCAACTGTATCCTGGACTGCATCAGAAGTGTGGCCAGTAGGTCAAGAGAGATGATACTCCCTCTCTACTCTGCTCTCATGAGACCCCACCTGCAGTGCTGTGCCCAGCGCTAGGGCCCCAGCATAAGCAGGACACGGACCCGGTGTCGTAAGTCCAGAGGAGGTCACAAAGACGATCAGGGGGCTGGAGCACCTACCTCCCTTTTGAGGACAGGCTGAGAGAGTTGGGGTTGTTCAGCCTGGAGAAGAGAAGGCTCCAAGGAGACCTTATTGCAGCCTTCCAGTACTTAAAAAGGTCTTATAAGAAAGATGGGGACAGACTTTTAGCAGGGCCTGTTGCAGCAAGACAAGGGGTAATGGCTTGAAACTAAAAGAGGGTAGATTTAGACTAGATATGGGGAAGACATCTTCTAAAAGGAGGGTGGTGAAACACTGGAACAGGTTGCCCACAGAGGTGGTAGATGCCTCATACCTGGAAACATTCAAGGTCAGGTTCAATGGGGCTCTGAGCAACCTGATCTAGTTGATGTCCCTGCTCATTGCAGGGTGGTCTTTTAAAGGTCCCTTTCAAACTATTCTATGATTTTATGATATAGATTTTTCTTTACCTTAGATTCTAATATATTATTTTAAAAAATCTAGTTCTTTACATATTGCATTGGCCACTCAGATGTGTGAATTAAAGATCCACGGATTTTTTATTAAGTATGAAAGAAAATCGTATGATGATACAATGTAAAAAATCTGTTTTGTAGTCAGACTTAAGAAATGCAGTCTCTTTAGTACAGCAAAGAAAACTGAAATGTTTTTTACATAATTACAAAGCAAAACTAAAAATAAACCTCAAGGAAACAATTTTTTAAAATAGTAACAGTAATTGGTACTCAGAAAAAGTAAGGAATTTAGTAGAGGATCCATTGTTTGACACACCATTTTCCTTTTTTTCTTTTTAAACAGAAATATGATCTTGGTCTGTTTGAAAGGATGAACTTGTTGAACAAATTAGTACATGAAATTATGTAATTGGTTTTGTTCATTGAAGAGTCATAATGATCTAGTCTAGCACTAAAAGTCTATGAAGTGACAGTAACTCACTAACTTCACTAATAATTAAAATGTTTGTTATTTCACAACAGTCTTTACTTGAAAAATAAAACAGTGTTTGTGGCATGGAATATTTGACTGATATTTAAAAATGTACCTGAACCAGCAGAGTTACTGGTCCACTTTTATCCACTTCCAATATTTCACCATTCTTTGTGCCCACTAAAATATGACCATGTCCTAAAGATATGGCACGTATAGAAGGATTATCTTCTAAGAGGAGACCTAGAACGTTAAAATGCAAGAAGACAGAAGAGTGTCAAGTATGCCTTAAAGGGTATTTTTCACATGCATGCATATTACATTCTCACTGGAGAAAAAAGATACTCAGTAGTAAACAAGTAAAAACATATTCCTGCATGGAACTAACACGTTTGAATTCATTTGGGAGTCTTTAGCAACTACCCAACTGACACTAATCTTTCTTCTCAACTATGTATTTCTGAAGTTTAATCAGCCTGACTCACTGCCAATATTAGTGAAAAAAGGGCATATGAAGTACCAACTATATTGCTAGCATTTATGGTACCTTCAAATCTAACTTTTTATTAAACAGATATGAGAATGAGACACTGCAGTAGAATGTTTTAGTTAATGGGTGTTTCCATTCAGGACTTTTGAAAACCAAACCATGTACATTAGAACACAGCAGATGTAATTTTAAGGCGGGGAGGGAGGAGGAGAAAAGAGAAAAGGCTATTCAGAATGTCAAATAGGGAAAACCATAAATCATCACGAAGATCAAGATGAAATGGGACAAATAGGAATAATAGGAATTAAAATGTTCTTAACTAATTTCAAAAGACTTATGCTTTTACAGAAAATGAAGTCAGAAAATGTACTAATACCTTACATAACTAACCACAATTCTGAATTTCATTCTTCCTCCAAAACAAAAAGGATCAGACAAGATATTTCATGATTAGAAATTTAATAGGCTTTTTGGCTGCCACTTTAAAAAAAAAGAATCACCTAGGTATTAAGAGCCTCAAGGTTAAATCAATTCACTCAGGCAGATACTAAGGTAAATAATACGATCTGCAGCCACCAAGTGTGCAAACAGACACTACAACACACAGTTCCCCTCCCAGGAGTACAATTACTTATTTAGAATCAGTAAAGCTTGAAAAAAATAATTTGTAGTATTCCGTTTTGTCAAATGTGGATTTCCTCCTACTGGGGAAGGCAATTACACAGAAAGTTTTCTAAATGAGGTATCTTAAATAGAATAATAAATAGGTAGAGGTCTCTGTTACCTTTAGACCCAGGGGCCAAAGCAGCCCTTTTGATGGCATAGGTTTTGAGACAACGTTCAAAGGTATCGTCCCAGAGAGCGACCACCCCATCCTTCCCTCCAGTGACAAATCCCTAGGAAAAAAAAAATATATTAATAAAAATAATCACAAGCTATAATAAATTATTTTATTTCCTTAATTTTTCAGTTATTTTTGCTAATACTGAGAATGAGTTATATACAACACTAATGCACATAAGTACAGATTTTAAAGATTCAAAAGTCCAGAGCAACAAAGTGATTGAATTCTCCTTCTGATGAAGGCAGCAGAGTTCTGTATAGCCCATGTACACAGTCTGGATTTAGAAGTTCTAACCACTAAGTTTCTACCACACTAGAAAAATAATTTAACTGGCATAATGAAACATTCTTCTTGATATTTAGCCTCAATATCCATTTGGCATTTCACCTCATTACTCCAAGCCAAACTCAGTACCACTCACAAAAATTTGATTAGTGCTTAAATTGGTCAAATATATGCATATTTCTGCCATTCTGTCTTCAAAAATTATTTACAGCTATTTAATGAAGCAACAGGTATACTTCATATTGAAATAGTAAGTACTTTCCTTCAGAGCACTTAGTTTTTTCAATATGAGTAACACATGTTTTGTCCAAAGCTGCTATACTCAAACATTAGAAGGTGGAATAACTTGGTCTGATCTAGCAAAACACAAACATATACATAACTTGACACATACAAGTAATCTAACTGGAACACCTATTCACATTTAAGCACATGCTTAAAGGCTTTCCTGAGTCAAAAGAATCAGGAGACAGTACTTAGTGATCTACAGATTGAATGCTTCTACTTGTAGGCAGTAATTACAGCACAAAATAGGAAAGTATGATTTTCTTCCCCTCTCACAAGCTCTCATATTCCATCAAACTTATGGATGCTTAAATCAAAAAGTACTTTTACTTATCATAAGTCATATTTCTTTAGTAAGAGGTTATTAAAATTGCTGAATAAGATGTCACTGGACCACAAAGGTTTGAGAAGCAGCATGCTACATAACAAGGATTAGAGACATGCACAGAACACTATCTTGAATCTGGACCTCACAAGGCTTCTCTGTAATGGATATAAAGCTACGGATTCCTGAATTTGGGAAAGGACTAATGTCATAGACTTTTTTGTCCAGACATCAAAAAACAAGGAGCAATTTATTTACTTTTTCCAATGCGTGCATGCTGAACACAGGACCATCATGTGCTTTGACAGTGTTTATGAGAAATACATCTCTCCAAATACACACATCCCCCGTGGAAGTTCCAGAGAATGCCATCTCTTCAGTCCAGCCATATACCGCACACATCATTGTATCGGTTCTTCCCAAAGCACCTATGCAGCCCTTTCTCCCAATTAGTCCTCCGCCTGGTTCAAACCAAAAACAAGTCATCAGATGTTTGCTTAGAATTATTTTCCAAAAACTATACAATCCTACCCAGAACAAGCCATTTTCTTCTGTTTCACCTGTGCTCTCCAAAAAACGTGAGTCTGAGAAGAGTTCTTACAAAACAAAGCTTTTTCTACTATTTGGCATCTTCCAAGAAAAAAAAAAAATCTTACTTTTAACTTACTACTTGAATATAGATTTGAATAGGTACATATACCGACACAGACAAAGTGCATTTGTAAACCTGCATCTAAACAAAAAAAACCTTTAGTAACTACCACACAGTTCATAGGAATTCCTAATAAAATTAACTTGAAAGAAAATAAACGTTTAAATCTTGACATCCCATCCTTTTCACTACATGTTTTCAGTGAGATATCTCATTTTATTTTAGAAGTTTGCCATACTGGTCTCTGGACAATAGAAACATTACAGCTACATACATTTTAAAATTCCTTTAAATACTGTATAAAAAAAAAATCATTTGACAGTTATAACGCCTAGTAACTTCTGGCTGGAAAGTCAGCTTTATATGTTCACAATCCTCAAACAAACTTCATGTGGTATAACACAGAAGCCCCTCAGGATCTGACACTTGATACTGTTCTCATACTTACAGAAGCAAGGTCTCTGCACCTCTCTGCCATCACTTGGCACTGATGAAATTTAGACCAAAGCACATACTCTGGTGTCATTTTTCCCATCAAATGCATCTGCTCTAGTGCAGATTTCAGAGATGGGCCATTTGTTAAGGTGCACTGATACTCTACTCCTGACATTAACACTGTGTGTTTCACAGTGACCGCCTTGCCAGTGTGCCGTTGCAGTTCCGCACAGATGGGCTATAGCATTAGCGAAATTTGATTCCTGCTGCTGAGCAATGCCAGAGAGAAAAGAGGCATTTTAAACAATTTAATTTCTTTATTTAGAATCACCATCTCCAGGCTTTTATCACAGTTAAGGTTTCTTCTAAAGAAATTATACTAATTCATCCAGTAAATATTCTAACACACTTTGTTATTTCTATGGGTAGGAAGCACAACTGTTAAAATTAATAATTTATATATACTTCAACAGCTTGCTCTCAGGCAATCTTAATTAATTTCTGTTGGAGCCAGAACTGAGAAAACTAGTGTCACTTTCTCATCACAGACTTTTCTCTCCAAAATTAATCTTTACCAAGGACTCATGTGAGTTGGTGTGCATTAATTCTGCATGAATAATTAGAAAATTCTTAGCAGACAAGCTAGTCTTCTGTAGCACATATGTCTTTATATATGTTTTGAGGTCTGAAACAACAAAGTTCACATTAATATCAGGGAATGGATTTTTCACTCTAAAATTTTTCCAGCAGATAAAGCAAGCTGCTCTAACTTGGTTTTTAATCGTCAAGTTCAACAAAAGTATCTAAACAGGTCTTAACTGACACATATTCCCTTCAAATACTTTATCTGAATTTTTGTATGTGGATTTTTAACACCTTGTTTATTTATATTTGTGCCTCTTGATAACATACATGTTCTAGAGGTCCTTCTTCCAAAAACTGTTCCATGATTTTAGAGCAGCTGTGTAACATTTTCAGATGTGCTGTATTATTATGAGATATAAAAAACAGACAGTAGGAAATCCAAGGTCCTTTCTACTTGTACATCTCTAGCTCCATGGCAAATTGACCTTAAAAAAGAATTCCCGCTACTGCCATAATGCCAATTAATGTTATTTCCAAGGCAAAGCTAACTTAGATATACAGAGAAAACATCTGCCTTTGATGCATGAAAAATACTATAACAGATGCAATATTTATACTTTAAATAACAGAAAATGGTTTAATTCTGAAGTTTCCTTACCTGCTCTACGCCAGAATTTCATGTGTTTAATTCCAACTGTAATCAGTTTATCTGGCATATAAGGATTAATCTTAACAACAAAAATCTTATCTTTGCTTCCCCTGAAATGCAAAGCAAAATATTTTAAATAAAAATATAAGTATTCATATTTTAAAATAGGTTTTCATTTGGTGGGTTTTTGTTATTTTTGCTTTTCTATCTTGCTAACATTTATTTCCAAATTATTAACAATAGTTTATTATGAGGAGGAAGAAAGCCAGAGAACAAACATATTGAATCCTATTACATTTTCATTACCCTTTAGTTTCCAAAGCAGGGAAGTAATTATGCTACTTCAGAAATCCACTAGGTGGCATTTTCTGTGCAGAAGAATATATTATATATTTGCATGAAGTTCAGGCATATGGTATTTAGACCTTTGACAGCTCATAATAAAACTTAAAGGTGTAAACTTGTAAATCGTCTTTAAAAATTTCTCATTTTGAAAATAAAATGCATTCTCATCCACTTTTATTTGATATTTCCATTTTTCTTGCTAGAAAAAAACATATGTTGTTATATCAAATTTTAAATGGAAATTTCAGTTGTGTCTAAAAATATAAAATCCTGTTGTGCATTTTAGATTTCTTACTATGCTTCTATAAAACCAATGCCTTGCTTCAGTCCTATAATTTGAAAAACAGCTTTCAACTGTTTGCTATCTATGCAAGGAAATAAATGCTTGATAGCAGGTTGTTTTTTTTCTTTAAAATGCAAAAGATCTTCTAATCCCTAATTTTTGCTCTCTGTTCAAGAGTGGCAATAATAATTTCACCTTCTGTCATTTTCAGATGACTAAATGAACCAGTAGCAAGAAGCATGAACCAGTTTCTTTCCAAACTCACACTTCGATATTCAAAGTATAGAGGCTGCTCTCAAAAATCCTATTAAATTCCTCTGACTAGTTAGTGAAAAAAAGAATCCAGAAACTAAATCCAGCATAAACTGGTTAAAGTTTGATTAAAAAAGAAAACTAAGCAGTGGGTTCAGAGAGTAGGGCAATTAGGAAAAAAAAAAAAAAGCTGAAAAAAAAAGTATCACAGGAAAGGCAGACAAATGAAAGGCCCAAACCAGTACCTCCAGAGAAGCCAAGCTAACTGGGCTTCTAATGAATGACTAGGAAGGGAGTACTCTTCTTTATCTAAAATCATCTATACAGCATTTTCATTCCTCAGTGGTTAAGCAACTCAAAATGTGTTTAAAAAGAAAAGAAAGTAAACATCATTGAAGAGCAATAATGAACTTACTGGATAAAATTGAAGTTGATACTTTTAAAATTACATCTGCAGAGAACAATAAATCCCTTTCAAACCTACACAGCACAATAGTTAGAGTATACATACTGAATCCAGAGTGGGGAAAAACATGCTCACATTACTGCTCTATTTAAAGCAATAGATCCTTAGAAACAACAAAGTCAAAGGTTTCAAAAACATTATGCAACATTAGAAATTCTATTGTGTAGATTAAAACTCTATTTAATAAACATATGTGAAATAATCTATGCAGAGTCAAAAAAACCTGCCATAATCTTTAACCTTTTGAGTCTATTGAGCTAGGTTTGTGTCTGGAGGGGGAAGGGGTAAGTGAGCGGCTGCGTGATGCTCAGTTGCTCTCTAAACTCAACCCATGACAAGTTATTTAGTTCAACCTTCTGTTCAAAGCAAAGGTAATTTCAAAGTTAGATCAGGCTGCTCAGGACGCAGAAAGGAAAAGGAAAGAACCTTGAAGAAATGGGAACTGAGCAAAACAACTGCAAACTGCTGTCCCAAGAAGACTTGACCTCTGATGAAAAAGATCTGAAAAGCAAAGCATGTATCACCATCTCTGAGAGGGCCAACAGAATTAGTTTTAAAGAAATTATTTCAGAACACATCAAATAAACATAAACTTTGTCTTCTATGTCTTCTTTCCTCAACAGTTGAGCTGTCGCTGTAATAACTTGCTGACTATCAGAGCTTCAATTTTATCTTTCAAAGAAAGCTTTAACGCTGTGCTAAATGTTACCACCTGTATCACTTAAAGGATAGAAACTGCTAATTTATCACAGAATTTAATGAATATATTTTGCTTGCTGTCATTTGAGAGTAAAGGTAGATACAAATTTTAAAACAAAGTTAAAGTCACACCTTACTGCTGAAAGCTTTTCTCCTTTCTTCCAGTCCCAGAGTACAATGGTGTGATTGTCATCTATGCCAACAGAAGCCAATCTTTTCCCATCCGCTAGAAAAATAAATTTATGATTTAGAGAGTAGATATGTAACATTATGTTGCAATAGGAAGAAACCGTTAAAGAATATTATAACCTCACAAATATAAGAACCATGTACAAACAGGTAAATAATCATATGACGTATATTTAGAGGCAAGTCTGTCTCTGCCTTTACACTTGAGTGGTCAGTTGGATGGAGTTTAGGACTAAGTTAACCTGTCTAAAAATTGCACTTAGATCCTCTGTATTTTTATCAAATCCTTTGTTCAGCTAGTTGCTGACACAGTTGCACTAAAACATTCATCACAGGTTGCACTGTGAGATTTTTCTGTTCACTCTGAAAATCCCCGTTCATTTCTAAACAGGAAAGCATTGAAGCAATACCATAAAGTTTATAAAATATCCTTAAATTTTGTAACAGTGTGAAGTCTTCAAGAAGCTCCAACACATATCCCACATTAACCTCCAAGAAAGATGTTATTTGTACTCATTCATGATCAATGACTTTGACATGTATCCTTTGAAATTGCTATGTATCCGTGCAAGAATTTGGGAGTTGAGATTCACATCTTAAAAAAGGAGAACCAAAGAAAGGTAAGAAGCATCAAAGACCCCAAACCACTCATCTTTGTGATCATCCATCTTCACTGTGAGGTTAGAGATCCTATCTAGTAAAGCCAAACCATTAAAGAATGAATAGAAGCCAGTGGAGAAGAGGAAATTTAACACTGGTACAGGAATGGGGTGCAAAAATCTCAAAAGATTTATCTGACAGTCTCCTATGTTAGTATAAGGTGAAGAGAGAGACTGGGTTTCTGCCCAGAACTCTGTAACTGGACCTTCTGAATCTGTCAGTGTGCTACTTAGTTGTCTTGCAGGATTTAATTTATTAAAAAAAAACAAAAAAAACCAAAAAAAACCCCACAAACAAAGCATGCCTCATCTATTTGCTCAAAAAAAAAATTTGGTTACAGTTACAATGCAGACACAACAGTCAATATCTGTGCACCTTCCTCACACAACCAGAAGAAAGTCCAAAGGGATCACTTAAGCTCGAAGGGCACAGAACCTTGCATTTCCTGACATGCAAGATTCTACAGGAGCTCTTTTTAATAAATGATCACCTTAAGACAGCCTCTCTCATTTGTCATTGATCACTAGAGAGTATTTTTAATGCGAAATCTTCAGTGTAAAGGAATTCCCAATTGCTCATCAGAATTGATTAGCTTGTATTTGGTAGAGAAAACTGAAATTACAGAACAATAAATAAAGACTTATTACCTGAAAAATCAACAGCACAAACACCATACTGGTGATAGCCCTTTAATACTGAGAGCGGTTTTATTGTTTCTGTATCCCAAATGTGTATTGAGGAATCTCGACCAACCTGAAAGTATACATATTTATAACCATATTTTTTTCCCATTTCTCAATTACTTCATACCGTTTAAAAGTATAATATTTACAAATACTTTTGTAAAATTCTTCAAGTATTGCTTCTGTCTGGCTAGCAGTATATTATTTTTTCTCCTGCTTTACAGAAACCACTCCCCAGCTAGCTTGCTCTTCCCTCCAAAGAACCCAGGCACATCCGTCACAATTAACTAGAGTCGTCTTGGCGCAGGGGCAGGGAAAGCCCTTCACTGATTGCAATGTGGCATATTTATTCCATCATTTCTCTACCAATCATTCCCTATCCAAAAATAAAAGGTTATTCTTATTGCTAGTATGTAACCTACTCTATGTTTGAGAGATCAAGGTGACTTCTGTTGCTTTCTGGTGTCATTACAAGTGCCTACAAGTCAGATTCTGATGCACTGATACCTGTGAAGCAATCTTCACTAGAATGGCACTAATGTAGCTTAACTACATTAACTAGAACTTGGTAAGAAATGGAATATAATTTATTTTCAACTATGTACAAGCATTACTAGTCAGTATTTACAAGACTGGTTTTGCACTTCAAGTACACAAAAAAAGGCTCCAAAACCATAAGAACACTTTTCTGTGCTTAAGACTGAGGGCAGGACTTAAGAAAACAAGGTTCTATTTCTGGATTCACCACAAACTTAAGATGTGATATTTGCAAACCTTTCTGAGACACTGTTGCATGGGGAATTTGATTACTGCATTACCAAATTTCTACAGGTAATGTAATATACAATAGTATATAATGCGTATATATAAAACAGTATATAATTGAGTGAATCATTCTGTTGACAGCATAAGGTATTTTAAAATATAGTAAATCCAGGCACATTATTATTCATAGTCTTTACAACTCCAAAATTAAATAGAATCAGTTCTCACATTTAGGGCTTTAATCACTAAACTGACCTCCAAATGTATGTTAATCTCAAACATTTTTACACAAATTAAGGGCATTATAAACAGAAGTTTATTTTACCAAAAATTTTAGCTCACATGTTCTCCAATTTATTATACACTAATAATAATGATTATGACAATAATTTAAAAAACCCTGAAACATCAATCAAACCTTCAAGTCCTGGTATATGGACATTTATTGGAAGAGATGTTTGTTCAAAAAGATGAGTGAAAAAATTTACCTAAAATTAGCAAAAGATCAGATGAACTACTCTAAATACTTCAGCAACACACATACCTGTGCTGCATGTACAAACAGTAAATAGTTTGTCTATAGATGATAACCAAAACCATAATGCATGCAACTGAAATGCCAGAATGTAATAACATAGCTAAATTCACAACTGAGACATTAAAAAAAATGTATTTTAATAGCACATTTCCTCCACTTGTTATCATGAAGAAGCAATGTAATGCTGAATAAAAAATATCAATCTATTCTTAAATAAAAAAGAAGTTTAAAAGAACTATCAACTAAAGACTGATCAGAATTAATATAAACAACTGGAAAAAACACTTTTGTTACTTTTTTAACATTATTCCATCTGCAACAGAAATGCAGTCCTTCACCTGAATAAGTGTAGACTGGACTTTCTTCCTCCAAAACAGGCTTTTCTAAATTCAGTAGTAACAACTTCAGATTCATATTGCAGATAAACACACATCCTACCTGGCCTGTTGCCACATAGTCCTTTAAGGGATGAATAGCAAGGCAAAGAATGTCATCATCATGACCTAGATAAAAGCGCTGTGTGTTCTGCTGTCGATTGTACACCACTCCCACTGCTGCAACATGGTATACTATTTCACCCGTCTGAGTGTAAAATAAATTGCTTCGACAGTCGTAACCTCTGTAACTAATTAAAGACAAAAAAGTTTGTTCATCAAGGTCATAAGCATATATAGAGAAACTCCGAGATAACATTCTGCAAGATGCATTTTGCACTCAGATTACTTACCAATTACTGTTTTGGGGGTTTAAGATTAACAGATTTTCCTAAGGAACACCAATTTATCAGTTTACGTTACTATTCAGACATCAATACTAAATCATTATTAGTTTGAAAGGGGGTGCTATTTAATAATTATTTTCCATAACTAGTTTAGAAGAGGAAGTAACAGCTAGTAACTTTTTCAGACCACATTGAGAATTCTGGCATGCAACATGTAAGTAAATGAAACAGCCAAAACTAATACTTGGGACATTTTCTATCCCTTACTGCTCAAAAATCAGGCAGCAAAAGTTTACACAAGAATGTGGACAACACAGATATCATAAAACTGAAAGTTTCTGGAAACTTGCTAACAGAAAACAAATGCATAGATCTTCTTCCAAATCAGTTTCTTTTTTGAAGGAAAACCTGTGTCCTTTCTGTGCTTGATACAGCAACTGGCATGAGTAGGCCAATTCCCAACTGAGGTCTGTATGCACGATCACAGTATACACATTTCTTCCTAGGTGTGATTAAGATTCAGTACCCTAAAAAAACCAAAGGTGGCATTTTCAAAAAGGCTAGGGGTCCTACTTTCAGAACTAATTTAAGGGGCTCAGAAACCTAAAAAACATTAAACAAACAAGCAAGTTTTAAATCAGTGGGTTTTTAACAATGCTATCCTTGGCAGTCAATGGAAATAACATTTAAAGATGTGTAACTTAAAGTCATTCCTTCCTTTCTTCTGACATAAACAATACTCCATATACTCCTGACACTCTTGTTTCTATACTATTAATTCCCCAACTAACCTCTTTCTGTTCCTTCTTTTGTTCTTACAGATCTTCAGTAAATCAATTTTAAAAATTATTTTACAAAGATGAAGGCAAAATCTGGTTATATTTCTGAATATACAGTTAAATTCACAGGAAGGGAATGACACTTGAATGTGTTTGAACTGGCCTTTTGATGAATTATCTTTATTTGGGGATCATAAGGCTCTACCTAGTTGATAAAAAAGCCCTGAAGATGATCAGCAAGTTATTCTTGGCAAACAAAATAACTAAGCTTTCACCATCAGCAACTGCAAACTAATAGAAATGTCTAATGCCTATGTTATACTTCTCATTATATTAATTTCTTTGCTTAATTAAAAGCATGTATCATCAGAACACATTATTTTTAAGAAGAAAACAAATGGAGGATCTCTTTGCAACAGTGCAGGCTTTTAAACTATCACATAAGACAAAGATGCATCTGTACATATACCATATGCAAAATGAATGGTATAGCATTAAGACAATTAATGCATATGAGACACTTAAAATGTTTAAGTGACACAGAAAATACACGGTCCAGGTAGAAAAGTCTGTCACAGAATTATATATAGCTTTCCTTGTACACACAGTGCAACCACATTCACTGGTCAAGTAATGATTCTTTAAGGCAGCTGACCAACTTCAGCTTCATGAATATTATTCTGAAAACTCCAGCCATGGATCCATGTTCAAAAATACTAGACATATATATTACTGGAAAACACTATCTGTAGCAGGTTTGAACACACTATTTCTGTTGGTCCACCTACACTACATGCAATAGTACTTAGATCATAAGTGATTAGAGAAAAATTGTGAAAATTGTCCCACAACATTCTTAAACAGATCAGAAGATGGTCCAGGTCCATTCCTCCCCAGATGCAGAACACTGCATTCCACCTTTATGAAGTTCATGAGACACCTCTCTGCCCAGTTCTCTATCCTGTCCAGGTCGCTCTTGATGGCAGCACAGCCATGTGGTGTACCAGACACTCCTCCCAGTTTTGCATTGTCTACAATGCTGTAAAGTCTAAGGCTGGGTCTCATTAGATCACAAACAAGCAAAGTGAACTCCTCAAACTAGCAAAAACTGTGATAGCACAGAAATAAAAGCTTTTAAATAAGCGTCCCTCCAACCCACTGTTTAGATTGGTTCTCATAGGCAGGTTCTTAACTTCAGGTTTGGTTCCAGTCCAACACATGTTCAGAGTCTCCTGAAGGTCTCTAGAAAAACCTCAACCCATTGGATCTGAGGCTCAGATATATGTTTGCTCCCTGCTTTTTTCAAAGTCACCAACAATTTAGACTCACAATACAGGTGCACACTCTTCAGTCATGCTTCACTTTCCTTCCACCATATCCTTCACCAACAACTTCCCCCAGCAGCAACATGTGTGGATGATTTGAAGCACCCAAAGTGCTGCCTGCTTGCCCTGCCTGGCTGCACCCTTCTTTGATGTCCAGCCACTAGTTTTTAGAGGGACATAATACACAATAACCTATAGTAACTATAAAGACAGAGAACAAAAATACCCTATCACAGCATGCAACATCAACAGTTTAAGGACATGACAACATTCAGTAAGGGGGAAGGAGTACAAAGGCAGGCACAGTGCCAAAGAAGGTATCTGGACCTATCGTTGCTCAGACATCATTTTCCTCTGCTTCACTCTGCACTGTGCCCTTAAAAATACTGGATTTTCTTTTCAAGCACAGAATACTTTGAAAAATGCTGAATACGCACCCTGAATATTTTAAAAAGCAGCTATGAAAATGTGTACACCAAAAAAAAAAAAAAGTTTAGAAATACTGGACACTGAGCAATTTCTTACAAGTTTAGCAGTCATCTATCATATAAAAGTAAAAACAGCAAAAAGGGTCTCAGATCCTCCTACCTGCAATCCAGAAATTCAGAATTTTCCCAGTTTTTGTCATAACAATTGCCTATATACCCTAAGTTAAGCATAGTGAAACTGAGTGAGTTAATGTCATATATTCAGACGACTACCCAAAACATCCAAAATGTATCTAGGATGCAGGAAAATAGTTCTTATTACTCATATCTGTAACTTTTTCTGATCGGAAGTTTGGACTTTAGTTCACGTTCTCCATTTATAAAAAAATATAGGTATACAATCAGTTGTTTACAATTAAAATAAAAACTATTTTGCCAAAATATCAAGCAGTGCAAACAAAGACATTCTGTAACCCAGTTAAACGCATCTGGTTTTTGCATGTGCCAGTCTACTAACTCCCTGACTATATAGGTACTTCTCTCTGGAAGGATAAAGTGATGGGCCAAGCAGTCCAAACAGAGATGAAAAGAAACGTGTTTCAGTATAGAAGATAACTCCCAATAATATGCTGCACAGTTCCAAAATACCTACATCTCCATATTACTAAAACAATTTAAACTGAGATCATTAGCTAATCTCAGAAAAAGCATGAAGAGAAACAATTCTTTGCATGCAGAAAACAAGCCACAGAAATAATTTACAGGGCATCTTGATTAGCAACCAGAAAAAATAATAATGAAAGCAAGCTCTGCATCATAGCTACTGAGTAATATATAACAAGGCACAATAAAATTAATACTGCATTCTGCAGCACTTTATGTTTTCAAGTGGTCTCCAACAACAGCTAATCAAACTGTTAATCCAAGACAGATTCAAGTTAATATGACAGTAACTTTCAGAAGAAAAGATAGCTTCCTCAATGCTATGTAGAAAAAACGTTCTGCCATTACCAAGGTCATGAAGAGCATAAATGTAGGTGTTCCCATGTGTGTTAGATATACTAACACCTACATTTTAATCAGCAGTGTTCTAGTCAATGGAACCTGCAGGGCTACTCAGCTCATCAACCAGTCAGCATTTAATTTTACTCAAGCGTAATCCCTCCTTATGCTTCACTGACTACCACCTGCATCTCCACTGACTGTGATGGAAGTTTAGATACACAAATAAAACCACCTATTTTTAGGCAGACAATTGTAAATTCTTTAACCTGAAGCTGGATCCCACCCACAGTTGAAAGTTACACCTGTATAGCCAACTAAGGGGCAACTTCACAAGTAGTGTCCTCTCTGGAAAAAGAGTCAATGTCTATAGTTTGTCTAATGCTGTAAGAGTTTCATAATTTCATGTTGCTCCTCAATGTATATGTGTGAAATTTCCAAATGTAGTGAAAACTCTATCCTCAGAAGAACCAAATGTCAAAATAAACATGGTTGAGGTCAGAGTCTTTAGCATGGAGGTAGAGATATGTCAAAAAACCCAACAAACAAACAAACAAAGACTTTTGCATGGCAGTAGTGTTTTCTCAACAGGACTCCCTCATAGTCTACTCCCTTCAGATGTTATTTGCAGGTATTTATAGCCCTCTGGTAGGAATCCATACAAGGTGTCATAAGACTCATTTCAGAGCATGAGAAATCCCATGTCATCTTGAAAGTGTAACCAATTTCATCTTATGATAAGGTCAGTTCAGTGAATATCTGAAACTCAAACAAAAAAAAAAAAAAAAAAAAAGATAATTCTTGAGAGATCAGCAGCATAGCTTTGAGAGAATACAGGACCTAAGTATTATATTTGCATCCTTATTCCCTGCCAGCAAAAGGTATTATAAGCATTGAGTCTGAGAAAGGAGGTCCTCTGAATATCTCAAAAGATGTAGTCTTTTTATTTCTGAACCACCACCACTGTCAAAGACATGGCAGAAAGAAAATACAGGAATAGTCAAAACGAGGCCAAACTAGTACACACAACTTCAATAACATGTTTCTGATCATGATTGCATCATATCTCTTAGAGAAAGATGCATTTAAAAAGTTAACCTGTTAACAGAATTTGCTTTCTTATCCATACTAGTCAGCAGCTGGCTCACATAAACAACATTATTGTTTTTATCCCCTTCCAAAACAGGAAGTAATCAGAGATTTAAAAGATTTCTTACAGGATATGAAGAGATTTTTAAAAGTTCATCTTTCAAGGCAATTGACAAATTCAAAACACAAAAACCAACGTGCTCAAAAACAAAGAAAGGAAAAAGAGCTTCCTATTCCCCTAGTTCAAAAAAGCACCACTTTTTACACTTTCAAGGAACATCCAAGACATTTCCATTGCAGCTAAAGAAAGATGAAGCAAAGCAGACTTCCTGAATCAGAGAATATGCCTATTACTCACTTGGATGTGGGTCACTTTAAAGTTAACAGCCTGGACATTGAGAAAAATCTGTTGTTCAGCATGGATTCTTCATTAGTTTCCTTGATGCCCATTGGGTAACCAGACAGAACTCAACTGGACATTCTACTTCTGGTCATTCCTGGATATTCTGGTCAAGCTTCACTTCTGTTGTGAAGGAAATAACAATAATCCCAAAGATCCAGGGCCCTTACTTGTGCTACATCTTCTTCAGGATCATTTGGTTTGACTCCTAGACCAAATTTTAAAACACTGCATACAGCTACCCACCTTAATGCATTTTCTACAGACACAAAAATCTTCAACTGAGAACTCTGGAGCATCAAAAATAGATATAAAAACCCAACTCTGCACCAAGATTCCCAGTTGTCATTATTTCCAAAGCTATTCCTCAGACTCCATGTCTTCTACAGACAAAATTGCTGAGTTGAATGATTAACTGTTCTTAGCAAATTAATTTATTAAGCATTCCATGTGCAGCTCTTCTAAAATTGTTTAAGTGTCATTATAAAGACAGACAGTAACTTATCTGTGCATTTAGTTATCTCTAAAAAGAAGCTGTGTTCCTGCAAAGAGGTATCTTTTGAAAAGAAAAACAGTATCACCTGATTTCCAAAGCCTTAATTTAATAAAGGCTTTGGTTTTCTTTGTATCAAGGGAATTTGTATCTCTGATCATTATTCTAATGTACTAATATATACTGCCAGTTTGCTTTAAAACACCACATCTTTGTTCTGATGAAAAAGTCTTCACTTATGAAGAGATATGGGAGAATACCAATACTAAAGACAAAATTGTAAGATTTCAAGGATGCATCTGAAAGTCTTTTTGTTACTCAAATTAGCACCAAAAAGAGAATGAAACTGAATTTTAGCATACTCACAGGACCTATTAAGGATTAAATTTAATTCCTAAACAGATAAACATGTAAATATTTTCAGATTAGGTACAGTTTATACTTTTTTTTTTTTTTTAATAAAACACCAATAGAAACACCACTTAGTACAGAACCCAGTTATCTTCAACTACACCAAGCTTCTGTTGTAGCTTCCAAAATAATATACTGAAGAGAACTATTACTTTTCAGATCCTGAAAAATACAGGTGATAGCCAAATATTATATTTAGTCACCTCTATTCAAATAATGACTATCAGTTAAAGCTTCAGTGAAAATTCACTTTAGAATTCGTGTTCACAATTAGTCTAGCTTGGCATCAAAGCTTTCTATTAATTTAGTGTAAATTTATTTTTATAGAAATAAAACCAGTAAACCATAAAGCAACTGACCTCGAAGTCTTTCATCAGATTATTAAATGATAAACACCAATCTATAAAACACAAACAGCCTGCTTGTATATTTTAAAGAATCCTAGTTTTCATACCCATGAACAAAATGTAATCTTATACTGTTTCCTGGAGCTCGCTCTCGTCTCTTTGAAGCTGCACTTTTCCTTTTTTCTTTGCATTGCTCTTTAAGTTGAGGTAGATCTTCTTTGTAAACCTTTAAGAAAAAGGACACTTATAAATTAAGAGATTCAAAAAAAAAGCACATTTCTGAGAATTCAGCTACAGTTATCACCCACAAAAATGTTATACTGACATCACTGAAAAAAATTACCAATAATTGTAGCTGGTTATTGTATAGTATAACTTGTTTTCACATTACAACCAAAACTCTAATAGAACATGCTATGAATACATGTAATCATGTTTTTTGCATCTTAATATTTTTAATGCATCAGATAATAACAATTCTAAGGGTTTTGTTCAGTTCCTGCTCAGCACTCAATCTCCCCACTTTTCAGATTTCAACAGGTCTTCATAAAAGACCAACTTAAACCCGGAGAAGTATTCCAACTGCCATCAAAACTAAAATCTTTACCTGTCGACGATAGGTGATCTGTGTCTCTTGTTCAATTTCAGAGTCCAGCTCTGGAACATCAGATTGATCTGAATCTGATTCATCACTATTAGAATCAACCAGACTCTCTGCCACCAAGAAAACACAAACAGGAAATGAAGCAACCTAAATTACAGACCAGAAAGTATTTGAAGTAACTGCTTAAGGTGTCTGATCTGATAATCAATGCTTATATTAACTATAACAGAAACTACTAATAATTGACGGCCTGACAGGATCAATTCTGCTGATGCAGTAGAAATAAGCCAAATGTAAATATTTGGATGTTGTTTATTTTTGTGAGCAAGTTAGTTTTTATTCATTAAAATTATTTCATAAATTAATGTTAAGAGGAAAGGAAGAAGAGAATGAAGTAATAAATATATAGCAGAAACTAAGACTTGCAGAAAACTAACAAGAGAAGTAAAGGGCTCCAAAGAGAAACTCATGGTTAGGTGAGCTGTTGATGCAAGGAACAATTCTTCTGGTAGATTAGGAAAGAAAAAATAAGATATAGGAATGAAGTGGTAAAATTCTCAGCGACTGTGAAGAAAAAGAGTAGTCATTTAATATTTCTGTTTTACATCTGGGGAAAGCCAGATAATGTTGTAGCACAGAATTTCATTCCAACAGAAACTGAAAAGAACGTCCTGGCTAATAAGTAATATATTTGGATCTTTCTGCAACCTTTGATTAAATATTCCATAATTTTTCATTAAGAAATCAGACACAAAATTAGTCTAGAACACAAATGAGTTTTAAAATATCTCAAAATGTAATTGTAAAGAGAGAATCACCACTCAATAAGAAAAGTTTCTAGAAATATGCAATGGAGAGCAATCTTTGGAGCTATACTACTTAACATTTTTATCAATTATCTAGAGAAAAACAATATTGCTAGCCATGAAGGTAGCAGATTACAGAGTTAGAAAAGCCATTAACAGGTCAATTATCAATAGTGTGACAGAATAGATACATGTTGTACATACTGTCAGATAGCCAAAAATAAGAAATCTAATCAAAACAATGTATTGAAAATGTATCTTGTGAAACAGTAGCTAATGAAAAATTTGTGTCGTGTGAAATAATTAGTTGAAAATTCATTCATACCATGAGGGACCAAACCACTTCAAGGCTTTTGGAGGTTTCATCAAGGAGATGAAGAGAACTATTGCTTCATTCTGCATTTGGCACTGACAAGGCCAGCACTGAATCATCATTAATTTATCTATTAGCTGGGTCCATCGTGATACAGCTTCATCTCATCTCAGCAATTAAGGGGTGAAACAGCATACTTAATTTTAAGTCTATATATTTATTTCCCTGAAGGGCTCTAAATTCCTTTAGTAACTTCCAAGTCAGGCACTCAATTGTTTGATTTTGGGAAACTCAGTCATGAGAAAAATTGCTGCATAGAATCATGGAATGGTTTGGGTTGGAAGGGGCCTTAATGATCATGTAGTTCCAACCCCACTGCCATGAGCAGGGACACCTTCCACTAGACCAAGTTGCTCAAAGCGCCGTCCAACCTGGCCTGGAACGCTGCCAGGGAGGGGGCAGCCACAGCTTCTCTGGGCAACCTCTTCCAGTGCTTCACCATCCTCACAGTCAAGAATTTCTTCCTTATATCTAATCTAAACCTACCCTCTTTCAGTTTAAAGCCATTACCCTTTGTCCTATCCCTACACTCCCTGATAAAGAGTCCCTCCCCAGCTTTTCTGTAGGCCACTAAGTACTAGAAGGCTGCTATAAGGTCTTCCCAAAGCCTTCTTTTCTTCAGGCTTAACAACCCCAACTCTCTCAGCCTGTCCTCACAGGGGAGGTGCTCCAGCCCCCTGACCATTTTTGTGGCCTCCTTGGGACCTGCTTGAGTAGGTCCATGTACTTCTTATGCTGGAAGCCCCAGAACTGGGCACAGTACTCCAGGCAAGGTCTCACAAGAGCAGAAGAGGGGGGAGAATCATCTCTCTCAACCTGCTGACCACACTTCTCTTGATGCAGCTCAGGACACAGTTGGCTTTCTGGGCTGTGAGCGCACATTTCTGGCTCATAGGCAGTTTTCCATCTACTGATACCCTCAAGTCCTTCTCCACAGGGCTGCTCTCCATCCACTCGTTGCCCAGCCTGTATTAGTGCTTGGGATTGCCTCGACCCATGGAGGACCTTGCACTTGACCTTGTTGAACTTCATGAGGTTTGCACAGGTCCACCTCTCCAGCCTGTCCAGGTCCCTTGGATGGCACATCCCTTCCCTCCAGTGTGTCAACCACACCACACAGCTGGGTGTTGTCATCAGACTTGCTGAGGGTGCACTCAGTTCCACTTTCCATGTCGTCTGCAGAGACGTTAAGCAGCACCAGTCCTAATACTGACTCCTGAGGAACGCCACTCCTCACTGCTCTCTGCTTGGACTGATTGGTCCATCCATCAAGTCCATGTGTCATCAGCTTAGAGACAAGGATGTCGTGTGGGACAGTGTCAAATGCTTTGCACAAGTCCTGGTAGATAATGTCAGTTGCTCTTCCCTTATCCACCAATGCTGTAACCCCATCATAGAAGGCCACCAAATTTCTCAGACATGATTTGCCCTTAGTGAAGCCATGTTGGCTGTCACCAGTCAACTCCTTATTTTCCATGTGCCCTAGCATAGTTTTCAGGAAGATCCACTCCATGACCTTGCTGGGCACACAGGTGAGACTGACTGGCGTGTAGTTCCCCTGGTCTTTCTTCTTTAAAAACAGGGATTATATTTCCTCTTTTTCAGTCAGTGGGAAATATATACATCTTATATTCCAGTGAAATCTGGGCATCCAGTTGTTGTCAATTTAGTAACCGGTGGTCCGTACAGAATTCATAAATTTGTATGTATGATCTGAACTTTTAAATTTTCCCTCTGCACAGGGCACACAATGATGAATTTTTTTTCACAGTCTTGCTAGACTGAGCATACACAGTACAGGCAAGTATTAGCAACTCCATCAGGTACTTCAGGCAGCTGCAAAGTTTAAATGTTGGAAACACAAAACAGTGGAAAATTGCAAAGCCCAGTATTGCTGAACACATGGTACCCAGAGCAGATGCAGCACTGGGGTGAAGAGTCGGTGGTTTGTGTTGCCATGGCACCAGGGAAGAACATGAAGCAAGGTGAAGTCCACGCAATCCTGTTCTTCCACTTTTCACAAGAAATGTTTTGGGCAACTGCTCAGAGGTTATACCAGGAAAAGTTTTGTGCAACTACTGAAGGAATAGTGGCTTGACCACAGTCCCACCAACACACATGGCACAGTTTTCATACGTAACTTGGGGAAGGGCAAGAACTTGACACCAAATTGCAGGGACAGATCAACAGGTTTGTCCTCCTCACCCCCTGCCCCCAGAAGGGATGCCTTTTGGTAAGATTTGTGACCTCAGCTATGCTGAGTGCCTATCTGGGAAATTTAGCTTATTGCAATCTACAGACAAATGATTTGTTTGTAGAGCTATACAGCTATTCTGCAGTATAGTGCATTTATTGTAGACAATCGTACAGCATCTGTATATGTTGCATAAGAACAAACGGTACTATTCATGAACCTGACTGCCTATTTTGAATGTGACTGGACCTACAGCAGACAGGCTGTTCATGCATCCAGTGTCAGACCTACAGCACATGGCTGTTCATGCATCTGGTGTCACAGCCATAATTGGTATATCTATTAAGAGACAAGACCATCCACGCCCACCCTCTCTAACCTTTGATGATCAGCTAGAACACAAGGGGATTCATATCCTAATTAATTTATCCCTCACTCTATGCAACATTAAAGAACAATTTTGCACAGACCGACAATTCTGAATATTTATTTCTATACTTGCACCAAAGACTTTTACTCCTCGTACAGCCTCAACTCCTCCCAGCCTTTGTTTTTTTTTAATAAATGACTTACCTTGAGGTGCTATATGAAGAGAATCCTTCAACTTCCGGTCAGGGACAAATTTCCACTGAAAGACAGAATGATCAGCTCCCCCAATGGAAACAACCCACTGGTGATCATGCGACCATCTGACATTTGTCACATGAGCAGAATGACCAAGATATTTTTTAAACTTTGCTCCTAGGACAAGAATAAAAATCTCTTTCAGTATATGTTGAATAAATGTTTCAGAAGCAGTTTCAGAAAAAGTATCAAGGAACCCTTATAAAAAGTAATAGTTTAATTAAGATATTTTCATTAATAGCAGTTAGGTTTTACAGCATTCCCAAATTTTAGTCTGTCTTTAAGATAAATTTTTTTATTTGGATTCCAGGATATACCACCTTTAACAAGTCAAACACAAAGAGATAAGACATATGATAATGCTGCATGAGATGTAATAAAGGAAGGGGTTTTTTTTAAATTTATTATTTTTATTTTATTTTTACAAACCAAGATTTTGGCTATTATTTCTACAATTAAAAGATACAGTTATTTAAATGTTAAATGACGTATATTTAGCTCTGTGAAAACACCCCCCTATGTATGCTCACAGCACTGGTTCCCACTGTTCGTGCAATTTGAGTGTTAAGCACTTCTAGCAATTCATATTCTCACACCTCTAGAAGTAGAACTAGATCAAGTTAATGTTTTCACTGACTACTACATAATTACAACACAATCACTGGATCAATTACTAAGAAGTAGTTACTAACAGCACTCCATTACACAGATTCTTATGCCTTTTCTTTGGTTTCATAATTCTAGTGCAAAACAGGGTATAAAAAAGGAACAATTTCAGTCTTCTTCAAATGGACAGAAGACTGTTTTCAATAATATATTTTTGGATTACCTCAGGTATCAATAAAACCCTTAACACTTTAAAAATAAAACTAGAAAGATTGAAATGAAATGTTCTTTAATATCCTTTTACAAAAACAGTTGGAAAAACCTATAGTAGAATATCAGTCATTTAAAAAAAAAAAAAAAATCATTTCTTTAAGCACATATTGCTTGAAGAAATAACTTAAGACCCATCACAAAGATCATGACACTGTAGCCAGTGTTAAACATGTAATGCTGCAAACTGCAATTATGCAACAGTGCAACTTTTTGTTTCCCCTTTCAAAACTTAGAGATTTAAGCTAGTCCCCAAGCAAACTTTTTAGGTTTAAAAGCTAAGGAACATTTCATAGGCTTCCTCTGATCATCACCATGTTATCAGCTTTAAGACAGAGATCTTTGCTATTGATAATCTATTCAACTTGAAAGATGTCCATAATGGAGTTCTTCACACATCTCTGAAAAAATAAAGCCTTCCTCATCTAAAAAGCTAAACATCTCTCCCTGTTCACTCAGTCCTGAATGGTAAAGTTGAAAATTATATACCTTGGATTTAGGTTTCAAGTTTTTAAAATTTCACACAAGATTTGTCCTTATTGCTAGTAAAATTTTGAGGAAAAATGTGTTGGAAAAGTTTTTAACCTTCAAGTAACATAGAGTGGCACACTCTGACTAAAGGACCAATTTGCTGTTCACTTATTTATTGCCTTTAATCATTTAGTAAAGTCATTTTTTCTAACTCATAGTCCAAATCTCCATCACAGATCCAGAGGAAAGAAGAAAACTACTTGAAGACCAAGGTGAGATACTTGAAGATATGTATCTCATAAAAGGGAAGATATTGCATCACCTCAAAAAATTCTATTAAAAAAAAAAAAAAGATAACTATTCCACAAAATAAAGTATGTGTAAAACCTTTGGCTTCCCTATTCATAATGCAAATAAAATACTAATACAGTTGTCAATACACCAGCTTGTTATTGTTTTCTACCTCTGAGCTCAAACTAAACTTCTAAGAATAAATATTGCCCATTCATATAATTTTCAAAACCCGTTTTCTAAAACCTTTTTCTTGAATAACCAAAATTCCAAAATACACATTTACAATTGAACTTAAAGATACTACCTTTTCTTAGACATGGGTATCGAAAGAGCTTTACTATTCCATAATCATCAGCTGTAACCATAACTTGCCCGATAAAATTTGCATCCACTGAATTTATATCATTTATATCTGAATATTTAGGCCAGATGCCATTAACTTCAAGGCCAGAGACACATGTCCATGATGCCCATTGAACGCCTTTTAATTCCTCCTTGTTTGTTACTTCTTTTCCACCTAAGAACAAAAATAAAGAGCTATTTTTCAATATTTAGTTATGCAATTTTAAAGAATGTAAGGTTTTTTAAAATTCTCCAGAAATTAAATCCAAGTGAGATGGAATTAAAAACTGATTTCTACAACTGTCCTGATCTAATGTTCTCTATTATGACCAACAGTATCAGCAGTAAGGCTTCTCAAGACTACGTAACAGATCACTGGTTTGGTACTTTACAGGTTTTATTATTTCTTGATATTTGCTTGAGGCTGTGTTATTTTTAAATGTTTATCAAAAAATACATGTAGCCATTCTAAGATAAAGTTCGGAAAAATTCTGTTGCTGAACTATTCTACAAACCTGGATTATTTAGAGCAAAAACTGAGGAACTCATTTAGATTTGGCCACTGTCAATTACTTAAAATACCAACATTTTATGCTTAGATCTTTGTTAAATTATTTCTTATCAGGTCTATCTGTAATAAGATTGTCCCAGTCCCACGAAGTTTCATGTAAGAGCTTAAGTACCGAGTCAAACCAAAGGACCGTTTAATAAATACTGCATCTTCAAAAACAGCCAGAAGCAAAGTGCAGGAGCAATACAAGAACAACACAAGTGAATGTAAAAGTTGTGAGTCAGACTGAGTGTGCAACTGCAGAACCTGGGCAGGACACTGCCAACAATTCACCTCTCAGTCTACAGTGGTAACAAAACTGAAAGCAAGCAGGCTGGGTTTTTTTCCTGTCTTATTGTTGATAGGATTCTGGCTAGTGGGAGGGGATGGGATGGGACAGGATGTAGGGGGGGGACCAGCCTCAGCTACTGTAAGGAGGTAAGTTTTCAACAGAAGGATAGTCAAGGGAGAACTCAAGTGGACTGGAATAAACAGAGCAAAGAGCAGCCATCGAGAAAGATAAAGCAAAAAGGCAAATAAATCAGAAAGGCTTAATTAAAAAAAAAAAAAAAAAAAAAAAAAAAGGAACTCAAGTGTCCTGTTGGGAGATCCTTCAGTGCTGATGAACTACACCATTTGACAAGGATTACCTTGTAATCTCTTTCAATCGCTAATCCACATTAAAAAAATGACTACAAAATACTGGTTATATCCATGACTAAGTCCTACAGATCTTGTATTAGGCAACTGTAAGTTCCTTACTCATTTATAGTGGAATTTCAAGTATTACACAATTCTGATAATTATTTTGAAATATTCAAGAAGTTCCTATAATTACACTAACTTTGCTAAATTTTCTTCATAAACTACCTTTCACATTCTAATATATCAAGAAACTCCAGGGTGAAATCTGCCTATGGAACTTCAGACTGCTCCTCCTGTCTGTGTGTATTTGTTACAGTCTAATTAAATTCTATCTTTTCTTATGTTATCTTCTGTCTCATTTAGTGCACAAGATCAAACTTGTGCATAGAATGAATTAGATTCATTCTATGAAATGAAATTCAAAAAAAACTCCATGGAACTGTGAATAATGTATAGTGCAAAGTATAAATATTGTATAACAAATGTAGGGACAATATAGTAAGTGGTGATGATAATAGCTACTACAAATACGATGAGTGGGAAAAATATAGAATTATATTGTGTAAAGAGGGTACACATAGAGGAGAAACAAGTCAAACCTCATGACAAACACTGCCCTTGACTGTAATCAGGACTACTTAAATTTGAAGCTATAAGAAATACATGCTATCTGCATATGTCCTCTGCGGAGGGAATTGTCTTGATGAAAACTGTTTCAATTCTAGAAAAGTTCAGTCACGTTTTCAAGACAGTGTTGTCTTGAAAATATTTACAATACAGAGGTTGTCACAAACTCTGAATCTGAAAACTGTATTTTACTATTATGTAACATACTAATTTTCTTTAATAGTCACCTGCCATAAAAGACAAAAGACACATTTGAACTTGTGTTATCAGTAGAATGCCCAGCTAAATTTCATTTTGGTATTTTTATTCATTTTGAAAGTTTCATGATTCAATGATATATGTATCACAGCTTCGATATTTCTTTGGTTTCCAGTAATTCCTGAAATTCTGGCATCCTTTAATCAGGCACTCTTACTTTCTCTGCAGTTACCTAATCCCATTAGTTCCAATTCATCTGCACTCCAACTGTTTCTATCTATTTCAAATTTATCAGTGTAAAAGCTCTTTTAAGTTAAATTCTTCAGTTCTGCTGCATAGTTCTAGAAAATAAGATGACTCTTACAAGACACAACATACTGATTTTTCCACACATTTTAAAAAACATACAGCTCAAGCAATGATAATCCATTTAATGTCCAAGCTCAGTAAGTACAAAGCTATGATAGTAAGCTATTGCAAAATTGAATTTTTCTCAAAAAGTGGGGCAAAATTTTAGAGAAATAAAATAAATTATAAGCCAGCTACCATGAAAAGATGCATTATAAAGAAGAGTAAACATATTAAGAATAAAAGTAAGTAACACTGCTGGAAAATCATGTACTTATTCAAATATAGTAAATACTTATACGAACTTGGAAAAAATTTCTCTGTAACCCAGTGCTTTGAACCAGGGTCTGTATTTACAAAACTACGATACATTCTTCCAGTAATACGTAACAAATATCATAAAGGCGACTTAGAATCTTACTTGGCATTCTGTAAAAAAGTCTCTTCCCATTGCCATCATTGGTCTGTAAGTATTTACTGTCTGAAGACCAATCCATATGGGTGATGAAACTTAAAGATCCAATACATTCCCCAACTTTCTTGTATCGCTGAACAACACCATATATATCCACAGAGCTATCATTGGAACCAACAGCTAGGAAATTCCCATCCGGTGAATATTTCAGCTCATGAATAGCTTCTTTCCTGTCTTTGATATGAACAACCTCAGTCATATCTCTGTAGTATGAAAGAAAGCATGTCATAAGTATAGAAAAGCCTTATCATACTGTCAAGTTCCCAGTTTTAAAAACATGGACAAAACTGAAATGATGAAACGAACTTCACCATCACATATGGAAACACAATACTGCTATTTTTAGAGCTGGGTAGGGCTTCATGGCCAAAAAAAAAAAAAAAAAAGAGAAGGGAACAGTGACACAAAGAGTTGCTGCACCAGGCTGAGGGAAAGCAAACAAAATGAACTGTTCAAGCTGGGTACACAAAAAAATATTAATCAAGAAGATTACCAGATCTTTATTTACTCAGGGAAGAAAACTTACTGACATGAGACATAGATCTCATTTTCCCTTTAAAACATCACAGCAACAAAGGCAGCACTGCTGACAGCAGCGTTTCAACACATTGAAGCAATTTAGGAAGTAAGGAAAATTTATGTCTTGGTAATACAAGAATAATTAATAAAGCTAAAACCTGAAGTAAAACGCTTCCTAGAACACTGCCATTCTTTGCAAATAGACCAATATATTTTTTCAAATGTTCTGTAGCAACACAACATGAACACATGTAGCACACATATTTAAAAAAATCTCAGCACCCTCAAGATTAATAATTTAGAACAGAAATGTAAGTGATCTTCTCATGTATGGTCACTACAGTGTCAATATACGTACAATTTATAAAAGCAATTAGATAACATGCTTGAAAGAGTTAATAAGGTATCTATTTTTCAGTTTTGTAACATACCTAACTCGAAGCACAGTGAAAGAGCCATCCTTCATTCCAAGAGCGAGATGGATTCCATCAGTACTAACCGCGGCACAGCGAATCGGTTCCTCCATGTTACACCGGGCAATCAGAGCATGGTCTATTAAACTCCAAATTCTAAAATAAAGTAATAATTGCAAACGTGAGGAGTGGTTTGTAGCTATGTCAGAGATAGCATGAAACCTGCAATTTCTGAAAAATGCTGGACACAATAGTGTGCTATTTTAAAATTATCTTCCATAAGGAAAATCTAAGAAAAAGTCTGAATTTTGCATACAGCAAAGAATATTTATTTATTTAAAAGAGCAAGAAAATATCTAATGAGAAAATGCAGGAAGAGATTAATTTTGTTTGACTTTATGAATATAAAGAGAATGACATATTGCAATATATAATTTTAGACCACTCTGAAAATTCCACTATTTTGCTCATCATTTTAGCCAAGAACAGTAATGAACAATTAAAGACTTTGCTCAGTAAACATATTCTTTCTTATTAACAAGTCATTACCCATAACTTCTTAGCTATAACTAGATAGTATTATATCATGTAAGTTTTTACTACAACATAAATGTAAAAAACATAATTTACAACATATATCTGGAATTCTAGAGCATTATTTCTGTATTCATAATTGATTAACATTACACTTAAGATATTTAACAAAAATGCCAACCCACTTAATTTCTACGAAAGAACAGAAAATACTTTTTTTCACAAAAAAAGGATGAACTTGTAAAAGGGAGTAATTTACTGGGTTTTCCCAGAATACAGATTCTATTTCCTATGCACGCATTAAGTTAGATGAAACTCATGAGTTAAAAGTTAATTCGCAGCATGTGAGAAAGTGAGTATGGTAAGTGTGAAAATTATAAGGGTTTTTACAATTTTTTTCATTGCAACCTGTGAATGCCTAACTTAACTGTTGAAAAGGAAACACTTACAGGATACTTGTGTATGAGTGCTTAATGTTACGCTAAATGACATTTGTTCAAATTCTGTACATTTCATTTTTGTGAAATATGCATTTCCACTATTATTACTGGAGAGCCCTAATTTGATGCATAACTGGTTCAGAAGAACTTCAATGCCACATTTTAATACCTTTAAAATGTATTTCAATTAGGTTATCTACAGAATGAGCTGTTCACATAAAACTGCACACAGTTAAACAAACAAATGATTCAACCTGACTGATCGATCATCACTTCCAGTCATTGCTAGCGGTTTTGTAGGATGGACAGCCAAAGCCCACAGCTCTCCTTCACAGTGCCCCTGCATTATCAGGAAAGGCTTATTACGCTCATGCACCACAATTTCAAATATTTCACTATCTTGTGTCCCGACGAGTATATGGTCTCCTCTCCAGCAAACACTTCTTACAGACAGACCTGTAGAAGAGATTGTTACTGAGAGATACATCCTGAGAATTTGTGCAACAAAGGTAACACAGCACATGACAAAACATAAAAGCAAGAAAATGTCAAAAAGTGTCCATATACCTTCTCTTATTCCTCCATTTACTCCACTTATCTATTCCATACAACACATACTGCTCTTGGAACATTAACCTCAAACTTAGCATTGCAAAAATTCTAAACTAAAATATGAGCCTTATTTTAATAAAGGACACATAGTCAACTCTCGTATTACAAGATTTCTGACAGAGGAAGAGGAAGGTGTTTGCATCTGAAATTACGCATTTAATGTCTTTCAATTTGAAGGTAGCAGACAATATAAATTATAATTTCTGATCAAACCATAGACTTTAATACTAGCTAGACAAAGCTAAATTACATGACAGAAGCATCAGTGGAACATGCATTATATGCAAGACAGTTAAAGAGCCCAATTCTCCCCAGATTGTTTCTGAGGTGCTCCCCCTAAAGCATATCTTTGTAACATCTTAACAGTATCTCAAATTATTTTTCTCACTAAATAGAAAATAAAAATAAATCAAACTGAAACAACATATAGAGAGATGAAAAGGGTTTATGATGGAATTTAACAAGCATTTTCAACAACTGAATTAATTTCCAGCCTTACAGTGGAGGTGAGCACTTAAGGACTGCACTTGTAGATCAGGTTGGGAATAACACAGAAGTTAGGACAGTTGTACACTGAGAACCCAGTATTTGGTGCCCAATTGTAGAATATTCACCTCTTTAAAAAGGCTGTATTTATTACATTCTGACAGTGCAACTCAATTTCGCCAATTTCAGGTGTAGATAACTAGATGGTAGTAATGTCTAACTTAATTCACTTTGCTTAAACACTGACTCCTGTGGAGAGTAGCTGAAGAATGATCTTTGAAAAACTACTCCGGATTAGTATGTTATATTCATATATTAATATTAAAATTATATCTGTAAGATGAAAGAAAGGAATATTGTAATGGCAAGAGTCGATGTGCTTCTGAAAAATATTTTTAACTATGTAGAGGGAAAAGAGCCTTATGTTATTAGATTTACATTGGAAAAAAAATGCAAGACTGAAAAACAGTGAATGGGTGGGTTAGCAGGCCAAGTCTGGTGCATCTGCACTGATGTTTTAATTCTGACACAGCTAGCTTTCAAAGCAAAGCTCCTGATCGTGCCTATTTGTCATGCTTTGCATTACAAGACAGCTTTCAAATGCACAAATAAGACTCCCCCCATATGAAACAGAACTGAAAACTCAAACTGCAATGCAATGTTCAGTCCCCTGAACAAGACTAGAGCTAATGCCCCTCAAACACACCTCAGAATGTGTATGTGTTGCGCTACTCTAATCCTCCACACCAACTGTTCTGCATTTCAGATTTGTTCCTATTGTGCTGCACTGCTGAATATAACCACCTTACAATCTAGCCTTATAATCTATACATTATACAGCTATACTGTCTATAGTGATTAAAAAATAAACAACCAGCCAGAATCTTTGATGCAGGATGACTAAAATATCTGGTTTAGTAATTTGGAACTTCTTATGGTGGAGGGAGATATTTTGAAAAACAATTTGACTACTTGGAGATATATCTACAGTCAAGTAACTGTTCTGTGAGCCATTCCCAGGGATAAAGAACTTGAGTTCATGTTCACAGTTAAAATTTCCAAGAGCTGAGGTATAGGAGCAGTAGAAAATGCAATTAAGAAAAGGAGTGGAAGGACAAGTCATAAAGGCAATTCTCAAAAGGATACAATAAGAAAAAAAGATCGAAGGGAAGAGATTCAGGAAACTGAAATTGTTAAAGAGAGGATTTTTAGAAAGCTATTAGCTCTGTCATGGGCATTTGACAAGTCAAAAATATGAGGATGGAGTTCACCTAAGTCATCAACAAGAACCAAAAGAGTTCATGGCAAGAGTCTGTTCCATTAAAAGTAAAGGAGACAATCTGGAGAGGGGAACAAGCTTGAAAGAATGAAACTGAATGAAACACAGCTTTCAACTACATGAAACAGATGAGAAACGGCAGCTGAGTAAACTTAGATTTAAAACAGAGTCACTGTACCACAGGGTTTTTAAAATGGGTATTTTAATAGGGTATTCCATCTTGTTGCAATAGTTCTCAATCTTGGTGGGAATGACAAGTCAATTAGAGAATACAAAGATTTAACTTGTAATCACTTATTGACCCTCAATATCTGATTGCCATTAGATATTCTACCACACTGTCAAATTCCTGGCAAGGTATTAGAAAACAACAAAGTGACTGGGGGCAAAGAGCAATATTGTAAGTTACATTAATGCTTCAGCATACGTTTGTATTCTTTTCTTTGATCACCACAGCATCAACATCGAGAACACTGACAAAACACGCTATAGACCACTAGATCTAAAATTTTAGCATGATACAAGCTGTAACTGAAGTCATAGGTGTATGTAAGCAGCGTTCTAAGTACTACGGAACTGTAGATTACTTCAAATAGTTTTTATGAAAATTTGGATAACTAGCAAATACAATTTCTGTACTCCACTGTTTTACATGTTAGATCGTGCTGTCTCTTCTAAGTTCTCTCAGTTACTGTTCCTTGTTAAAAACTGCTGTGCTATAGAAAAGATGTTCATATTATTGGTTTAAAAACCAAAAAATTTAAATTGAGTCGACAACTTCATAGTAAGTTTTACAGTAACTTTGAAGGACTACATGGCCTTCATACTAGCGGACAGAATCAAATTTCTTTTCTAGCAAATAGTTCACAGTACAAACATGAAACAACTTTTTAAAATCTTTTCTTGTTCACAACACTGGTAAATTTCCTACATTATTGGTATGTGAAAAGTGAAAACTTCTTTTTACCTTTATATCCCTGGTCTGTTTCCCTGAGATCAATCACAGTAATTGGTTTAAAATTTAAGTCCCACAAGCGAACACAGCCATCCCTGCCACCAGTAGCAAACCCCTCTTCACATGCATTCATGCTGAAAATTCCTGCCTAAAGAGAGAAAAAAATTATTTTTAACAATATACATAGATTTGAGATACCAATATGGAAGGTGGAACTCTTGTTCATGCTGATATTGACTGTCTTCCTGTCTTAGTATCTGTTATACTGTTGAAAACAGTATGAACACAAGCAACTAATGCAGGCTTTAAATACAGAAGAGTCAGAAATAGAAACAAACAAAAAGAGCAGAATTCACATCCAGTGGCAAAAAGTTAGATAAAGAAATTGTTGTAATACTGCTTTCATCCTGATGATGCTGATCACAGTGATGCTGCTTCTTATCCCTAGAAAGAGTAGTTTTGTATCCTCTTGCTTTAGGGACTGGTCCAACTTTCACAAATGTCAGGAGGAAGATTTCCACTGGTCTCCACTGGGTTTGGTTCAGGGCCTTTGTTGCTTTTACTTAGCTTCTATGCAATCAGGTAAAAAACATCCGGGAATTTTTACAGGTTAAGCCAAGGAAGATTGATTTAAAACTTAAGTTTAGAAGCAAAATATAACAAAAAAGTGATCACTTTACACAATTTAAAAATGCATCATATTAGCTCTTATTTTAAAGGTAGACATCAGGAAACAAAACACATTTTAATTTACTTGATACATGTTTTATTCTGGATAATGAAGAGGCAAGGATGATATATCTATTATTAAAATAAAGATACTGTATTCACATAGGCACTATATTTGATGTAAACATGATACATTATCTTAATAGCATACACACTTTTCACTTCTTTTTTAAAAAAAAAAAAAAAGTACCCACACAACTCACTAGTTGTATTTTCAGAAGTAGCTCACACTTTCCAGTTACCAAAGCTACTGAAAGGACAACTCTGGCTAATATCTATGAGAAGCTGGAAAAAAAAAAAAAGTGTTCTACATTTATTGAAAGTATTTAATATTCAGCCATGACAAAAGAAAACAGGAGAGAATTAAAAACGATGGAAGGGAAAATCTGCCTCTAACTCCTGTCCAAAAGAAGGTAGAACAGCCAATAACATACCTATATCTTCTCTAATATTGTTATGAAATTTCTGTTTCGTAAAGAAGTAAAGTTCCAATAGATTGTTTGGTTGGGGGGGTCGGGATTTTTTGCAATAATGAAACACATTAACCCCCAAAGTGAAACCAATTTGCAAAGGAGAGATTGGCTTTTGGGGGAAAATAAAGCTGTACATTTACTGAAGAAATTAGCATCCAATGTCGTGGCTTGTGAGAATTCCCAAGTACTCATGACTACTCTCTCATACCAAGCTGGCTTTATTTCTTAAATTATAAATAAAGAAAATATCATAATGGACTGATCATACTGAAATTAGGACTGCGTTTGCTTCCACAGCATTGGGTAACAAGGATATCCTTCTTCAAGTTGAGAAAAAATAAATCTCTCAGCTTTCACAACAAAGCATATTTTTACTAGAATGCCAAATTACAATCAAAACTGAAAGACTAGAGTGACAGAAAATTTTTCTCATGTGCCATGTCCATCCTCAGGGTATAGACTTTTAAGAGAGTAGTACATGCCTAAACAGAAATTTAGTGGAATTTTGAAGTCATAAGCAGATTAGAAGGCTAACTCCCATTATCTCTAACATCCTGAAAATCCTCTGGTTTTTTAGAAGCCTAGCAATTTTTGAAAATATAACCCAACCTGTATTTGTTTCTCTGTGTGTCTGTCTCTTTTACTGCAACAACCTTTTAGCATCAAGTAATTAAAAGGTTAGAGGAATTCTGGCTCATTTTGTACCATATACTAAATTCTGCCCAAGTTCCAGCATATTTAAATCTTTTAAAGCCCCTTTTAGAATGCAACCTTGATAACAGAATTATTCTCTTTTCTCTAATTAACTCCCTCTGAAATCCATGATTTAATTAGTCAGTACTAAAAAAAGAATCAGACATTTGGTGATGTGGGTAGCTGGCTGAATGTTCTGAAGATACGATCAAGTGGATCCAGGATTAATCTGTTTTCCATTTCACAGAATATCCTTATCTTGAAAAGGACATACTGGTTGTCAAGGAGATTTGGCAGATGTGCTTGTTCAATCTCTTGAAATGCAATAGGACATTCTTGTTTCAGTCTATGTGCCACTGGAATAGAAGAATTAGATGAAGACTAAAAAAAAGTCCCTTATTAATGGGGACCATAAGTACTTAATAGAAGAAGCTGAGCTTAGCTACTCTTCATTTAATTGTTAGGCTCACACTTAATGGGGAAAAGACACATTCTTCAAGCTGGTAGCTTGGCCAGCCGTAATTCTTCCACTAAATCTTTCCTTTTAGAAACTGTGAAGATTGTTAATGCAAATCAGCTTCAGAGTCTTCATGCTCTCTTAATCCTTCAGCCTGAAATTGTCATTAACATAATTTGATTCTTAATGGTCAAAAGCCTTCTAGCAGCAATGAGAGGCAAACAATTGCATTGACTTTGTTTAATCCAACTAAATAATGTGATCAACAAAGATTGATTATGCTCCTGAATCAAAATAAAAGGCATAGATCAAAATCGTCCATCTTAAAAGTTATAAAGTTTGACATACGGACTGCATTATTCTGTTACAAATTTTTCATTACACTTCCTAATGAATGGGAAAATTCTGGAAATAACATCTCAAATTGATCAGTTTTCTCAGAATGCAGAATATTTCCTATTTTCCCTATATTACTAGCTGGTGTCACATATGTGTTTCCTCAAATTAAAAAAAAAAAATTGAATGAGAGCAAAAAAATTAATAAATATCCAGATTTATTAGAAATGATACTTGAAAGCTGTAGAAGTACAAGAACTTAACAAAGATGGTCTGTACTGCATTAATATTTTGCTCCTGCTTGTATCCAAGAAGCTTCCAAGAAGCTTTATGTTGGTGCCAGACCTATCTCACCGCAAACAGGCAAAGATCAAGTGTTAATTTATCTAAATGCAGTCGTTTATAGAAAATCCACCACATTAACTCTGAGTATGCAATTCCTAAAGCATATGACTGCAGTTAGTTATAATTAGGATCAAGCTTGAAAGATCATATGGAAACTTCAGAAGCAACTGATTACTACTGAGCAGTATGAATAACAGAGACATTATATTAGTTCAGTAAGAATGCCAGTGCCTCCTTTTTACTCCTAGATACAGTTCAGCACATAGATGCTAACATGTAATGCAACACATATATTGGGCACTTATTCTAAGATACTGTCTCTCCCAATATATACCACATTGCAAGGAAATGGATTGCACACATTTAACGTTGGTGTCAGTAAGTCTACAGTGTAGAACCACTACTGTGAAATTTAATCTTCCTATTTAACAAAGCAGTTAAAAAATGGGCATATTGCTATAAAAATTTAAAATAGTTGCCTATACATCTCACATTGGCTGAAATAAGTGGACGGTTACCTTTCAAATCCGTGACTAGTCTAAGCAGTAGGAGAAAAATACAGCGTGACTTAATGAGTTAGTAACATGATATCAGCTTAAAACCATTCATTTAAGTTCATTATATTGTTTCCATCTATATTTAATTAGTGTGCAGCCAAGTGACATAGGTGTGCAATAGTTTTAACAGAGTACCTGTTATTTAACCTCGAGCCTGTTATTTAACCTCAGTTTCTGACATCAATCCACACAACTTTAATGTGTGCCTCTGAAAGACTATCTCAAAATAAATTATTCAGATGCTGAGAAAGCATCTTATGTACATTTTCTATGCAAGGCAAAGGCATAGCACAAAAGAATCTTTAAAATGTACAGTGTTTTTAAATAAGAATACTAATTTGCTTTAATACCGGAGTAACACTCTGTATATATCATGGCCTACCTTGAAATGGAACACATAAGATGATAAAATATACAGAAGAATCTATAGTCTGTTCTTTGCACTGGTACAAAAATGAGACATCTAATAAAAGATTTATTTTTTAGTCGAGGTATATGTTAATTTTTCAGAATCAGATGCACTGCCTACAAATAACTTCCTGAAGTATGACCAGTGCCAATGAACTTACATATGCTTTCATATTGCTATGTTTCCTATCTTCCTTTTAAAACTTTATTATTAATATTATCATTTAGGAGATCAGCAAAACTAGAATTTGAGTTTCCCGTTGCTATCCAGTGCTCCCTGCACATGAACTCTGTGCCTTTACTCTTAACTGCTACTTGTTTCCATCTTTTCCTACTTTTCATTCCTACTTCTACATTAAGTGAACTCTCCAGTTCTCTTTCAACTAATTCTAGTCACCCCAACCTATCTGCTTTCAACTTTTTGTTTCTATTCAAACTCAGATAGCAATCAACCAGAAATTCTTCTTTCCTCCGTCTACAGTTCTTAGCATTGCTGTGACAGAAGACAGATAATATGGCTTAGCTGTGAATTCATATTTTGCTTGCTAGTGTTAAAGTCGCTGTCTGTTCCCTTGATTGCTTATCCTGGGACAACATGATTTATTTTTCACACTAAACTACTCAAAGTAAAAAATGTCTCTTAAGCTAGAGTAACTGTAACAAAAAATAGCCAAATTTTCAAAAGAACCTGTTTTCTATATTAGCACAGACCATTGCCAGCTGGATGGTCTACATCCCCACATCACTAACGTGCTTTAGAAAATGTTTTCCTGCATCTCAGGAATGTTTATGCTGCAAGCAAAGAATACATGGTACTTCATAAAAATGAGACATGTTTTCTTTGAATAAATTTTCAGTTTAATTCAAGTTTGTTGAGGAGTAATGATGTGGGATGATAAACAGGCATGAAGGGATGACAATTCCAACACTTAGCATACTGAACAGAAATTTGTATTGATTCTCTATTATGTGTACACTGTGCTTTTAACAACATATGCACATCACAAATGTTACCATTTACACTTGCATTTTCTTTTAAAAGAATGAGTAAGAATGACATGATTTATAAAATTAAGTATAAAATAACTGTAAAATATGATGGTAATAGTTTAGTATGGCTGAAGAGGCACTCTCATTCTAAGCTTCTATATTTTGTGCTTACAACAATCTGACAATATTATCCTTTAAGGTAATATTTTATTGAAAACCAGGGTTTCATTTTGTTGGAAAGTAAGCTTCCAGGGGAGATTTTACTGTGGGTTTTTTTTCCTGAAATTGGCAAGATTTGTAATGACTCTAATCTCTTGTGAAAATTAATTCCAAAGCCATGGACTAGCACCCCTATTTAATTTTCAATACTGCAAAGTACAATTCCATTGAGCCTAAAGGACAGAGCCAAAAATAGAAAGCTAGATGAGACCTACTCCAAGGTCACTTGAGCTCCATCCACTGACGCTACTGAAGATAAGGAGCAGAGCACTTCAAATTTGATCTTGTGGTCAACAGAGAACTGACACAGCACATAAGGTAACGGAGTAACAAGCTCTCATCATCCTATGTTTATCAGCTGGGTCATTTCATACTGAAACTGCTGAAAAGCACTGCATTATTCTGAGGAATAAACTGTTCCTATTCTAAATACTCCAAGTAGCAAATATGTGAATATACAGGATGGGTATCTTCAACAACACCAGAGAGATGGGAAAGCATTTCCCTGATCAGTTTTGGATAGGAGACGCACACTTCTTCCTCTGGGAGTCCAGGTCTGCATATACAATACAAGCATTTTTAAAATTTCATTTCACTAACCTCAACATCAGAAAGTAAATGTCCATGTCTAGGACAATATAGAATAGAACACTAAATATGAATGCTAAAACCAGATATGAAGGTATAGAATAAGAACCAGTAAATATCTGAAGGTTAAAATATCCCCTCGTTCCTCTTGGTTTATAATTTGGGCCTTCTTAAATACATTTAATATTTCTATATATGCATACAGGAGAGTATGCATATATGTGTGTGTGTGTATATATTTTTCATTTTTTTAACATACATACATTTATAGATATATAAAAAAATCTCAGATGCAAAATATAGTCTAGAATGTTTCTCACACTTAAGTTCTTCGTAACTTTAGTTTTGTTCACAGTCGGATACAATGTCATTATAGAGCTGTCTGAATAAGTGGTCCAATCGCTTTTCAATTACTAGTTAATTCAACAAGCTGCAACCATCCTAAAGGTACATTTCTAAATTATGAGTAAATGAACAATCTCCTCACTACAGACTGACTGCAACCTCTCTGACATACATATCATTCATCGTCTTGTTGTCCTCTCCATTCTACCTGATCGAAATACAAAGAGTGATTATAATACTTCAGTTACATACATCAGTCTGATACTGCCAGTTAAAACAAATACATTCTTACAAGAACAAATAATTAACCATTATTGATTTTTACCTAGAATTTCAAAACTGCATTATAGGAACTCATAAGCTTACATTTTCACTCTATTTTAAATTGTTAATAAGGGAACCTCAAATATTATCTAGAAAGTACAGTGCTTTCTGAAACAAAAAGTCAAACTTTGAACAGCAAATAAACAATACAGCTTCATAAAGTTACCTTAGCAGTTTCATGCCTCATAGGTTAAAACAACCAGAAACTGATTGGTTTTCTTTTTACAGCGATACTTGGACAATTCAGAAGCTGAATCTTGCATTATATTACTATATATGACTTACTACCATGAGAGGAAACGAAGACTCTCATAGTCTGGCACTCACAAATTAGATTGCAAACCACTAAGTGTTTTTTTGCTGCATACTTTAATCACAAAATCATATGTTTTGAAAGAATATGGAAAACACAATGAAAACTTAAATAGCAAAGATACAATCACTTCATAGTCACATCAAACATTTTGATTAAAAGAAAAGCTTATCAAGCACTTTTGAAAAAATGTATAAACTTTCACTGGTATGACTTCACTTTTCAAAGCTGTATACTTTTCTAAATAGAAGAATGAATACAGTAAAAAGCAGCAACACAGGACAAGGAAGAGTGATTGAGTCAAGCTAAAATGGCTAAACATGTGTGCCTACAAATGAGCTAGGTGTTTGGGCATACATTACAGTTCATAGAATCAATGGACTCTAGCGATCTATCAGACAACCAGCCAGCAGGACTCAATTCGTGGAATGATAGAATAGCTGATGTTGGGGGAAAACTCTGGAGAGCTTCTAGTCCAAACTCCTGCTCGAAGCAGGGTCAGATAACAGCAGGTTGCACAGGGCTTGTGAATGGAGACAAACAGCCTCTCTCCAGACCTGTTTCTTTGTTTCAACAACAATTGCCTAAATATAGGAGTCCAGGCCTTCTGATATGTTTTGGGATTAATCAGACATCCACAAAACAAAGTCAGATAAACCAGTTCTCCATTCCTTGGGGGAAGCAGCTATATACTCAACTCCGGTATATAAAATGTCACTGTACATAAGCATGCATGGGTAATTGAACAGAGTAATGCATGTCTACTTCAGGGTAAACGTAAATGCATTCCAGGATCTACTGATTACTAAGTCCCCCATCAATGATAATGGAAGACAGTACATAAATAGACACCTAAATGTATTTCTCAATCTAGCATTCACTTTCTACCATAACAGTGATCCTAAGCAACAGAAAGAAAGAGGAGGGAAAAAAATAAATAAATAAATAAATAAATCAAATTAGACATACTGAGTCTCTATCACTGAAATTATTTAGGAGCACAGACCAGGTGATCTTGCACTGTCCTTTCCAGCTCTCCAGAAATCTATTTAACATTTTATATTGAAGAGATATACTTACAGCATGTGCTCCCTGTATTGTCCGTACAAGGTTGATTCCTTTCCATACATATATATCTCCATTCAATGCACCAGAGTATGTCACTTCATCCCTTGCACAGGCTAGGCACAATATAGTTTGGAGATCACCAGTTTTGCCAAAAACACCACGTTTTGGTGTCAATGAATTGCCACACAAGCTCCAGAACTGCAACATAAAGTGATTCAGAAAGCTGAATATTTCACTAATATACTATAATTTAATATGTACATCTGAAAGAAGTACCTTGCCTCCAAAAGACATCATCATTTTCCCTGCCTTAGTTCTACAGTTCGTTAACAACTTTTTGTTATTAACCAACTTTATCCTTCCATAAAATCAGCATAGCAGACTAGTCGGGAAAGAGTTTCAGGGTATCAGTATTGAAACAAACTGAAATTCTTTCAAATTACAACTTGTGAGTCGGTTTTATTTTCAGTCATTTATGAATGACTGAAATTTTTGAAAAGCATTTCATAATAGAATCATCTGATCTTTCTTTGATGTAAGACCTCCATTTTGCAAATGCTGCATTTGTACTTTACATTACTGTAGGCATTTAAAGATGAAATCTAAGCATGTAAATTCTGATAAGGCTGCCATTTGCTCTGTTTGAAAGCAGATTATTTTATTACAGACTTACCACTTCTCATCAGAACAACTGATCATGTAAAGCAGCAATCTATGGCAGGCACTTCTGAGAACTTTCTAATAGATCATTGGCATGTGATCACAGCAACCACATGAGAGTGAATTTCCTCCTAGGTGATCCAACATGTACTAATGATTCCTAAACTAAAGACATGCAGGGTCATTTGTCAGTGATACTTGACAATCAAACTTCCAGCTACACCCTAGTTTCTGAGATCTCTGCAGACAAGAAGCACTTGCATATTCCCTTCAAATCCTGCTGTCCAAACATGTAGATGTGCACTGGAAAGTCAAAAAGCTGCTGGAGTAATCCAGTGCAAAATGTGAAAGTATTTATTTCGTTATTGCTAACAGGTTACTCTTACATTGTCTACCACGTTCCCTGTATACACGTTTATGAAACTGCATTTCACAGCAAATCTGTTACCAATAACCTGTTTAAAATTCTGAGCCAAGACTTCAATTAATACAGGATAACGTAAGCAGTTACAATGAAGATTTTTGTACCAGCCATACTGTAACTAAGAAATAACCACATACTGATTAGACAAATCCCTGTACTTTAACTAGTATTTCTTCAACCAAAGTACACATCCTAGATTATTTTGTTGCTTGAGAAGTAACTGCACAATCACTGCATAAACCAAACACCTAGCTCCAATATGGAAGTAACATATTACAAACATGAATGTAATTATTGATATCTGAAAGAACAAAAAGGAAGGATGGCTTAAGAAAAATACACATCAACAAAAATCTTTTACCTCATCCAAATGCCTGTAAATCTCTAGGATTCAGTTATTTGATTAATGTTTTCTCAAATGAAACATCAATTATTTTTAAAATGCTCTTTTTATTTAAAAAAGCTTTATAGAGCCTTAAAAGTTGCTCAAATAAACTTTTGCTTATCTAGATAGGTATGTTTTGATATCATAAAGCCATCTTAAATATACTAAATCACTGATGGCAAATACTAGCTCACTATTAGTATAACAGTCCTTTTAGATCTTGAATTAGGAAAAAAAAAGATTGTTATTAATCAAGCTCATGGAAATTGGTAAATGAGATGCTAAACACTATGATAAATCAAAGACGTATGCAATCTAGCCAACACATTGAATATTTTTTTTCAAAAAACCATTAATCCATATTGATCTAAAAGTTCATTGTATAAAGCACCACACATTTTTTCCCACCATTGGAACCTATGCACAAGAGCAATACAGAACTTTCAAGCTGCCATCTACTGCTTTTATGTGGTAACACATAAGACAGTGCATGTGAGAAGGCAGTGACTGCAGGAAATGTATCTGATGGCAGTCAAGCACTGATAATCCTGATGACAGAGTTAAACCTGAATAAGAAGCTGCTTCTGCACAGCAGTTGGTACATGGATCAAACAAACCTGAAAAGTTTCATCAAAACTCTCCTTGAAAAAGACATGAACTGTCGAAATTATGAATCCTGTAACAGGTACAGAGTGCTCAAAATGACACAGGTAAGAATAACATCAAGAAAAAGAATTAAAAGAAAGATCAATCATCTTCCTTTCTATTTCCATTGTATTCCCATACTCTCTCAAACTGTAAAAAATGGTTTTTCAACTCATGTCACCTCCACAGTGTAACAGTCCCTTAATTCAAGAATTCATTAAGTTCATTAAATTCAATAATCAGATGCCGGAGTACCTGGACTCAACTCAAATGTATGCACCCTCTCTTATGCTTCTTGGGATTTCAAACAGCATGTTTTAGACAACTGAGTTTTAAATTATATTATGATCATTACATACAATGCTACTGACAACTAGTTCATTCCTCCTGCATTCCTTCTGTCAGGGCATGAACTCCTTTTAGCAGAGATGGTCTGTCTTCCACTATACGTATCTTGTCAAGTATGTAGTGTAGTCAAGTGGGATCCATGACTACAATTCCTAAGAAGTAGTATTGTTCTTACAGAGGACCTTCCATATTATAATTACATATTCCTTTCAGGTTTGATTTTTATATCTTTTATAAGCTACTGCAGCTTTAAAATTTTATTAATTAACATTTATTCCATTACCTTGATGTGTTTTACGCCACAGCTGACGAGCTTGTTTGGCTGGTACAGATCCCAAGAAATATCAAATATCTGCATAAAAAGACCCAAGGATGTCAGCAGAGATGGCCCTTCTATCACGGGACAGTTAAAATCATAAAAACTGGTACAAATTAACAGACAGTCCTTTTAATGGAACTATTGGAACGACTTTTTTAATCCCCTCATTCAATACTGACATTGTAATGTATAGCTCGTATTAGTTGTTTGGTTTTTTTCCTAATTACAACACATGATAAAACAACATTAAGGTTCATTTACAGACTAGAAAAATTTAAGCAATTATTTGTATTTTGATTTCCCATATGGGGATTAGTGTCTAGGAAGTGCATTAATTTTGTACTTCCCCCACATGCTTACAGTCTCAACAAACCATACACAAATAAATGGTGAGTTACACATTTCATTTTAGAAATAAATGCACATATCTTATGTATCTTCACATATTAATACATATCCAAACCATGCAAATTCAATTTCTAAAACATAAAGTGTTCAGACATAGCTCTAGTATTTATACACAGACATGGTTTAACAAACTAAAACCACGTTGACACTCAAATTCTGTAGTTATACTTACTCTGTCTGTATGACCAGGAGCCATTGATAACAATTTTCCTTTTCTCCAGTCCCATACACAAACTGTGTTTTTCGAATCCAAACCAACTGAGACCAAACGCTAAAAATGTCCAAATTAGATAAATAAATAAAAATATCTCAATATATTAATGAAAGCTAGAGTTGTAATTTTGAATGGTAACACATTCATAACATATTTGAGTTAGAAGTTATAGCTAAATTTTGATATAGAAGAAAACTAAAGATACATCTTATGCTAAAGCTTCCATAGATGCATCTCTTCTTTATGAGCATGATGTCATAACTGAAGCAAGATCTTCTCAGATAACAACATATTTCTGATTTATGATGTTTAATATATATAATTACATATATCACACATGGCTAGCAGCAGTCAGTAAACATTTGCAGAAAGGAATAATCTCACTGATGGTAATAAGACTACATCTGTTTACCTTTACTTACATATAACTTGCAGAATTTAAATATTTACAAGTTCAAGAGATTTTTAAAAAATCTGCAATCTTACTGGAAACAAACAAAATATAAAAAACAGTTAAAAGCTTCTTTTGCTTAATTCTTCAAAACATGTATGAGTAACACTTCCTTTCTGAATCCTTCCTCAAACCAAAATCCAGCAAGACCCCAAACATAAAAATTTCGTGATGTCTTTAATATTAAGAAAGAGTCTGAAGCCAGTTAAGCTGTAAAACTAGTAAGGACTAAAAGATTGTTCTGAGAAAATAAGGAGAAAACAAATGTTTGAGATCTTCCTATGCTCTGCAGCCTGTCTTATCTTCAACTGTGAAGATATTTTGCACAGATTTCTGGACACAAATCATTGATTGTATTAGCCAAGAGTCCACTTTTAATGCATCTCTTAACCAGTCAAAATGTTATTTTCCCTATAGAAATTCTCAACAGAAAGACTAACAGTATTAAAAGTCAGATTAAAAAGAAGCTGAGTGATTTCAAGTTTTGTTTTTAAAGAAAATTAAGTAATTTTGTTCAGTTTATGCACAAATTGTAACATTTTGAGAAATGAAAGCTTTGCAAATCTTTAGGACAAACTTTTTTCCACTGTTCAGCAGTTAATACTTACATACATTAAAGACAAATTTAGTTTCAATTTGTAAAATGAGTTTGAGTTTGTAAAAGCAAACGCAAACCTCAAACTTAAGTAAATTTTTTCCCAAAGACAGAAACCTACTCCAAATAACATAATTTCTTTACTGTCTGAAAAGATCCAAGAGTATGAGAAGAAAAATAAACAAGTTAAATAAAATTGCTATCCATGCCTCATATTTATTTATGCCAACTTCAATTTTTCAGACACCGCAAAGTTCAATCTTTCGATTCCATCTTTGCAAACATTCTTGGAAGGAACATCAGTTTTAATTCCAGCTACACTTCCATGCAGTTCAATTCCAGTTCTACTGCAGAATGAGAGGCGTAAATGCAGACTAGTTTTAAAATTACTGCATACCCACCACAAAAATTTGGGGTGATGCCACTCCAGACATAACCTAATACACTGACTTCTCAAAAAGGGAGATTAAATTATGTTCTCAGTTCTCCCAAGAACCAGAAAATCTTGTTACCAACCAGCACACCCCCACAGTGGAGCAGAGCTCAGAGAAGAGCAAAAACTGAGCTCAGGGAAGAATGTATCATAAAGCAACTTTGAAGATGGCAATGGGCTTGACCTCACTTCAATCCACATATTCCTTCTCAGCGACTGGAGATGGCCAGCATCATGACAGTGATCATATAGACACCAGTAACAGGAACCACATTTTTATTGTGATTCACCTGTATACTGCAATTTCTTGTGCTGTGATTTCAGTATATTGCTGTATCACTCTACTAAATCAAAATCCCGTATAATGCCAAATATATCAAGTAAGTATGTTTAATATCAAATATTAAACAATCTAAAAGAACCTGGTCAAGGACTGTGACAAATTTGGATTTATAGGGATAGGCAAGATGTAAACATATTTTGCAGATCTTTCTGAACTGGATTTGTGTTTTATTGTATCTCCATATAGAGACAACTCTGGAGATGCAGATCTTCAAAAACCTATAACCAGCTTTCCTTTGCAACCTCAGATTTCTAACACATGCAATGAAAATGGTGATCATATGGAAATGCTGAGAAAAGTGGACAGCCTAAATTCTGACTATTTATGGCTTTAAACGCAAGAATCAGTACCGGGTACTCCCAGAACAAGTCACAGATCTACATTCAACTTCCTCCAATACACACAGAGAATGCATAACAGCATTCTAAAAAAGAATGAGGGGACTTCAATCCTAATTAGATACGTTCTGACCTTAAATTATTAAGGGTGTTCAAGTGAGGAAGTGACATGACAAGTTACACAGACAAAAGCATAGAGAAAACATAGCAATGGCAAGCAAAAATTATGTTCTAAGAAAGAAGGTGACTGAAAGTTGACTCCCTAAACACCGAGAAACCTAAATGATAAAATCTGTAGGTCATTCCAACAAATGAAAAACCTCCCTACAACAATTACAGCATGTTTTAACAGAAACAAGTTATAGCTAGGCTCTCCTCTAGTTGTGTTCAGTAGAGCTCCACTTGATATTGTCTTAATAAGGACAGCAACTGGTCTCTGCAATACTACTGCTTTCTCAAGTGAGGATGTAAATAACAGATGCTGACCTTTTTAGCAAGTGAAAGGAACTGAGAATGTAGCTAAATCTGAGTATCACATTGCAAGGCTAAGTAGGAGGGAAACAAGTGCTGCATAAAACCAGGAGAGCACAACTGCAGAAAGGACTTTCATGGCTAATACCTCCTCAGCTGCTACCTAATGTGTATTTTCCAATACATCAATCAAGAAAGCCTCTTTACTCACAGGAGCAAGTGTCTGGTAAAAATTATCTCCCGTACAGGTAGCGACTCAGAACCAATTTACTACTCAGATAATGTTTTAGCGTAACAAAATATAATCCAAAAAAACTTTTTTCCTGACACTTAGATCCCAGATACAAGTCTGAACAATCAAACATGGAGAGCCATCAATGCATGCAATGCATGACAGAGAAGGGTTTACTGCCTGAAGACATATGGAGTCCAAGATGAGTAGTAACACAACAGGACTGCCATCACTTTTTGCACAAGACACACAAGAGAGATCCACTATCTCCAAACATTTGGTGTAACCCTGAATTGTGGCCTACAGACTACAAGAACCTGCCTATCACCTCATCTTCACGCAAAACTTTTTTGAAGTTATGCTTTTCTTGACAAATGTGAATATTTGTCAGTCACTACTACTGCCAACTTTTTGCCTCAACTTGAGAATAAACAGATAAAACCTAAATACTTCCTTAAAAAAAAAAAGCTACATAAGATTTCTGACAGATAAACAATTTATTTGTTTGAAAAAAGAATACTAATCACATACCTGACCATCTAAATCAAAAGCCAAGCAAGCTATACCATGTGTGTGAACATCTTTCAGAACAGATACAGTTTGCACAGTGTACGAGTCCCACACACAGATGTACGGTTCTTTTCCAACTTGACCTGTTGCCACCAACACACGTTCAGGATGCAAAGCAAGGCTGCCAAAGAAAAAGATATAAAAATATTTTTGCATGAAACTTTTTACTTTTGCCTAGTAGGTTGCATTAATATTTTTCCTTAAAAATTATTTTACAATATTTTCCCATTGATAGTAGATATTAACAAGTCATTTTGTATCACAGACTCCACAGTTACTGTAAAATTCCTATAATACAGTATATGCCACCACCTTTCTTGGATGTGAACATTCAAGCCTTCTCCAGTTAAGCCAACTGCAGAATGGCCATTAATCCTCTGCTCCAAAATACAGAGTGTATTAAATAGACCAGATTTTCACACACTTAAAAAAAATTTCCTTTTTTTTTCTATTTCTAGACATTTAAAAACCCAAAGGACAGACAGCAAAAGTTAGTGTTTAGCTATCTACACATCTATCATCAATGCAGAGAGATATGCATCTCCAGAAGTACTTCATTCCACATATTATCTGGCATCCTTTTTTATGAGAGGATTGAATAGACTTCTGAAGCTATCTCTCCACTGATCATACAGCAAGCCAAAGCATGACTAGCTGAGAGTAGATGTTAGGACTAGAATTCAGATAACTAAACTGAAGTGAGATGAAAATTATCTTAAATGTGTTAATTTTAATATAGAACAAGTGGGAATAGTTGATTTTGAATAATTACTAACTTTTCACATTTCTAACATTGTGGAGAATCTTCTTAGTTTGTATTTCTGAGACTTTCAAAGTCCACGGTGGATCATCAGAACTGTTTTGTTAAATCTGGAACCAAGCTAGAAAGCATGCCAGTCAGCAAGCTATTTTTTTTTTTGTTTGTTCATGCAATCAAGCTGCAAGGGAGGACATGAGATTTGAAGATTCATATTTCATAATACAGAAAAGTAAGAAGATATTCTAACAGAAACCCAAACAAGCTACTTAATATTCTACATGGACTAGGTACAGCAGTCCAAAATTATATGAGAATTACCACATGTAAGTCAGGAAGATAAAATTTCAAAAGTTGGCTATTTAATTTTGCTAAAAAATCTCCTCCCCTAAGTAATCATAGAGTAATGATCTTGAGACTGGTGGAAAGAACCACTAACAAAGTACACTACATGCATTTATCTTCTCAGTCTCACTTGGAAAGGAGAAAGGTTTAGCACTTTGCAATGGTAAGATGATCTTAAACATGAACATAGATTTTGATAAATGAAGTTCAAAGCGTGGAGACAAGAGGTGTCTAGAAACATAGAAGAAATATTCAGGGTAAAGCTAATCAGGAAGTGACCATAAAAAAAGATCTAACTCAAAAGATGTATATTTTCTACATACAAAAAGAAGAAAACCATGTACACTACACAATACATTTTTCTATTTTTTGTATTTTTAATACAGCATTTCAGTTGGTTGATACTGCTTGACAAATTCCACATTCACAACTCTGACAGGAATCTTTAACTTCAAACTTACAAAGGCAAGATGACTCTGGACCTTCCAACCTTTCTACAGGAATTCCTCTTCTTTGCTACTCCATGTTATCCTCAGCACCACGACTAAGCAACCAGTATTTCCCCACTCTGCTTCTCTTCATCCCATAATTACTTCTCTGTTTCTTTCCTTCCTTCTTTATTTGACAGAGCAACTTCATAATTAAAAAACAATGCAGAAAGGAGCTGGTAGACAAAACTTACTACATTTCATTTCAGTTCTGCTACCCAATCCTGACCAACACCTGCACATCTCCCAGAGCACACACAGGCAGATGGCATATGCATGGGGAAAAATGAAAAGCATCTGGTGGAGAAAATGCTGCATTCAGCATGATCTAATTTTTACGGTGACACCACAGAGAGGTAAGACCACATGGACCGTAAAGAAATTCAAGAGAAATGAAGTAAAAAGAAGAAACTGAAGCTAAAAAAAAGAGTAAAACCACAGCAGTCTGATTCATGAGCTCTTCAATCCTGTACTTAGTTCTGCTATTACTGCATTGTGCAGTTTCAGGAAAGTGAAAACCACCCCACAGCCCCAAGTTTGCAAAACACTCAGGCACCACCCTGAACACACACACACATGCAAAAGCACCCTACGCCACACCTTACAAAACACTTTCCATCAACCAAAAATTAGCTTAGCATGTTTTAACTAAAGACCAGAAGCGACAAACACAACTCATTGGAGATGGAAGGGGCAGCGGTAAAGGCACTACCAAAGCCCAGGAAAACGCTGTCCTATCCCAAGCATGGCAACTCATTCTACTCAAAGTGTATTAGGTGAATACAGAGAACATTTCATCTCCTTCTAATTAATAAATGGCAAATAATAACTAATAGCAGTATCACAGTATTAATTCTTTCTGTATCATGATATAAAATACGGTCTTAAGCAACTGAGCTGAAATTCTACCTTCATATGGGATAATGCAGCACAAATTAAGATCCAAAGCCAGTATTTTAATCACAACAGACAACACCATAGAGTTACTGATGTCCTTCCCCTATCATTTCTGTCTCTACAGTAAATCACGAACAATCTTTAGAGACAGTCACTGGAAGTAGAAGAAAATAAATATACAGTAAATATTTTAAAACAGCAAGCTTTTTTTAAAAGAATGCCAATATGCAGGGATTTCAGGGATACTGAACAGCAGAGCTGTTGGCAGTGACTGAAGAAATACTCACCTGAAAACACCTTCTCTCATAATTTCTTTCACACCAAGAAGTAAAGGATAGGTTAAAGTACCTCTTACAAGTATTTTTATCTGACTGGCTATCAGGACACATGGAAATGGGAAGCATGGAAAGAGTCAAGGGTCTTCTATTTCTATGACTAACACTAAAAAAGCCAAACTGCCACACTTACTTACATGATTTTCATATGAACCATGAATGATATGAAGATGCTTTTCCTTAATATTGACGTTTTGGCTATTACTACACCCATGGGGCACCACACTGAATTCCAGGTCTGAAATTTTGAGTCCTGATCAGAACTCAAGGATTTGACTCCAGTTTTAAGCAATATGGAGGCCCTTTTCATTTATTTCATTTGACTCTGAGTGGATAAGCAATCCCTACAGGCATAACAATCAATGCAAGAGTACAGTATCTTGGTCTAATAGGGTAAAAGCATTCATACAACTCACATATTCATGAACTTTCATTACTAAAACAGTCCTGAGCAATCCATTGTAAATAGCTTCTTAGTGCAGAAAGACAAAAATGTAACTGGAATGGATAACCATAAACATTTGCTGTACGGGGACTATGTTGACTCATGGGCATGACGCAGTTAACAGAATCAAACAAGTATGAGCTGTCTCTGGATACCGCTAAGATCTCCAAGACACCTCTAAAGAGGTGTACAACTATTGGGATGGTATCTGAAGTAGCTGCTTACTACCCATCTAGTCAGTCCCTGAGGGCAGGCAGAAAAGCACAAGTGTGACTCTACTCTTCAGACAGCTTCCAAATCTGTTGGTGACGTGGACTTAAGTACACTAACTCCCTCACACAGATTTTCTTGCATTTTTTCTCCTAGGGAGAAGGAGATTGCTTAGTGGAATGAGAAGCTCTGCACTCTGAAGGAAAGAACTCATGTTTCTTTTACAGCCCTGGTAATTAAAGTTGAGATGACCTATCCAGGTTTGACTGCTGAAACTGTGCTTGCATCTAGCCCACACAGCTAGACTGTAAACTTCTGCCTGATTTCTCTCCTCTTCCTTGAAGGATGACTAAGCTGATGAATGAGATATCACTGCTTGTCCAAAAAAAGAAATAAATATTCCTAATGAGACAAGTTCTTCAGGCCTTTTTGCTTGCCTCCAGCCTTCCTGACCTAAGCTTTTCAAGAAGAGATTTTAGACATTACGCAGTGTCTTTGGAAGGAAAATGTCCAAAAGGCAAATGGGACCCTGAAACAAGCAGGAATTTGGCTAACAAACTGCTAAGTCAAATTAATTTTGAAATTGGCTGTAAAATTTTATACTTCTCAGAAGAGTTCAGAAGTAGAAAATTAAAAAAATCTGAATCTGTTTGTCACTATTGTAACAAAACCAAACAGCTGGATCTGTAAAGAACTGAGACTTCCATTGATATCTCTGACTGGCAGGTCTTTTCCTAGATAGATATTCAAAGAAGGCTGAAATACAGTATTACAATTTCAACAGTATAATGAAAGAGGTATGTTTCTCAATTTAGCACATTCAAGCTCCTCTTTCATATTTCATACAGAAAAGGTTTTTTCTCCCCTTCAGAGCAGCATGTAAGCATTTCCACCACTCTGACAAGATCCATGCACTGTACAACACCTATGTTAGATTAACGATACTAAATATTAAGTGCAGCCTACAAACTAAAAAAATGTTAAAAAAATGTCCATACTTCCTCTGGGATGAAAGCAGAGACATGGAGATGACCCTCCATTTGTGTGAGATTTGTAATGGTGTGGGATCCTGAAGGAATTAGTCTACAACAAACTATTATAAAAGCAATTACTATATTTTCATTTTTACTTGGTTTGTGCTGAGAATTAACAGGCATTGATTAATACAGACAAGCTGCAGACAAGGACACAGTATTAAAGATGATGTTTCCTTAGCAACAATATTGGATGAAAATCCAAGAACATGTTCATGTGACTACTCCTGAGCTTCATAAAACTAGGGCACCAGTAAAAATGCATGAAGAAATACTGCAGTAAAATAACAGCATCTCAGATATCTATTCATTAAGTGTTAATTCAAGTGTGAAATTGTTTCTATGAGTAAATACAGAAAAATATTTTCATTGTATGTTTACAGACAATTTACATATAGTTGTGGATATTTTCTTATTTGCTGCCATGTACCTGTATTTTCCCAGAAAGAATGACAGGAGAAACTACAAACCACTTCTGTCATACTATTTAAGTTGTTAAAGAAGAAAGAGCTGTAACAAGCAAACATCTCTCATCAAAATTTAGACAGGTAAGTCAGAGCATGCTCACTTCCCATAGACAAAACAAAGCAGTAGTCATCATAGAGCATCACTACTGGGTCTTCCATACAGCTACTGTCATAGCACCAATAACGTCAAATATAGCTCTCTGAAGATTCCTTAAATTGTATAAGCATCCAACTTCAAAGTAAAATAATCTGAATTGGAGACAGGGAGGATGAACATAGATTATTCCCAGCTGCAGTTTATCTCATTATCATTCCATATTCTCCCCTCTTGGATCCAAATGTTTTTAGACTAACAAGAAATGTTTATAAGCAACCTAGAGAATCCTAAAAATTGCTCTGGGCTCCCATCTGACCAAAAAAAATCAGCAGGAGGGGGGGAAAAAAAATAAAAAGACCAGATGAACTTCAAAATGAAGGAAAGAGTTAGAGAATGAGTACAGTAACACTGATGCAAAGTTCCCAACTCTTCAAGGATGAAAACTGAGGGAAAAGATTCTGGGAACTACAGGCCACTTTATGCAGATGTCCATTTTTGCCTTCCACAGCCACGTCCTCCACTGCTGAGGTAGGGATTGGTTTAAGCTTTCTCGTAAAAAAATTACCATCTCTAGAAAAGAGATTAAAAATAAAGACATTCCCCTTCTTTTCAATATGAATGATTTTGCCAGTGCCAATAGGAGAACTCAGTTTTTGACTGACCAGGGGGTGCTAGTTTTTTTTTCCAATTCCATGTGATATTGACACTTTCATGAACACGTTTTCACAACCTGAGAAACGTTTCTTTTCTAACATGCTCCTTGAAAAAGAAGGCAGCAAAATTACTTGCATGCTGCTAAAAAAAAACCTCTTCTCACAGAAAAGTCAGAAAAATCATATACTCCAGAATGATTTGGAGATAAATTTGCTAGGGCTATGTCCTATTATCTTCTACTAGCTATTCATATGAAAGAAGCAATTCCACTTATAACTGGTGGTACAATAATGTGACATTAACTAAAGCCTGAAGGTAACCAAGGACCAGAATACCATCTAAAAAAAAAAAAAAAAATCTAAATTCCTTCTTTCCTCATGGGACAATGCAAGAACTTAAGACTCATTCTTTCAACAATTATTAAACTGTCAAACATAACACCCCCTCCAGTAACAGCAATACCAAAAAAAAAAAAAAAAAAGGAGGGGGGTCAAAGGGAGGAAAAAAACCCAGAAGAGCAAGATCTGCAGAAAGAAGAGGTACTGCAAGCTGTCAATAACTTGAGAGAGGCAGTCCAGGACTCAGCAGTTTTGGATTACTACATATGATGGCTCAAAAAAGATCCCTTAACAGATCAACAAGCACTATTAAAGGATTTGGTTAGGATCCGTCACGTACTAAGTTAGAAACCAGTTCTTCACTCGTGGATACAAGTGTTGAAAAGTATACAAAATGATCACAGACTAAAAAACTGAGGCAGCCTCAAATTAAAGTGGAAATACTGATTTCCCACTCTAACCAGTTTACAAGCTAAGAAACTGCTTATTTAGCTTAAGTAAAGACCATCATGCTGTAGCCACTTAATTACGTGGACACTGAGACAAGTATGCTTATAAAATGAGAACAGATTTAATTTCAAATAAAGTTTGCAATGAAATACAGGCTAGAAAGGGAAACTGAATGACAAAAATTATCACTGTTATAATCACTCTCATTCTCATTTCAGTGCACAAAAACTCACTGCACTGTTTACTGAATTCAAGATATATAGAATAAACAATTTAAGGTCAAAGAAGCATTTGCTCCAAATCTTGTAGCCAGGAAAGTTTTAAAAATTTCTTTCCAGGAAAGGATTATTTTGGATGCTTGTTAACTTGCTTGAGGTACAAAATTTTCTCATTTCTAAATCTTTCTCTGTCATGGTAAAACCCTTCAATCAGCCCTTCATCCACTCATCACTGTTTGCTGCTTCTCCATAAGAGACTGGCAACAGTTTTAACTAGATTAATCTTCCCTCTGTTATTTTTGTGATTAATCCTAGATCTTCTAGTATTACATTAAAAAAAAAAAAAATCACAGCTTATATATTTTTCTTTCATATATCTGAATAAGTATATTAAACAGCAATTCAGTCTTCTCTCCCATGGGATATATTATGAAAAACTTATCTGAATATTCAAGAGTGGAGTCACAGAATAATTAGTGACAACTTTTGAAAGGTTCTTCTTTTATACAGAAAGGTCACACTGATAAAATTAGCAGTTGACTTAAAATAAGGAATGGTGGGAAGAAGGCAGTGGCAAAGCTGCTAACAAAATAAGCTGAGATAAGCACAATATTCTGTGCTTCAATGGACTGTATTACATTAACAACCAAAGCAGGTTTAAAGCAGAAGAAAGCACTAAGACAATCTTTATCTTGCCAACCCTGGAGACTGCTGATCAACTAGATTTCTTTCCGAGCTCTTGAGAACACCAGGCATACATATGTTCTGCAGGTGTTAGCCAGATGTGTCTTCCTACAGAAAAGGAAAGCCAAGAACATCTGTAACACTTGTCTCAAATTTACCATCCCAGCATCTAACTTCACGCCCAGAAAGGTGAAATGAGCCAGGACATAACTTAAAGCTGGGACAACAGCTGAACCATTGTTTAGAAAAACTATAAAAATGTGATGGAGGCCACAGAACAGAAGTATTTCCATGGAAGATTGTCAGCTAAAACCAACAAAAACCCCACATGTACCAAAGCATAAAACCAGGAAAGAAGCATTGGAAAATGCAGTA